CAAAATATCCCATAAATTGATTCTCTTGGATTCCTCACTCCGTCACGGCGCCGGAGAAAAATCCGTGGAATTCTGTCACGGTGGGCGGAGGGGTGGCTTTTCTGCCAAAGAATTTTCACGACGCCATGGAAATTTCTCGGTGAGATATTCTCCGACAGGATGCCATGGTGGTTTTCCAGTGGCGCGAAGGGTGTGTTTTTCACGGTTGGCGTATAAGATGATTACAAATTCAATGGTGTATTTTGATGTTACTCTCTTGTGCGAATGTTTTATTTGGTACATCATCCCATGGCGTGTGCAAATTCCCCAGTCACTCTGCGAAGCAAGCATCCTGTCAAGTGATACAAGATCTATTTCATTTTGATTGCATGGCGACCTGCATAATGTATGAGAAGTGTATCAAACAGGAAGAAGTACACGCTTCGAGATCCTTTTTCTGCGTCACACTCCAATTTTCCTCTGGCGCCGCTTTCCCGAATTCGCTGATGTGAACAAACACACACGATGGAGGCCAAACTGCTCCTATAAATGACTCTATTTTATCAATTGAATACACAATTCTCAGGGTGAAATGCTGTGCGTGAGCCAGCATGCTGTTGTCAACTCCTTGACGAAACTTTCCACCCCTGAATTTTCACTATTTCGGTAGTTACTTAGGAGAGTTATTTAGATGCTTTACAAAATGCAATGACAAAAATTTATTCAAATCTACATAAATGATAACTAAGTACAAATCAAATATATATCGCAACTTTTTTTATCGAATTTTTAATTTTCAATCTGAAATTAATTTGAATTTTAATCTTTATCTCTCTGATTTTTCCAAAAACCTCTCGCATTGTGAATAATAAATTTGTGATTCTTTTATTTCTTCCTTACATGCTTAAAGATTATGCAATTTCACACTTTATTACGGAAATTGATATTAAATTATCTTACTTCTTTTACATCGTAATAATATTGATATTTGCGCCGCAGTATTTGTGATATTTTTTCGGCGAAAAATAAATAATTAAATGTGTGACTTTTCTAGGCTGACCTTTGAAATACATTTAACAAGTAGGAGCACTTCATTTCATTGTCTATCTATAAACAAACATTAAGTCTCTTTTGCCAAATTTCTGATAAACATTCGAACGGCATTTGAACTATACCAGAACTATTACTGATAAATGTTTTACCAAAGCGGTTAACTAATTTTGTACCTGGAATAAATCATTCTTATGGAAACATTTAAGTATGATTGAGCACAACAACAATGTATTTCAAGATCATCTAATAATGTTGTTGGAAATTCCTTTTCATAGATGAATACATGCATACCATAGTCTTCTTATCGGTTAAAAAAATTAATATGCTTTGTAATGAGTATACCTGTTGAAAAAGCTCCGCACAAATATTTATCTAAGTAGGAAACTTTTCCAGCTTGCTTGCCCTGTAAATAAAATGATACTTTGAGTAACCAACAAGCGGTCGACTCGCTTTACCACTTCTTTGGTCATTTCATGTAGATTTTCTCACAGTTCTTGCTGAAAAAATGAAAATGAAATTTTCAATAGAATTGCAATGGAGTCATCATAAGAACCACAAACACTTTTCGTTTGCTGCTTTCTTGTTTTCCCTCCACAACGTGCGCGGACGTGAAAGCAAATACGAGGTTTCCAGAGCAAAAAGCCATAGCTTTTGTAATGCTGAAAAACCGTCCAGAAAGGGTGAACTCATTTGGCAAATTATTTCATTACCAGCACACACTCGCCAAACCTGGTCAGCGATTCTCCCGTATCAGCATAATGATAAGGTGTGCTCCGGTGGAGATGGCAAAATAAAAACGAGTGGTAAATTAATATTTAATTAACTGGAAAAAGCGAGTGTCGGGGAGGAAAAGGATTCATTTTAGGGGCGCATTTCCCACATGAGCTGGTTCAGAGGAAAGTTTTCACTCCGCATTTCGCATTTTCTTTTAATGTTTTCCCGCTCCGGCGGGTGGGCCTCCGACAACCAAGCGAGGGTTTGTTGACTGACCCGATGTGCGTTGGGAAATTTTCGCATACAATATTGTGTATTTCAACTTTGATGGTGGGAAGCCGAAGCTGCGGACTTTCCTGGCAAAAATACATATAATCACGTGAATTCAAAGAAACTCCCGGGCCACCCACAAAGCTGAGAGCCCAGCGGGGTGCAAAACTCGAGCGATGACCACTGAGCGCAGAATATTTACACTACTTTGCAGCGTGAGCAAATATAGAAATTAAATAATTTACATTCACAAGGTGGATACCGAATGGTGAAAAGGTATTTGCCTTGTGGGGCCGGGCCAGCGCGGCTCCTTTGACGGCGACCACCCCCACACGTTCGCCAGAGTCTGGAGAGGTCCGGCTCCAAGGGAGTTGCGCTAATGAAGCTCCCTCGCAGGCCAGGCAGAAAATACGGGCTTAGAAGCTAGTCAGGTAAACATGGGGCCAACTCAGATGCCCACCGTCAAGTGGAAATGATTATTCCGTTTCAGGAGCTCCAACAAATATGCACAGGTTTGATGAGGAACGCTCTTCTCTTCTACAGAAAATGACACAAAGGGGCTGAATCTCCATCTCACATATCATGGATCTAAACGACTAAAATAAACCTAAAATGTGTACATGAACCAACTGTTGTATTTACTCTGATGATCCGAAGAAGAAAATACAATAACAATAGAGGAAAATTAGACGAATAATAAGATTTCCATAGCAATTTTGTCATTAAATGTGAAAACATCACTAAATAAGAGGGGATAATGTGTCGTTTTTACAGAAAATCTGGAATTCCTTATTCGCTAGGAGTTCGAAACGAAGAGTCAGAATTTTTCCGTTAGTACTTTGCTTAAATGCTTCACTTTTCCCAATTCCTTCGCCTTCTTTCGAATCATTGCATCCCAATGGAAATGGATTCAATAACATCTTCAGTTGCTGCATCGATGCCAGCAAATGATTTCCACGAGTGGCGCACAGTAGTGAAGAATTTATAATTTTTCGAAGAGCCTCTTGGCTCCCCATGTGCTGGATTTGTCACAGAATACCCCAGTCAAGTGGCCATGCAGAGAATTCCAAACAACGAGCCGGACTATGACGAAAGTGGACCACTCGAAATGTTACGCTCGAATGTTTGGTGAAGAGTCCGCGAATATTGTGCTGGTCACATCTCTAACTCCTTATCCTCAAGTCCCTGTGCACAAATGCATATCAGAGAGTGAGCTTGCTCAAGCTCTCAAACGGACCGAGAATGTGGGGATTTGGTTTGAAGGGGGCGCGCTTTTCAGTGTTGGTCAGTGTATTGTGGAAAAATATCACTGTCCAGAGAGGTAGAATTAGAGGAGATTACCAAAATAATCTTTGTGAATTATTTTGCTGCGAAATAAACAAAAGGGGTTATTTAGTCTTCACCACAATCCTCAGCTCAATCCCTCTGTCGGTCTTGCCATATAAAAAAGCGACAGCGATCCATGCAAAAAGCAGCATTTTTGCCTCGCAATACAATAGAAGGGGGATTAAATAACATTTTGATGAATATTTCGCGTTCCTCTGTGCCCAATATTTTGTTCTGCGGTTAAGTGGCTATAGATGTACCCATTTCTCCCATGGCATCGCAATAAATGTTTAGGAATTATCCGTGGACAAACCCTCTGTTCGAAAATTCCGTCACACCATTTGTATGGGATACAATTTGACTCTCTTGTGCATAGCTTTTCCCGGAGATATTTTTCTCAAAAAACATTCCTCCGCTCGGTATGTATCCCAAAAGAGATAAATTTTCAACTTGTCTCAAAGTATAAAATGCAAATGGAATTAAAAAGCTCAACATTTTTGTCCAAACCACCCTGGTTTTGTTCCAAACTCTTCACGGGGTGGCATTTCCCGAGGGAGTAAGGGCTGAGGTATGCCATCGAATTGACATATTGCGAGGGATTCTCGAGAGAGAATAATTTGATAACTTACACGTTGCCCAAATGTATCTTTGCCCCCGAATTTCGCAGGCCAATTTTGCAACTATATTTCTCTCATTTCGCTTTGAAATCCCGGAAAATGCATTGAATAGAAATCCCCAATGATCAGAGGGTGGAAAGAGAGTGAGAGAGAGATTCTTTGTGGCCTCTCTCGTAGAGCTGCTGATGAAAAGGCATATTGTGCATTTGATGCCCTCGGATAATGATGAGTTTACTGTTTGAAAAGTTGCAACCACGGAAATTCCCTAGAAACGATGCGGCAATTGCAGAAAATTATTTCTCTTATCATATTAGCTTGGGCTTGTTTGCTTCCAGTGCAGGGGCAAAAACAAAGGAGTGGACTTCACTAATTGCTAAATAAAACATAATCCTCACATCCGGACCCATTACCCCGCCCCCTCCCTCCCGTCATATCATTATTATTTCACTCTCATCCATTTTGCCAGTTAGAAATCCCTCAACACTAATCGCCAGCAGTCGATTGTGTTGGGCAAATGCGCTTGGAGAGCACAACTCTTCAGCTGAATTAAATGCCATGGATGCGAAACGATTTGTGAATTCTTCCTCTCTGGATTTTGTGAAAATGTACCCATGGACGGAATTTCTGCAAAACATTTTGACGAATGCTCACAATGGATTTGCACACACAACATTTGGATTTTCTATACGGACAATCGCCTTCATGGACTCTTCGCATGAATGCTCATGGCTCAAGTGGCGGGAATGTTAGTCTGTCTTTCTCATTATATTTCATCATTATGGAGAGTAGAAGAAAGTATTTCGGGAATTCTGCGCTTGTTCTGATAAGTAGAAATAATATTATGAGGAACATTGCGAAACTTTAAATGTGTTCTAGCGATTCTAGCATTTAAATTAAGTTGAGTAGTCTAAACTATTGAGCAGATTTATTCAAACTTGAGTTGCAAAGTGATTAAACACCTGAGAAATGAATTTGTGATATTGCCAAACTAAGAAGACAGTGGAGGTCTGGAATTGGTTTCACAAAACACCGCCATTTGTTAGGAAAGACATTTTATTTCATTTAAAAATCGCACTACATAAAATGCCTACAAAACACTATGCTTTCTAGTTTTTTTTACTCTGTATATTTTACGAGAAAAGTGACGATTGTGGTGTAAAAAATCATGTAAATTGTTTTCAATACAATTCTACTTATCACAGTTGACAAATATTGTGAACCTCTCGCATTTATTTTCTCCCTGGCATGCACTCTTTGAAAACGTATGAAACACAAAACTCTCTCTCTCTCTCACCACCGGAAAATGGCATCCAAAAGGGTGGAAAATTCCCTAAGATAAATCGATGGATTTTGTCGTCAATGTTGAGGTGTGAATCGTATCATTTGGCACGAGAAATAGCTGAACAGAGTCTGACTCCTCAGCTTCCTTGACTCGTAGTAGGCTGGAAGTGGAAAATTATTAGACACAAACACACTTTCGAAATAAAATGAAGGTTCTTACCTTGGAAACTGGACTTGTGGCTAGATAGCTAATACGGTCGTGGAATTCGAGGCGTTCGTCATCCTGGGCAGTGTCGTCGTTGAGCCGATTGCGCTCCATCGCAGTGCTGCCGTAGTGAATGAAGCACTCAGAAGGCAGGAAGCGATGAATCACAGGAGAGATGAGTTCCGGATCAATCACTTTGAGATCCCTGGGTCCCGTGAGGAAAGACACGATGCTGCCCACGACGAGAACGCTGACAATTCCGATAGGATTGATCCAATGGAATGAGAAGCGATAGAGCGGAAAGACATCAGACTCGTCAGGATAATCAGGTGCTGTGCTGTTGAAGGCAGGGCAATTCTCAGTTGAGATGTCAAGCTTATGCGGAACCACATAGCCATTCGCCACCGCAGCCTGAGATCCCAGTGACACCCATCCGGACATCAGAGCTCCAGCCAAAACTCCCGCAATCGCTCCTATGTTGTTACTCCACGGTACCAGCATCCCTAGAGTGAAGACCCCAAAAGTCGTAGCTGCGGCGATGGCAGTGAGCGATGTGGCCACAGAGAGAATCCCTCCCAATCTCTCTACCACAAATATCAAGGAAAAGGAAACACATCCCAGAAGAATTATGCTGCTCTTTACAAATATAGCAGCCCAGCGTTCGCTTGGCTGCACTTTGAAGCATCCTTTCAAAATGTCCTCTAGCAGAACGGCCGAAGTGGAGTTGAGGACCACTGACAGGGAGCTGAGAGCTGCCCCAAAGACTCCAGCAATGAACAGTCCAGGCACTCCAATGAGATCCCCAACCGTCTCCATGACATAATTGGGGAAGAGTTGATCGTCCGCTTGGATCAGCCCAGCAGCGCTAGGATCACATTTGTAGTAATATGCGTAGATCAAGACACCAGCGTAGCAACAGACGCTGACGAAGAGGCTGATCCCGATTGTGTAGATAGCAATAGAACTGTAAAAAAATTATTTGCATTCAGAACTTAAGAAAACAAATAAATCTACTCCAATTGTCTTACATTCGAGCCATTTTGAGGTTGGGCAATGACATATAGCGCTGAACCATTGTCTGGTTGACGGAATTGAAGGATGTCCAGTACATGAATCCTCCGATAAGGACACCCCAGAAAGTGTGTCTCTCGTAAAAAGATGGACTCAAGCTGAAAGACAAGAAGAGAAGTTTTTTATCTACCGAAAATGAAACACTTTCTCGCATTCTTACTTCAATATGTCTAGCCGATTGCCTTCTCCGGCCCTTCTGAAAACTTCTGCTGGTCCTCCCAAGGCGATTGTCCCAAGAGTTGCCACGACAAAGACTGAGATAAACATCACGACTATTTGCCAAGCATCCGTATGAACGACAGCTTTGATTCCACCCTGTACAATAAGCAGTTACACATTTGAAAACTGTACCTAAAGTGTCTCGACTAAGGTGTGCTTCTCCAAAGAGCTCTTTTACTCTCTTGCCAAGAGAGGCATAAATTTTAGGAGAGAAAAATGATGAAACTCACAATTGTGGTATAGAAGACACAAACAACGCAAACAATTGCCGCGATGAGATGCAAATTCACTCCGGTCACTGGGGAAAAAGGGGAAAAACAAGAGATTTTCAGCTGAAACCACACAAATACACTCTTTCCGAGCTCACCTTGGTTAAATGCCAAAGCGGGAACGTAGACGATAATCGGCAGGAAAAATATCTGGAAAAATATGCATGTGTGGTCAAAGTTATCCTGCGGCATTGGAGAAAAATGCTCTCACCTCATCCAGGACAAACATGAATGACGCCATGGATCGAACAGCGGAACTGAATCTCAGCTCCAAGTACTCATAAGATGATCCCACCTTCAGGCTCATGAACACGGGCAGATAGACGAAGCTCACGGCGACTCCCATGAGCAGAATGGGCACCACAATCAGCCAGTACTGGATGCCGTAGTTGTAGATCTCAGATGGTGTGCCGAGGATGGTCACGCCGGAAATGTAGCTGGCAACGAGGCTCATTGCCACTGGGAAGGCCTTCAGCTTCCTGGAGCCCAGCAGATATTCACTCATGGACGAAGAGCCAAAATCAGTGCCTGTCTTCTTGCCGCTGCCCTGACCCGGTGGGATTATCTGCACTGGCGTCTTTCGCCTGGACAAGATCATCAACATTAGGCATGCCAATCTCTAATCCTGGCACAATAGCATACCTGAAGTAGCCGAAGTAAGCGCCAGAAACTGCCGATAAGATTAGCATTGTGGCGAAAACACAGTAATCCACTATGTGGAAATGAAAGTAGTCCGTTTGCGGGTGGTCTTCGCTCATGGTGACGCAGCTTATGAAGGGTTTTATGCTAAAATCTGTCGAAAATAGAAGAGGATTTGCTCAATGAACACATTGTTGTTCTACGTAAGGCTTGATTGGTGTTTGTAAACAACTAGAGAAGATTTTAGATAAAATGCAGCACGCCTAATTGAAAAATCGTTTGCTAGAATGTGAGTTCAAGTTCAAGATTTAAAGACAATTGAATTTATTTTACGACAAGCAATGAATTACAATTATTACAGTCTGTAAGACAATAACATCTAAAGATGTATCAAAAAATCTCAGATGATTCACAAAAGTTTTTAATGTAGGAGTTTTACAACCATTTCGGCCACATAATTATTGGAACACAATTAATATTTATTACGTTTCCGTTTATGAAATTAACTCCGTATTCGATTACGCTAGTGTTGATTCAACCTATGATATTTTAATAAACTCAACTTATTGAAAACTGCTTTTCAGTATCACATTAAACTTGTTGCTCTCAAGAATGTATAGAAATCGATATAATACTCTGCATATCTTTTATACAAATGATTTGCCGGTTTTGATAGTGCTCTAACATCTTTTGATCCACTTGATCAGAAGCAATTAAGCCCCAAGTTGCTTCGAAATGCGCAGCAAGCGCGAAAATCTTGTATACTGCGTGCAAAAATAGGCAAAATGCCCAAGTCAATGGCTTGCTGAGGAATTCCTAAATTGTCACTCAATTGATTTGTCTACAATTGGCCGCTATCTGAGCATTGTCCACTCTATTCATCCATCATTGAGTCCATTTCGCACACAACTAATCCCCTCATTATACAATGCGCGAATTGCGGTGCGTCTTCACGGGAAAATTCCCACTAATCTGCCCACGAGGAAGTGCTCCCGATTGAGACAAATTGCGAAGCTTTGGCGAGAAAAATTTTCCATGATCTACTCGAAGATGATTGATGTTGCGCAATGTTGTCGTTTATATCTTAAGAAGCGAAAAAAAAGTTGCAGAATCTGAAGGTCGATTGGATGTTTAACTGCACGGAATGCTTTTCCAAACAGATAAAAAGTAGTACTTTGTTAGAATATTCTCACATTCAGGGTATCTGCAGGGATTTGATTGTGAAAATTTGGGTGTGAGAGGGATTTTTGGGATATTTTTAAAAATGTTGTTTTGACACTCCCGCCGTCAACGTGTTCCAAGACTTGAAAAACACGCGTGAAATGCATTGACTTCATCCTCACGGGTTTATTTCTGGTTTCTCTGCACACACTCATAGTGATTCATGTGACGTGCATGTGTAGTTTGTAATTATAAGCATCGATACTTTACCTACTTTCACTACAATTCCAACACTTACAATCCTATTCTTATCGCACTGCCAACGAATCCAAAAAAAATCACCCTTTTCAGAACCCCAAGAGCCACTTCACTAAACGCCTATTTGGGCCAGACACTCGAAGGCACGGTCAAATTGGCTTAACTGAAACTGTCCAGAAGTGAGTGCGACTCTCGCAACGGCTGCAGCTTGACTGATCAACGTTCAGTATGGGATGATGTGGGGTCGGCCAGACACAAGCCACGCGCTATCATTCCACATATCCGTATCCCAATAAAGTCGACTCGTGTCTCGTGTGTCTTCCCTCAAGAATTGAGTAATTGAATAAATCGATTGATACAAATTCATAAAGGTTCAGCCTTGCTGCAGCCGCTCCAAAGTTCAGCGGCTCAGACCTCTATTGTTAACACTCTCCATAAAGCAATGTACGCAAATCTCTTTACGCGAATACTATTTGCTCATCTCTGAATATCTGTAAAGTCGCGTTGTCAGGGAGAATTTATCACTAAAATAATGAACATTTTGCACAATTTTCAGAATACAATTGCTTGCGGTTTAAGAGAATTGTGAAAAATAAATAAAGTAATCTCAATAAAAGTCTCTATATTCACATATTCATAAAAAGAGACTACCTACGCTCTTTTACAATTAACTAAATCGTAAAACTAAAGGGGTCGCAAATTATATTTAAAGTAGATCACAAATATGCGCAAACGTGTTTACGCCGTTTACACCTTATTCTGTCCAGACATGCTATGATTCTTACTGAATACACACCATGTTGGATAATTATGCTATGTTACTTTTGAAGTACAAATGAGTAGTCTAAAAATCTGGCCACGAATCTATGATGTATGTATTTTCTCGGACAGATTATATGGAATAAAATTGAATTCGTTTCGTAGCTTTAAACGTAATTTGACAGACTTTTATTTCGTTCATGAATTCCTTCATAAGTTAATTACAAAGCTTGTTAGATGAAGCTACAGAAAAAGCATTCAATGTTCGGGAATAAAAATTAAACTTATCAACAAAAAGTGATGAAAATGCTGATACAAAATGATAACGTTAGTGTAAATTTCCTCGCGGATTTAATGCTTTAAATGCAAATTATCTGTCGTCAGAAGGTCAATGTCAAAACTAATACTGTTAGTAACCTTATATGTAAAGAAAAGCAAAGCACGTTTCTAGTAAATTGAATTAGGTATATAATAACACAAACATGGAAACTTTCGTTTATTGTGTCTGTGAAATTTACACAAATATTTTAAAATAACGGATTCAGAATCACTTTCTGTCTCAGGTGCTTATTTACCGTATTAATTAAAGTTTTACGATAAAAGTCGTTCAATATGGCACAAATTGACACCACCAATTCCACTGCTTAATCTAATCGCAAATGAAAACAATAGAATGTTAACCCGAGTATGTTTTGCTTTAATTATTCACAGAAATCTATCGCAAAGGTTTCCCTCATACTGATGACCTGGAAGAACATCTTCAGCCCCTCTAATCACTCTGTGTGTCATCGATAAGCGCATAAATAGCAACACAGTGTTAATTGATAAGCACTGCGCGCGCTTGTTGTACGAATTGTAACACAGGTGCTTTACACTCTCGTATGATTTGATCATTCGATGACGAAGAGGCTCGCAAGCAACCTTTTACCCGCGACGGGGCCTGATAAGTCCTCTAAGGCGATAATCCGAATTCTCTGGGAGCTTGAGAAATCGCGCGCACACTTGAATTCAACTCTGGCTTCACGCGGATGGACTTTGAAATGCCTCGCAAGCTCGCAATATTGACAATTCGAACTGCTATTCACTTCCACATTATGTAAAAGCCACTGTGAGCAGTGTTATTGCGCGTGAAAGTATTGGAGTTGGTAATTTGCTCAACTTTTTTCCTTCAACAACTCGTGGAAAAAAGCTGTGATTCGGCAGATTTTTCCGCAAGGAAATAGGTCAATGTACAAATGCTGCCTCATACTTTTATCGTTCAATCATCAAAAGTGGCCTGTTTATCGCCTCTCGAGCGGTCGCTGAACAATGAGAGGAAAATATCAGCCTCTCTGCCTGTGATAAAGGCTCAAAAGGTGAAAAGGCCCATTTTCATTGGCCATTTGGGAACGACAATTAGTGCTGTAAAACAGCGTGATACCCACACTTGATATAAGAACACCTCTAACTCGCGATAAACGAGACTCGTAGAAATGTTTGAGACGGAATAAAAAATTCACATTATTTGCAAAAAGCACGCGAGTTGCCCGTATCAGTCCGCGTAGAGTACTAAACACAGTGTCAAAATCATATGGCAAGGCTGAACTGCCCTTCTCTCTGTCGCACTCGAAGTGGGGCCCACTTTCTCGCCCATATCGAAGTCTTATCAATTGAATTAGAGCCGCGAGGGAGCGAGAGAGGCAACTTTCCACGAGCTTCAGACGGAACTCCACGAACTGCGAATGCACTTCATTGAAAACTGACCGAGACAGAATCAGAGATTTCTATAGATTGAAAATAAAGATAGACTCTTGGCAGAAATACAGGATTAAGTGGAAACAACTTACCTTGCAACTTATATTTTCACAATTTTTTTCGAAATGTCTGAAGACGCTTGAAGCCAGGAAGCGAGCAATCAACTTCATATCAGCCAAGAAGAAATATATTATTGTCATTTTCTGTGTTTGTAAATATCATGTATTTCGTCTCAAAACTCACGTTACGCCATGAATAAGATTGACAATTGGCTAAATGTTAGAAATTAGGTACGGAAATATTTGACTTCAAGTTCAGACTTCAAGAGAACTGTGCAATCATCAATTGGATCTGTTGGTCCGTGAAGTGTCTCATAAATGCAATATTATAATGTAAAAAAAAATTCACAAGAAAAGTACGTGTAAATTGAAAAAGACGACAAATTCTTTCAGCTGCAAATTAACAAGTGTCAATCTCTAATCTATACTGGATGATAAATTCAACTCTTCTACGGAATTTCACTCTCAACGGCTAGAACATGCGTAAACATGTGCTTTTATCAATTAAATTTCTTTTCTACCTACACTTGTTAAATTAAAAGATCTCCTCAAAATTTATTTACCTCTTCACACAATGGGTTTCTTCATTCAAATATAATTCACACTCACACGCTCCCATTCACTCTCTCTCTCTCTCTATATCTTCAGTGTGATTCAGGATTTTTGTGCTGACTCCTCTCCTCTAGTAGTTGATCAGTTCGTACTTCTGTCTACTTTCGCCGAACAGGAATGAACAGAGCCTGTCACTGAGGAATGCCAGGCAGGCATCGGCCAGCAGGACGCTGATTAAAATGTTCCGGAACTGCAAAGATAGGAATATTGAGACAAACTCCAACAAGTTGAAAGCCCATAAGCTTACATCGCTAGGAAACTCAACAATCTCGAATGTTGTCGTCAAGTCAGGTGAAATGTTGAGCGCCAGACAAATCACAATGAATCCAGAGATCAAGATTGAGTACAGCAAAAGTCGGTTTTCCTTCAGACTCTCCATGAAAGGATGTCCCTGGAAGGAAAAATCAGTTTATCACTCTTCAAATCTTCATTCTATGCTGTGTTTGGCTGTACCTTGTAGTTAACTGCAAAGGTGGACACTTGGAGAGCCATTGATATCAGGTAAACAGTGCTGTTGATTAGCGTGGGCTGGAACTCTGGTCGCTCAGAACCATCCAGATCTGCGTTGAGCACGATCTTCCCCTCTCGCGGTGGACTCCTGGCCGTTGCCTCGCCCACAAGATAGATCAGTGAGGCGAAATGCACAGAAAATTGCAGCAAAATCGTGCTTAGCGTGTAAATATTGAAGATATTGGGCAGCGGCATTTGCTTCGACAGCACTTTCAGCGGCTTCGAGCGCGTGATAAACAGGAAGCACGCTGCCAGCAGAAGTCCCTGGAGTGTTGCCTGAGTGTCACTCAGCTTCACTCCGTCCACATACAGCACTGACTGTGAGTAGGCGGAGATGAGGGCATTCAAGGCGAGAATCTTGAACATCTGGAGTGTTGTCACGAGTGTACATCTGCCCTGCTTGATGATGTGGCACACGCACATGATGGAAGAGAGTTTGCTAGTGAACGGAGCAGCAATGCTGGCATCTCCCAGTTTCACCACCTGCACCTCATCCAACTCCTTAAGCTCTCTCTGCAGTCTCTCCTGGGTTGACATCATCTGTTCCCTGTGCCGCAGCAAAGCCCGATCCCTTGGACTGAGATTCTGGCGCTCTCGTAATCCTGGCGCCGGCCTCTGTGGCGCCGCTTCAATTGGCTCAGGCTTCTTCTCTGGCGCTTTCAGAGGCGCCTTGCTGAGAATAGACACACCCACATTGGCGTGCTTTAGCGCTCCCACGTCATTTGTCCCGTCTCCACACATCAGACAACAATAGCCCAGATTCTTCAGTGTTGTGATAATGAATTCCTTCTGCTTCGGCGAGAATCTCGCATAGACAGTTACATAAGGAAGTACTCGTCGCAGGAAAGCGCTCTCTTGGTCCATGAGATACACCAATCCATGCCCGGTGATGCACAGATCATACTCCCGCACGAATCTGGGTACATCTTGCTCCACTGGAAGGCTGGTTTCTCCATTGATGGACTGCCAAGACCACTGATCCTTCTGTGAGAGAATCAACATGGGCTTTCTCGTGAACTTCAACTCCTTAGCCACATGACAAGCAGTCAAGGGATTATCACCCGTGATCATGACGACTTTATGCGATGCCTGAATTATCTCCTTCACAATACTCTTCGAATCCGGCTTCAGTGGGCAGGAAATTACGACAAATCCCACGAAAATTAGGTCCTTCTCCACATCTTCCCTCTTGATCTCGCGCATTTGCTGATTCTCCATCTTCCCGAACTCCTTTATACCCAGCGCCAGAACTCTGGCGCCTCTCCTGGAGTATTCCAAGTAGGTCTCTTCATAGTGACTAGGAACATCTTTCAGCATCGTCACAATTGTCTCCGGAGCCCCCTTCACTGTGCCAATGTAGCACACATCACTGGACCATGGAATAGTATAGCCAGCCAACACAGACATTCTCTTCAATGAGGATGAGAAGTGGAATCTCTGGTAAATTTTCAGTGGCTTGAACTTCCCTTTCTTCGGCACAACACTGTCCTGCTTCGTGAGATTCCAATCCACAGCCGTCAGTGTTGCTTTCTCCAGCGGATCACCCACCAATCCGTCATCCAATTGCGCCAGGGAGTGACAAGTGGCTAAAACTTGCACAGTAGTCTCTGGTATATCAGCTATATTAGTGATGCTCTTGTCTTCTTTGAGGCCAGCAATGCCCTCAACCATCAAATTGTCACTAGTGAGCGTGCCTGTCTTGTCGAAGCAACAGATTTGCACCTTTCCAGCGAATGGAATCCGGAAGGGCTCTGTGCAGTACACATAGAGCTTAGAGAGCTGCAAGAGCGACGTATTCACGGCCAAAGAGAGCTCAATAGGCAGATCCGGCGGGATTATGGAGGTGAGGATGAGTGTACACTCCAGGAAAAGCTTATAGCGATTCCTCTCCAGATCCTCAGTGCCTTTGATCCACACATACAGCGCCGCGGCGATGGCAAAGATCAGGAGGAAGAGAATGAAGGCGAATGTCTCGAGATTATTCTCTGTCACACGCTTCACGCCAAACAAAATTGTCCTCAGAAGCTTCCCTTGGCTAGTGTTGAATCCATTGCGAAGAACGTAGCCAATACAGCCTCCATCCGGAGCCCTCATGGCTCCTTTGGACGGTGGAGTGTGTTGAACAACTTTAGTGCCACCGAAGAGCACAAACAGCTTACCATCACCCTCAGGGTCGAGCTCCTTCGAGAGATCTCCTGTGTTTTCCAGACTCTCCTTCATCTGAGGCACAGATTCGCCAGTGAGCATGCTCTCGTCTACAATGCAAGAGCCGCGAAGGAGCACAAGATCACAGGGCACGAGATGATCATTCTGAGAGCGCGCGACAGATATCAGATCGCCAGGCACGAGCTGATCTGAGATCACTTGGCGCCACTTGCGATTCCTGAAGACATTGATGAGATAGGGCTTGTTGCCCATCTTTCGGATCTCAGCCATGTTGCGGAGCTGCTGCTGGACGAGTGTGCATTCGAAGATGACCAGCATGCACAGGGTGAACAGGGAGTAATACCAGTACTCGTCCAGACACCACAAGCCCACCGAGAAGATCTGGAAGACGAAGAAGGGTGCCGTGGCGCGCTCGATGAACAGCTGATAGAATTCCGGGACTGCCATTTCCATAAGGTTCTTCCCGTATGTCTTTTCAGCCAAGTTCACATCGGCTTCATCCTCATGTCCCTTCGCCTCGATGTACTCCTTGTATGTCATGTGCACGGGGAAGTCAATGCCACGAAACTGGGCCTTCTCTGCGTCCCAGATGTACTTGATCTTCTGAAACATAATCCAGTACTCAGGCTCCGCGTCTGCAGACGCCCTCGAGCTCTGAATGAGTGTAAGTTCTGCGGACCCATTATTAGGCGTTGGCACCACCTTAGCATACACTCCGGCAGCGGGCAATTTTGTCTGAAAGGCAAGAAAACATCCCCAATCAGTGACTTAACCTCACTTCCCAACTGTCCACATCATCACACCTTTCGGAAGTTCAGGGCGGAATTCACGTGAACGCTCCAGAAGCAGCATAGACAGCACAGCGTCTGGACACATCCGATGATGGCCAGCGACAGAAGACCGGCTTCGTAGTGCTCCCAGATCCCGTAAACACACACGGAGAAGTAGAACCAGATGCAGTAGAGGATCAGGAAGGGAAATATCGCCCCATTGAAAACCAGCGGATTGGGTATGTGAAGAGTCACGTACTTCACGAGATCGTCCAGTGACTGAACACTATCACCTTTCAGCCTGGTCATCTTTCACGGTGTATTTCCACTATTTTCACGGGGGTTTTCACGAAACACTTGCACAAATTTACAGAGTGAAAGTCACCACAAAACAGCTGAACACATGACAAGAGTGGTGAAATTCACTCTGGCATGCCAGTACTCACGGAGCGCGAAATTCGAATGTTAATTCAAAATCAATTTGTATGTGGCGTAAGTCCACAGATTCACGCCAAAGATAGTGAAGCATCTTAAGAGATTTAACATGAGCCTTTTGAATTTGTTGGTTGAATTTATCTTTGCTGAAATTCCCAACTCTCAATTTGAGAAGCACAACAAAAATTCGGAGCTGCAAGAGAAATTTGTAATTCCAATTCTTCATTCTGCTTTGCATCCTTTGCATAATAAAAATTGTAAAATCCGTTCTGAACCCCAGAAATAGTCAACAGGATATTGCAAAAAGACTCAGCAAAGGACATCGCGATAAAACCAGAAATGCCTTCCATAGAATCCCCACAAAGAGCGAGTGAAAATGTCTTAAAATGTTTGCGTGACGAGAAAATTTCTCTTTCCGGTTTGAAAAACGCTTCCCAATAAATTACCAGGACTGCACAGTGTATTTGAGTTTCGCAAGTCGATACTTGAGGGCGAGATTATTGGCCTCGGTGCGAAGACAGAGAGTCGCCAAGATTGTTTACGATAGACCAACTCCTTTCTTCCTGGCAAAAACCAAAAGTGACTTTCTCCCTTTGTCGCGGAGCAAAAATCAATATCCTGAGCGAGGAAATGTTCCTTTCGCAGCTTGTAATTGGGATAATAAAGTTTTTCATTTTTCTCGTGAGATAAATGTCCGCCTCGTGAGCTGAGCAAGTGCATTTTTTCACTCAATTTCCATCCTCATTTTCCGTTCCCTCATCTTATCGCCGTGGAAAATTTCATTCAAAATTGGATTTATGGAATTTCGTGGGGAGAATGAAAGCTCTTAAAAGCTTTCACTAGTTTTCCACCAATTTTCCGTGTCCTTCTTTTCGCCGAAAAAGCAAACAATAGCATTAGCAATTTTTCTCTCCCACTCAGAGCGAGTGCCTTGAATTTTCCACAGCGTGTGATGCAATCAGGAGTGTGAAAAATTCAGCACATTCCTCGGCAATCGCGGCAATACAGATCTGATAAAAGCGAAAAATTCCTCTAATTGATGATACAAATTGCGATTGACGCGAGTAATTGCCTCTGTAGAATAGTAATTTCACCGGGAAATGGTAGGGGACCTCTAAATCAAAGGTCTTACAACAGCCAAAATGTGATTCCCACCAATTAGATATCATTTCTCATTTTCCTCTTCTCTCGTTGCCCATGAATTTTGTACAGTGCGGACGCGAACAGCTGCTTATCAAGTGGCGTAGTCATATGAGGAAGAATAGTGTTTTCCCTTGTTTCACGAAACCGCACAAGTGCCAAGAACCTCTTATAAGATATTCGATAGTCGTCTTTTGGAGATTCACTTGATTAATTTATTGCCTAAGCCTGAGAAAGAATACAAAGACTGTCGATGCCAGCGCGAAAAGGGACACGCTAAGCTGCGAGGACACATTGCAGCCATCGTCGTGACACTCACACTCCATTTGGTAGTGATTGTCTGTCGTGAATTCCACGCAGGATCGTCGTCTGTTCGAGGGAATCCAGCCGCAGATCCTCAAGATCCTTCTCTCCTCCACTTCGCGATCGAGCACTAGAAGCGAAGGTCCAATTGAGAACTTGAAACCGAGCATTGAATCATCATCTTACGTTCAAACTCAATCTTGCGACAGAACGGCTCGTTGCCTTCGTAGGATTGATTGCACTCCTTGTAGAAATGGGTGAATCTGTCAGCCTGCAAAGTATCCACGAGATCACATCCAACGTCCACCGCCGAATTGCACTGGTAACATTTGATGGCCGATGTGTCTGGAAGGAAAATGAAGAGAAAAACCAATAATAAATATTCTTATGTGCTCTACATTTAACGATGATTTCCTATTCCTGTATCTCTTCATATGACATCATTCAATTGTTGCGTGAAATTTTTCTGTCAAAGCGTCTGTGTTGATTAATTGATTTTCACTTGATATTGACATAATTTTACACTTTCGTGATAATCGACAGAGTTCAAAATTTTCGCGATACAAAACAAGGTCTTCACACTGTCAAGGATGCATTTGAAGCGTTACGAATTTGGCAAAACAACCCAATTGAAGCTTGTACGAAATTTTATCTGTCCAACATTTGATGAAATATGAATCACACACAAGGTTGCAAATAAAAATAAGCATGTAGTTTGTGAATAATTCAATTTCAAGCTCACAAAAACGCCGGTTTTTTAGGCTAAACTCAATTATCACAGAATTGAATAACGTGTCAGCGTTTGTTTTTAAAACCAGAACCATTTCCAAAAGCAGAAGAATATAAAATATGCAATCTGCAGAAAATTAGAGTAAATTTGAATAATTTCACAAACAGGAAAAGATAAAATTAAAATATTGGTTATTCCGTAATTTTTCTTCCAAGTCGTGAAATACAGATTTTGTGTGTTCATTTAAAGCCTATATAGTGAAAAATCCATAACAAAGTTTTGATTTTCCGAGAGTGCAATTCTGTTTTTATTACGAAATGATGATTTTCTCATTTTCTACTGTGTTTATTTAAAAATGCAAATATCACATGTGTGTTTTTGAGAGCCAGGTCAATGGAAAGATATGCACGTCATAAGACGAAATGTCATTAATATTCAATGAAACGACTTCAAAATACAGTTACAAAACAATTCTCAGCAAATTCACACATTTCATCAGTGTGTAGAATTTTCACGAGAGTTTTTCAACCGGAAAATTTCCGCAATCAGCAGAAAAATCCCCTCCAGTGCTAATTAAACACTCAAGATCGCTAATTGAGCACTTAGAGTATGTATGGCAAATGTTCAGTCACTCAAGATGGGTTTTGAGTTCCTTTGCAACCTGATAAAGGCGCAAACACACGCACTTGTGATCGTGAGAATCTCCGAGACTTATCATAAAATGTGAGACTCCGTTCTCACTTTCCGTGATTTGGCCGCTTATCAGAGGGAGACGATGACATCCCACTTGGCTCATTTACGAGGACGGCGAGTCAGGGAATGAAGTGCACGCAAATATTGATAAATCGATAGGGAGAGTTGAGGATGGGAGATAAGGCTGCGAGAGGGAAAGTGAAAAAAATGTGGAACAACTCAGGCCTTAAGATTACTGCACTCTATCATACCTTTGACAGATGAGGTCACAATTAGAACGACGATTAAAAGCAAGCTTTTCGATGGACTTATCACAAACATTTTCGAGCTGTTTATTCTCTCTTCTATGCACTGATGGTAGAAATAATAATACGCAGAAAGGCACTCAATTGGTCACTATGGCACTTCAGCAGCTTTATGGTCTTTGGGGGCCTTTGCAGGTGATCAAGCGTACGGTCATGTGGTTAAAAATACTCCTCCACACTAGACAGCCAAGTGATTCTCAGAGTCAGTAGCACTTTCATCACATTTATTATAATGGCCTTATCACGGAGAGCAAACGTTTGCCAATGATAAAGCAACACTCGAGGAAATATCGCACCTTCGTCCTTGCCTTAATTGGACGCCCCAGCGTCTCTTCGTGAAATTGGGCGGCTGTTCGGGAAATGTGAAAGTCCAGAGCAGCGTCTCACGAGCTGTTGAGTGCCGAAGATGAGGCTCAATACTGACTGGAAGTGTTTGGAGCTGAATCCATAATGAGAGAGTCTGTTTGGTGCTGGAATAAAGGTTTGATGCGTGGCCGATAAATTTGGATCAAACCGGAATGATGGTGTTCAGAACTGCCTCAATCAACTGCAGCATTAGTACCGTCATTTTCGACATGAGGATTTCCCCCGCCCGAATTTCTTCGCAGTGAGCAAGACAGCACCGTCATAATCCACGTCTCCGTCCCACTCGCACTGGGATTTTCATCTCTGCTGTGGCAGCGTCAGAACCTCGGCCCAGTCTCCGAGTGTGCCTCTGGGCTGAATGGCAATGAACATGGGGTCTAACTGGTAAAAAGTGGAATACTCATGATACTTTTTTATCTCACGCCTTCCTTTCCCAGCGCCCCACTCGACAATCTATTTACTATCATTACACTTTGCCACTGTCAGCAATGTACAATTCTCTCAGATGTTTGCTTGAGTGACGCGCGGTGCACATATCGAAAGTGTCTCAATATTTGAATGGGAGATGGATGTTTTACAATGGGGAAATGTATACTGTTCCTATTGAAACAGACGCCTTGACAGTGAAAAACACGCTGAGGTATTGAACATATTTACTGATGTCACAGCACAATTTTTAAATAAAATACTCGTATCGCGAATTCGCAAAACAAGTTGTTTTTATTAACACTTCGACGAATTTCCCATCATGTTCTGCATTAAAATTTTGCTAAGAATTTTGTGCGAAAATTCACAATAGTTAAATAAAAAGGTAAATGTTATTAAAATATTTCTCAGCTTCATAACATTATGATTATAATAAGTCTCATTATTAAATTATGCAAAAATCCCATTCAATTTCGACCTCCATCCATTAAATTGCGCTCTTCCTACTGAAATATCGGATAATTGAGCTGTTATTCCTGCAAGTGTTAACATCCATGAGTTCCAGCTAGATTATACCGTTTCTTAATCACTCATTTACTTTCTCATTTAAATAAATTGCCCACTCATTTCGATTCCCCACTACAAATCAATGGAAATTTCAGGATACTACTGGATCACTAGATTTAGCAAGATCAACAAAATGTTGCCAATATAAATTTGCTTTGCGAAGTCAAATTAAAAGAAAATATGTCAATATACTTCACAGTTTCATGGATAAGCATTTACTTGCGTAAAGCCACAGGAGTGCAAAAATCTCATTCGGGAGAAAACCTAGTAAATAGAGAGACAAAAGCATTTTTATGTGATTGTTGTTTTGCAAATTTTCCCGCTTGACAGCAAAGGCGAGGCAAAATTCCCAAAGAACAGATTTCTTGTTCAATTTAATCCGGAAATTTCTGATTTCATCCATAAAATCATTAGAATATTTGTTTGAATGAGATAGTAAATACTTTTTGCACCCATAGAAATCCATTTTGCATAATAATTGTTTGCTGTGGACGATTATCCAGCTATTTTAATGAAAAATCGAGCAAGTTAGAAGAAAATTGAACTGCTTTATGTTGGAAATGCCAAGACAGCAAAGCGATAATTGACATCAGACCATCAGACAAATAAAAGACAGAGCTTTGAAAGCAATTTTTAGTATCGCTCGTGAGTGGAAAAGTTGGCAAATAAGAGTGCTAATTTTTTTTAATTTCTGTATTTTCATTCGCTGCCAGATGAATCGTGGAAGTGTGATAAGAGCAAGTAGTGTCTGGCTGAGTAAATTGTATTTTCCCTAAAAGGCAAACTGTCACGGAGCTATTTGGCGTCTCATGATGACGTTCTTTTCCTCTAGTAATTCAAATGCGCACCGACGAATCCATTTCCTGCAATAACACTTGAATCAGGAGAAAACTGACCATAAAGACCGCGAAGGTTTCTTTGTGTACAAGTTCATATCCTTCGCGTGACCCATTTACAAACACCCCACAAAGAAATTTTCTGACAGCATAAAATCACTCCCCAATAATCCTCACGCCCTCAATTGGCTCCACACGAGGACTTCATGAAGGGGCGGACAAAAACCACCCACTATCAGTGAAGTGGTCAACCGATATCGGATTTACCTGGGTCGAAATGGTGGTGTGAATTTGTGAGTAAATCACTTTTGGATAGTGGGTAAAATACACAATACAGCAGTGCTAATAACCCGTCAATATGATCGATAATTCATCAGGAGTTGTCACATGAGCCTGACTCACGCACTGGCCCCACGAGGATGATAATGAGTAAGATGTAATGAAAGTTATTCTACACCCAGCAATCATGCAACAGTTCCATTTTCACTTCTTACAGCCAAAAGCCATTTCTTTCCTCGGAAATGCACTCATTTGCGCGGTGGGGTGGAATTGATTGTCCCTTAGCCAAAGCAGGGAATTCATCAAGTCAAGAGGCGGTCACAAATATATAGATATTCAGCATTGAATGTGCTCTTGAACTTTTACATTTGCACCCATTTTACTACGGTGGTGGCGTGTTGTGTCCATTAAAATGGCATTTAACAGGTGAAGTGCAGAGGAAAGAGGAAAGCAAAAAATGCATGTTTTATACAGTCACTAAAATGATAATCAAGGGGCCAATAGCATTTGCTTGTTACTAAAGTCAGTGCAGTTAGTGACGGAATTAAAAATTCTTTTCTTTACTTTCTAGATAAGGAATGATATGCAAATCCCATACGACAGCGTTCTTATCTAAGCTCTTAACCCCTCAGCTAATCACAATCCATTTTCAGACACTCCGCGGGCGACCAACAAACAAGAGCACTTTTCTCATGGCGCTGACGGAAGCGAGTGAAATGTTGAGGAATAGCATTCGTGATGGACTTAAAAATAATTAATTAAACTGTTTTACGAAAATAGAACGACAATTTTCACTAAACACTTAAGTACACCCATCACGCCCACTGTTTGATCAGAATCTCTCATTTAACACCTGATGATGACCTGCATTCTGCTAATTGTAAAAATCTACATGATGCAAATACCAGCAACAAGTTCAATGGCTAATGAGCTGTCGAAGCAAAGTGCATCAAATAGTTCGGACGAGAGATTTTATTTGTCTCAGCAGGTCGCTGAATATTGCGAAGAAAGTGGACCAGTTTGCCAAGGATGGCGGATTTCGGGCGAGATGCAGGGCGCCACATTGACGTCACACATCTTTTAATGTCGCCTCCGTGGCGCCAGATTGAATACGAGGGGATAACGCCGCCTCTCGCCACCCTCTCTGGCTGCGCGGATGCCGTAGCGAAATGGGGTGAATGCTTCCTCTATGGCCTTTTTAGATACTTCGCTGTTAAACGCAATTCGCCACTCAGAGTCCGGAGGATTCGAATGCAGAATTACTTCAATAGTTGGGGGTGGAATTGGACAGCAAAGAGCGCTAAATGGCAGATTTTCGTGCTCTGAAGATATCCGATGTGACATTGCTGGGTTGTGGGGCTTTTGGATGGCACGAAGTATTGATTGACATCACAGGGGGGTTTCTATAGTGAGTGAGAACACGAAATATGATAAACATTTGACCAAAACCCTCCCCAGGGCAGCACTAATCATCGCCACCCTCAAGGATTTTCTGACACTGATTCTCAGAGAAATCACAGCTCTTGTACATTAGCCACAAGGGTTTGAATGGCTGAACAAGAAACAAAAGCTTTTACAGATTTACAGCTGAAGGACGACTATTGCGTCTAACTTTATAGATTTTAACAGCAACGCAGAAGATCATCAGAAAAGGATTGCCGGAATTTATTTCGACGTGCATTGAGTATCATGTGAATCGCAATTCTGGCAAGAGTTTCTGGGTTTACTTATCCTGAATACACAGTGATTTGTGATTTTTCTTGTTTCACATGTTGTCCTTCTGGGAAGGGACTTTTCCATAGTTTTCCCTTAAATACTGAGCCATGGACTCATTGATTAGGTGTCACTCTGCTCCCACAATCATGTCCTCTGCAATGAACTTTAGGGACATCAAAATCGATATCATGCTCTTCACCTTTACACTGCGATCGAACTTTGCCATCAAAACCACTTTCCACGGTCGAGATTTTGCTCTTTTATAGACATATGACCTTTGCCTACACTTGGACTTTAGGTATTTCAGGAAATCTCATTACAATGCTAGAATCCTTGAATGGTATGCAACAGTGTGGCTGGTTTTTATTGTCAGTTATTTCAATTTACAATTTAGAATTTGTCTTGCATTACACTCAGGCAGAATGGAAACTCTGCAGAGATCATGATTTTGTTAACTTATCAGCTTAGTAAGTGGTTAAAGATAATGAGTAGAGGTATTTAAACAGTGATTCTCATGGCTCGACATTTACATTCAACTTTGTGTGCAATATTATATGTATTCAGTTTGTTTACTCAAATTTATGATATAGAAATACACAAACTTGACCTTATGCTCTTATTCTCGCAAAATACTTATTTTATGCGGATGAAAAGTATCGACGGCGCATTGAAAGGGTACGACATTGTAGGAATCAGTATAAGTACACTTTCGACAGTGATGCAAAAATAAAACTTTCCCCTACATATTTCCCCGCTTCTCTCAGGAAAAGTCGTACTGTTTTGCGATGCTTCTTCGTCGGTATTTTCCGCTGGGAATTCAACAGCCAAGCACTGAAAGGTTCTCGTCAGAACCAAACGTTTTTCGACTGCTTCAGTTGATTTCGGGACTCGAGTGCGAAAGGACGGTTGAAAGGATACGACTGGCAGTGCTGATTTCAGTGGTTTTCCATTTGAATCTCAGAGAATAATTTTCATCTGCAAGGAATTTATTTTTAGAATAACAATGAGAAACCGGGAGATTATTCTTTTGCAAATAATCACTATTTTTCTGCTGTCCACCAAATCCGGTTAGTGTCTTTTTTTAAGCGTGGGTCCTATGATTTTAATTTAAAACTCTTCTTTTCTTCCCATAAAAAGCTCTCGCAATTAAGTGCTACAATTGTGACTCATCGAAAAACGTGGAGTGTACAGATGTTAGTTCATCGAATACAATTTTGCCTGAGGTAAAGTTCTTCATCGCCACTATCAATCATATCAATTGCAAATTCGTGTTCCCAAATGATAAATCGGTGTCAGTGACGTGTTATCGTTGAATTTTTGATACTGTCCGACCTCCACAATTCTTTTTAACTGCCGATTTGTTCAATAAAAAATTATTGACTGCGACAAAGTGATATTGATATGCGACGAGAGTTTCATGAAAATTGATGGTGATTTGCCTCTTGCAGATCTGCACTCCTCAAATTCTCTCCTCCACGGATCCCAATGCCAGCAGTTGGCTGCAGAAGCTCATAAGGATTGAATTCTTGTCTCAAAGCTCCTACAATGTTGCTATGCTGTGTCAGAAAATTACGGTTGTTAATGGTAAGTAGTTATATATTGTTGATTCACTTATTTACACACTATTTCCACCGAAAATCCTCCCCAAATTGCGCTTTTCTTGACTAGAAACCTCACCTATTAAAATAAAAGTTTGTTGAAAATTTCAAAATAATCAGATTATTTAGAATTTGTTCAGGAAAGTCAGGTTAAAAAGGTGTTACATCACGAAAATGCTCTGCGATCCTTCTATACTGTGTTAATTATAAATCCAGTTCTTCATAAGCTCCTTCATCTTCCTTAGAACGAGACCCTAACGATCGCATCACTGTGCGAAGCTGCCAACTGGATGGCGCTCAGACGAACCCATGTAGCGTGGCTGAAGACAAGATAAGGGATCAGCAGATCAGAGGTTACCGAATTGAGCACTGTTCCATTTGCAACCGCGACAATTGCAACGGCGCTATGGGAATGGCCAAGATGTGGTCTCCAGTGGGCGTCATTCTGACCATTATCGTGTCTACCCGACTGCATCTGTGGTAAAGTGAGAAAAACACATGTCTCAAGTTCTGATTAATTGTGGCAAGAAGGAAGAGAGCCAGAGGCGAGCTGGCCCAGGAACAAACATTCTCAACTCCCTGTCATCAATAACCCAACAAATTGCCACCCAAAACCCAATTTGAAATATGAATCCTTCGCTGTGCACAGTACATTTTCGCCATAGTCTCTGAAAGAATCCCAGAGTTGAGAGTGTTTGGCTCATTAATTTAAAAATAGTAAGACACATTGGAAGTAAAGTTTACGTTTAGTCAAGACGTGCAAGAGACAAACATGTATGTAGACATTAATCACGAGTCTTTTTTGTGCTGAGAGATATGAGTGAACCACCAATGATTAAATATAATTAAAGATATGGATAGTAATTATCGATTAATTGTTAATTGAATATTTGTATTGGTGAAGAGCAGTGACAATTTATCACGATTCACACCAAAATGTCTACACGTTAACAAATTCATCAAACGGGATTATAGAGTGAGTCCCTATTTTGCAATCATCGACCCATTGAAAAATCCCACCCCTTGTTTACAAAGCCGACGATTCATTTCATATACGAAACTTATTGAATTTCCGCTGAAATTGCTTCCACATCGCTTCATAAAACCCCTTGTTTTTGTCAGGATAAACTTGTGCATAACACACAAATTCTATAATGAGTTTTTGAAGCCAAATTTCGCCATTGTACTAAAATTGTCCTTAAGAAATAATGCCAAACACAAATAAAATATCCTCGATTTGACTCATATATCACATCCACGCATTTATTCGATGAATCAAGTTTATTTCGACAGTTTTAGATTACGTTTATCTGTTCATTCATTACGACATCGCGAAAATACTCATATTTTGACCAAAGTTCGAGTATCCTCGAGTGATTATGGGTGAATGTGAAGCAATCATTCGCACGGAATATTAACTAATTCGCGAGTATTTTTTTGATAGGTCTTATCAGCATCTCTGCAATGACGTTTCCAGATGTTTTGTGCCGTGCAATCATCAATAGTAAATTGGAGGGACTTGAAGTGTGAATGGTGATAAATTGATCCACTGCACACAGCTATAAAATTATTGCCGTCGAATGCATCCACATTTTGCCTTCAATTTGTAAACCGGTATTTACAATTTGGAATGTTTACTTGTTAATGTAATCGCAAGGAAACGAGTGAATTTTTCGTGACGAATCAATTAAGATGGTATTTATTCTCACCGAGGAGTTGGAAGGAGATGCTTTAATTTGTAGTGATAGCGAAGCTGATTTGTAAGACGACACCTTCTTTTGTAGGTTCATCATAAGAATATATAACTGTATAACCATAATTTCATGTGACTCTCTCTCTTTAACAAATAACACCAAAATATATTTAGTTAAGGTAAATGAGGTAAATAAAGTTAATGGAGTTTGTAAGCGTATTAATACACACATTAATTACATTGGTGTCAATAAACATATAAAAAAAATATTGATGAGATAACTTGAGTGTATAAATCTTATTCTTATGTATTCATCTATGTACTGGCATATGAACATATTGTACTAAAGAATAAACACTTCAGAGTTACTTGGAAATCTTAGCGAATAAAATTTAGCATATAAGGTTTGACAAAAAAATTTGGACGTAGATTGTAAAGTGTCTTGTATTGGACTTTTGATCCCCCTTTTTAGGAGCTAAAATTAATTTATCATATCGCCAATGCGCGCGACTAATTTTTGTCAAGAGAAATATCTTTATTGGCATCAAGAGAGCAATTTTTCGTTTTCAACACTCACACCCCGCCAAGCCATAAGCATTCCCGCGAGATGAGGAAATAAAGAAATTGTAGAAATAATGTCAACAAGAACATTTGTAAAATGCTAGAACATGTATGACTTTATGATTTTCAACAATAAACCGAAGAATAACAACTTGAATATCCGTTTTCCTCTTTCCCACGTCATTTTTCTCATATGTCGCAAGATGTGATGGCAAAAGGGGAAAATTACATTGTGACTCATTGCATTAACCCATAAAATTCAGTTGAATATAGTCCATAATACGTGGCCAAAAATACGATTCTGGCTAGAGTTCTGGCACAGTTTTTGACCCATTCATCATTAGCTTTGATTCTAGATCATGATTTTCTAGCCTCAACTCATTCTCAGTAATATTGTGTAATTTTTCTTTTCACTCCCATTTCATGGGTTAAGAGAGTTTGATGACAAACATGATTACGGGCACAAAATCTGGCGAGAGTGCGTCAGGAGAGTGCTTTAGTTCGGTCAGTCGAGATAAGGGACAACGCCAGGTGAAAATATTCCATTTCCAATTCATTATAGGCTGTGTGTGCCCAAATGAGATAGACAGCAACACGACCTGGTGATTATTTATCTAGCAACTCCACCAATTCTCCCTGTTATCATAACCAGAGTGAAAAGGTATAAAAGCCCAGTGCGAAATCACGACTCAACACTCGCCTTGTCTCTTTTGGAAACACCACGTGTTGGAAGTGATCAGATTCGAGTGAAAAATGAAGGTGATTGTGATTATTCTAGCCATTTTCGTGGCTCAAGGTGTGTAAATTTAGTGACCGATCCTCGGAATATCAGTGTTGATTCTTTACTCTTGATTCAGGATACTCCCAGCGACACTGCTTCATTTGCCAGAACTGCAACGATCCCTTCGACACGGGTGCTGCGCAAAGACATTTGTGCACTGCTGACAATATCTTTCAGCCACCAGGACAGGAACCTCCGGTTACTCCTCCAATCACTCCTCCGCCTGATGGCCCACCAGCAACCACTGAACCACCCACCTTGACTCCTCCGACTGAGGCTCTTCCCCCGGGAGAAGATCCTACACTTCCCCCGATCAATGGGATTCCGACAACGACCACCCTCCAGCCAACACCCGCAGATGTTCCCCAGGGACTCTACAGGAAGCGCCGCAATGCCGTGGCTTACAACGATCCTGAGCCAGACCCCGCCAACCAGCAATTCCGCTGTTTCATAGCCCACAGAGATGTTGGTGAGTATCAAAACCAGACGAACGCAACGCAAACTCTAACTTTGCACTCATTCTTAGGTGGAAACCGCCAAACAGAGCGAGGATGCACGGTATATTTGGGCGACGAGACGTGTGGCTTCTTGGGTGTCACCGGAAATAATTGCAGAGTTTGCGACAGCGACGGTTGCAACAGTGGCTCGAGGTTCACCTTGTCCATCTTGACGCTCATCGCGGCACTTTTCATCGTAGTGCGACTTCATTAAGCTCTTTGTGAGACGCTAGGTAGCTCGTTAGAGTTTAATTGCCAATTATGAACCATATATATTTAGCTATGTATTTTGTAAGCTCTAAGAATAGCATGTACATATGAGATTACACGATTGGTCTCCTATTTATTAAGTCAAGTGGAGCTCACTGCACTGCATCCTTCACTCTCATACTCACACTTCTCATAAATTGGGCGTTAATAAATTTATTGATTGGAGTCACAAAACGTGAAATCTTTTAATGTCTGGGGAAATTCGTGACTTATTTAGCTTGAGCTTAAAGTCACCTTTATCAAAAATCCCCTGAAATCTTAACTTTATCAGTGTGAAAATATTTCCTAACACTTTTATTAATCCTTTGCGATGAATCAGAGTTCGTCTTGTGATAATGAGTTTCCATTGGATTATTCGCAATTTCTTGGAAAGGTTTCAGGGGATTTTACTTGTATGTTCTTTCACAATTGATACTCTCTTTTTTCATCATGTTCTCCAAAGTTGAACAATAACCAGGCGCCCCCATTAACACTATATGAAAAATGCGTCTCGACTAAACATAGAAACAGGCAATAAAAAAGTGATTAACTTACTGATAAAGGAACTTTCGGTCCTTCTTCAGAATTGAATGTTATCAACTTTTTTCACAGGAAATGGTCAAGAAATTTAAAACGATAAATTAATCCTCTTGAAACACACTTCGCTGATTTTTCGAGGAAACCTTTGAATGTGTGATTAGTTTATACTTTCATTAATCACATCAATGGCAAATTCGTGTTCCCAAAATGACGAATGATAAAATATTGGCTTTATGAAGTGATATTGATATGCGGTGGAAAATTGATCACATTCTGTCTTTCGTACTGAAATTTTGCCATTCAAGTCAGATATTTAAATGATTCTTAAGTCTGAATTTGCACATATGTTACATTTATTACCGACATTTAGAGAAGCAAATTCTTCGACGCTCTCCGTTATATAGTTTACAGATAATCAATTCGCTCTGCTCTGAATACCTTGCTCAAATAGACCCATGCAGTTTGGCTGAAGGAAAAATAGGAAATCAGCAAAATCACATCACCGCATTGAACACTGTTCAACCTGCAACGTCTCAAATTTATTCTTATCACTAAAAAAACACATAGTCTGTAGATATGAACATATTGATGATAATGAACTTTCTCCTATAATTCCTGAATTGTATCAACGTATTCACCTTACATAAAGCGAAAAGATATTCTCCTTTGAGGAATTTGAGACGACACAGAAATCGCAAATTCTCTTAAAACTTTAATACGTGTTTATGATTTCTTATCAAAAAACTGAGTTTTGATAAATCTTCAGACTCGATTTTCAGCTTTTTTACCCTGAAATTACCTGACAAATTCAGTCTAAAGCAAGTCTTTATCGAGTTCAGTCCTCCAAAAATGAATAAAAATCATCTTTATTTGCTCATTTTGGGCCTGAATTCATTGTGTCTTTTCACTTCAAGTCAAGAAATACAATGTATAGTTTGTGATGAGTCGCAGAATCCAGATTGCAGATACCTTAACAATCATCATCAGCCCGTAGTTTGTCAACCTGGACCTGTCGATGCTACTGGATGCTACAGATACGAATCAAGTCAGCGAGAGAGAGACTTCTAAGAAACAGTTCATGTTATATTTCCCCATTTTCAGATAACAACGTGATTAGAGGATGTGTGTCGAGTTTGGTTGGAACTCCACGTTTGCAAGATTGTCAAGCAGGTGTCATTTGTAAAATATGCCACACTAGTTCATGCAATTCTAAAGGTGAGTTTACTTTGAGTCACTTCTGAATTCATTTTTACACCCATGATTATAATTGTAGTTGACTTCCAACGCTGCTACAGTTGCAATTCTGGCTTAGATTATGATTGTCTCAGGGTTCAGAATGATACCAGGCCTGTTACAGTGTGTCATGACTATATGGATTCTTGTGTGAATATAATTCAGGAACACACAAGACTCACAATTCGTGGATGCACACTGGAAATCGATGCTATGCACACTGCTATGGATCATCTGAGACTAACATGCCCAGCTAACTTATGTAACACCAATATCTTTCCTGTCTGGAGGGCAACGTGCCATCAGTGCGATTCCGGAGAAGAATGCAATAGAAATGGCACGGAAACCACTCAGTATTTGATGCCTTGTAAGATCTTTTGGCAGGAAGATCAGTGTTACTCAGTCCTCAGAGATCGCCAAGCTGTTCGTGGATGCATAAAAGATGCTGATGCAAACGTGGCATTTTGCCAAAATTCTGAAACATGCGAGATTTGCACAGAATCTGGATGTAATTTCCGCCCGGCAAGTAGACCAGGTAGTCTTCAATGCATTAGGTGCCAGAATTTGGCACACTGTACTTGGGGATTTCCTACTTCCACTGTGTTCCTTACTAGTTGTCAAGGAGATGTCTGGATGGGAGAAGTTGAATCGTGCCAGACCGGTCTTGGCCCCAACAACAATGTTATGCGAGGATGTTCCCACCATCATGCATCTGATTATTCATGTCCTGAGAATTACTCCTGTTTGAAATGCCATGACAGTTTATGCAATAATGTGGCAATTACGAGACAAAGATGCATTCGCTGCCGCAGCAATGCTTCGGGTCAGGAGAGTTGCGCTGAAGAAGCTCAAGGTCTGCAAACAAGCGAATGTTCAGGAGATCAGCAGTCATTTTACGAGAGAGGATGCTATACCATGCGAAAACCGAATGGAATCGTCATTCGTGGTTGCAGAAGAGATCTCAGTCACGAGGATTTCTACACAACATGTTACGAACATGATAATCCCATTTGTATTACCTGTCTTGGTCAGGATTGCAACATTGGTCCAGCTCCTGCCAATGCAAATATTCTGCATCCGCTCTATACTCTATTACTATTCCTTGTAACAGCATTGAAATTTCTTTAAAAGAAAAATAAATTTTTTTGAGTGTACGTTCTGCAAATCAAGAGATAGCTGTGTCATAAATTTTGATTACACTCGGTATCATCTTATCAGGTGAACTTTTGCCAAGACACTAGACATTTGATATTGAGTTTTATTTTTATTGATTCCCCCCAAATGAATACTTTTCTTAATCTCTCAGTAGTCGACAAACCTTCATTTCATTCAGAAGTTCAGAAAAATGAACTACCTTTGCTTCTTCCTTCTGTTCTTCATAAAATTGTTCCTCGTTGTTCATGGTAATAAACTGTGTTTGCAGAATTTTAACCGAGCATTAAAAATCACTAATCATATTAACAGGACAATCAGAATGTATTGTATGTGATGAATCACAAGATCCTGACTGCAGATTGCTCGCAACTGCGCATGAAGCTCAACTTTGTCCTCCCGAATCGGACGTTACTACTAATGGGTGCTATCGATATGAAGCAAGTGAGTAATAAAGGAATTTAACAGAAAAAAGCCTTTTCTCAAATACTTTTCTTTTAGATAACAACGTGATTAGGGGATGTGTGTCGAGTCTGGTTGGAACACCTCTCTTGGAAGAATGTGAAACTGGCGTTACTTGCAAGATTTGCGAGGAAAATGGATGCAACTCCAAAGGTACATTAAACAAATCCACCAATGCAGATATATACTATATACCACTTCTCTTTGAATTTTTAGTTGACTTTCAACGATGTTACGACTGCAATTCTGGCACAGAAAATGATTGCCTCAGGGTTCAGAATGGCACCAGACCTAATCGAATCTGTGATGATTACATGGATTCATGTGTTCAAATAATTGAGGATCAAACTAGACTCACAATCAGAGGATGTACAAATGAAGTTGATGCTTCGCACACTCCTCTATCAAACATGAGATTGGCATGCACTGCTAATTTTTGCAACAACAACATTTATCCTATCTGGAGGGCAACGTGTCATCAGTGCGATTCCGGAGAAGAATGCAATAGAAACAGCACGGAAACCTTTGAGTATTTGATGCCTTGCAAGATCTTCTTTCAAGACGATTATTGCTACTCAGTTCTCAGAGATCGTCAAGCTGTTCGCGGATGTATCAGTGATGCTGATGTAAATGTTGACCTTTGCCAAACTTCTGATACATGTGAAACTTGCATAGAAACCGGCTGCAACTTTCGGCCAGCAAGTAGGCCGGCTGAACTCAAATGTGTTATGTGTTATCATAATCCAATCTGTAGCTGGGGATTTGCTGATCCCAATTTATTCGTGAATCAATGTGAAGAAGATGTCTGGATGGGAGAAGTAGAAGGATGTTACACTGGACGGAGCTTATTTAGTACTGTAACGAGAGGATGTTCCCTTAGCACTCACTACCCTTGCTCATCAGACTATGAATGTAATCATTGCCACACGGACAGATGTAATGCAATAGCGGTGGAGAAACAACAGTGCATTCACTGTCGAAGCGATATTCCTGGACAGGAATCTTGTGCAGATTCTGCACAAGGCTTGCCATTCAAGGAGTGTTCGGGAGATTACCAGGAGTATTTACAACGAGGATGTTATACAATGCGACAACCAGACGGTGTTGTCATTCGTGGATGCAAAAGGGATCTTAGTTATGAGGATTTTTACTGGAATTGCTCAGATGGATGCAACGATTTCTGCATCACATGCTCAGATAATGCATGCAACAATCGTCGAGCACCTTCTAATGCTAATGTTTCACGATCAATTTATATGATGATCATTATTTTAACATTAATGACTATTTGCAGATATGTAAACAACTAATAAAAGCAGAAGTGATACTCACGAGCTCACGTTCTTTCACATTGCTGAACCCTGCCTTTTCTACGAAGCGGGGTAATCTTTATCGGAAATCTACCTATTACACGTATTTTAACTTTGGTCGGTGAATAAGTCACTTGTTGCCGTACGATTGCAGTTTATCAGCTTGTGGATTTTTCGCTTGATTTTTCTCCAAATATCTAGACGGTTGATATAACTGGTTGTAAATAATCCAGTGATTTCACGCATATTTCCCAACCAACATCAATTCTCATCTTCCAGTCAGCAGTGAACCTTCGTCTGTTTCACAAGTCGCAAAAAATCAAGTGCCATAAGTAATCAATATTCCTATTATCAAAGTAAACCTATTACTAAATAAAAGTGCGATAATAAATGGGTCGAAACATTCTTTACCTACTTCTGTGTTTCGAAACACTATTCTCTCTTGCTTATGGTAATAGAGTTAGTTTGTGGTGATTTGAATGACTTTTATTAAAACTGGTAATTTTTCATTAGGACAAATCAATTGCATTGTCTGCGACTCGAGAAATGATCCTGGGTGTGCAACATTGGAAGACATCTCTTCATTTTCGACTCTATGTGAAAATGACAATGAGTGTGCCACTTTTATTGGTCAGTATTTTCAAATAAAAAAAAATTGCAAAAAGTTATCTTTGCTCATTCCAATTGCAGATGAGGGCAGATACACTGTGAGAGGATGTCATACTACAGTCATGGCTCCCTGTTTGGCTACAGATGATCTATGTGTTCTTTGTTTGGGGAACAACTGCAATAATCGAATGTATCCATCAGAAAGAATAGAGTGCTATCAATGTGTGGATTGTGAAAACGCAGAAACAGCACATCCTGCTAGACCTTGTCGAGACTATCAAGAAAATGGCAAATGTTTTATGGCTGTGGAGGAAAACCAAGGTAATAAAACCAGATCAATTATGCCGATTCTGACCCTAAGTTAAATTTACAGGAACAATGACTACCTTCAGAGGTTGTACTTCTGACGCTGATGACACTGCAGCGAAACAAGGGTGCTCTAAGGCAGATAACTACTGCTTGGACTGCGAAACAAGTGGTTGCAACAGTCAAGATCAGTCCGCTCCAAGCACTCTGTCTTGCGTTCAGTGCACAGAAGCAGATTCCTACTGCAGTTCACCTGAGGAGACAAACTCTCAACCCTGTTCCCACGACGTTGTTTTCGGCCGAAACGATGAATGCTACTCTTACAGACTAGGAGATGGCCGAATGGCACGAGGATGCCTCCTTGATCCATCCACTCCTGCTGAGTATAAACAAGAGTGCAGTGAAACCAGTGAAAATTGCCAGATTTGCTCCACATCAGGATGCAATACAAATGCCCTGTCAGAGATCATGTGTGTCGTATGCGACGAGTCGGAAGATCCCGATTGCAGAACACTGTTGAACGAACATCCACTCCAAATGTGCCTACCCGGGCCCTATTACGCTACTGGATGTTATCGTCGTGAATTAAGTGGGTGATTTAATACTCTTAGATTGTAGCCACTCCATACTTAACTTCTTACTTTTGCAGATAACAACGTTGCCAGAGGGTGTGTATCGGAGTTACAAGGCACTCCGATCTTAGAAGATTGTCACGTCGGCGAAGTTTGCAAAATTTGCAACACTGATGGCTGTAATTCAAAGGTGAATTTCCAGGAATGCTACAACTGCAACTCCGATGTGGATTCTGATTGCCTCAGGGTTCAGAACAATACAAGTTCTGCTGTTATTTGTCACGATTACATGGATTCATGTGTGCAAATGATCCAGGATGTCTACAGAATTACACTTAGAGGGTGTACAAATGAGATTGATTCCATGCATAATCCTCTACCAAGCATGAGATTGGCATGCACTGCTAATTTTTGCAACAGCAACATTTATCCCATCTGGAGGGCAACGTGTCATCAGTGCGATTCCGGAGAAGGATGCAATAGAAACAGTACGGAAACTACTGAGTATTTGATGCCTTGCAAGATCTTCTGGCAGGACGATCAGTGTTACTCAGTTCTCAGAGATCGTCAAGCTGTTCGCGGATGCCTCAGTGATGCTGATGCAAACGTGGCCTATTGCCAAGAATCGGACATTTGCGAGAGCTGCATTCAGGCTGGTTGCAACTTCCGCCCGGCGTCAAGACCCCCAGCACTCTCTTGCGTCTCTTGTCAGTATGACGAAGCTTGCAGCTGGGGATTCCCGGTGACGAGTGGGGAATCATGCGAAGAAGATGTCTGGATGGGAGAGGTTGAAGGATGCTACACTGGTGTACGTGAAAATGGTGACGTAGTTAGAGGATGCTCACTTGGATCTGCTCCATGTCCTACCGATCATGAGTGCAACCACTGTCAAAGCAACAACTGCAACAGTGTTGCCATCAATAGACAGGAGTGTATACATTGTCGTAGCGATGCTAACGGCCAGGAGTCCTGTGCGGAAGAAACTGCAGGTCTGGAACCTAGACAGTGTTCGGGAGATCACCAAACTTTCCAATTAAGAGGATGCTACACCATGAGAAAGCCCAACGATATTGTCATTCGAGGATGTATGAGAGATCTTAGCTCCGAAGACATTGTCAGTTGCCAGAGTGATGATCATTTCTGCAATGTTTGCTTGGAACAAGGTTGCAACATCGGACCAGCTCCTGCAAAAGCTGCTATTCAACACCCATTCTTTTTGCTTATTCTGCTTTCTTCAATTATGCTTTTCCGACTATTGTAAAACCTTATCAATTTCAAAAGTTCACAAGTGGTTTTTTGTATGGGAATAAATATTGAAAAGAACACATTTCTCCCGATATATTTTCTATCTCTATCTCTCTCTCTCTCTCTCACTCTTCATATAGAGGATCATCAATCAAATTGATATGGCTCTGCAGAATTTTGCGGGAAGCGATAAGAGACTCACATTTTCATTCACTATCGCTGCGAGATGTTTTCACTCTATTTGACAAAAGGGGATTTTCTACAAATATGATGACTCATTGGAAACTAAATACAAACACATGAGACAAAATGCGCAAATGCGAGTTTTTCCTATTGTATTGTGCAAAAATACTGAATAACTTTATGATCATTTTATTGAAGTGCGGGTATCGCTTCTCAATATCATTTAGCCTGTAATTTCTTGAGATATTTCACCCATTTCCTGGTGCAAAAGTGTACAAATATGTAGGTACAGACTATTGAAACTGTCCTATTATTTTACTGCACCTTTGTTAATCAAATAGATCACAAATAAGTAAAAAATATCATTTGAACAGAAATGGACTTAAACTATGTGAAAACTAAATACTTTAAGTTTTTTCATGAACTGATACTGTAAATTGATGTTGATCAGAAAAAATTCAAGAAACAAGTATCATATAATTTCGTGACGCGCAGCGTATTACATAAACACTTTGTAGGTCAGGCGGTAAAATTTATGACATACCACAAATTCATCATATTTATTATAAAGAAAAGTACAAATTAAATAAAAAGTATGTGATACAATCAATTAAATTTTTTCCATGCTTTCAAAGAATTTGTCATTTCACAAGACTGATCCCTAACGATCTTTTGATCAGTTAAGTGCTGTCCGATAGAGAGTGGACTTGTGCCATAAAGATATTTAGAAAAATTTTACCTATTCGGACATCCAATGTTTGCGCCCCTCGAATGAGTCAATAAATAATCGAATAGGCAATAAAGTTTGATAATCAACCCACTCGAAATCAATTATTCTTGCATATCTCTGGCACTTGTCCCTTGTATCTAGTGGACTAGCGAGAGAAGTTAAGGTTGATTTTCAGTGAATTCTCCTCAGTTTCTTTCGGATCTTCCAGCGGTGTGGAAGGTACGGCAGAGCCATGGAGAAGAAGTTACTAAACGTTGTAATCTTAGTGATTTGTGGAATTAGTCTAGTTCATGGTGCGTTATGTCCTAAGACTAGACTGCAAGAGTACTCCTATTAAACAATCTATTTATCTTAGGTCAGAGAACATGTCATAGTTGCGATTCGGCAACAGACCCGTCATGTGCAACGCTTGCGATTACACCTCTGCCTACCAAGACCTGCACTACAGCCACAGACTCTTGCGTCAGTGCAATCAACGGAGAAAGGACGGTAAGAGGATGTCTTGCTGATGACTTCGGAGGAATTTGCTCTGGCGAACTGTGTGAATCTTGCGGTGCCAACAATTGCAATGCTGGCATCTTCCCTCTGAACAGAGCACAATGTCACAAGTGCGCGGGAGCTGAATGCGCGGAAGTTACGAACAACGATTACCTAACAGTCTGCGAGCGCTATGTTGAAAATGATTCCTGCTACAGTGTTGTCGTTGATGAAAATCTCTTACTCACATACCGCGGCTGCGCCTCAGAACCAACTACCGACGTAGGAAGACAAGAGTGCACCAGACTCGACGAACAAGGCTTCTGTGTAACCTGCACTGCAGCTGGTTGCAACAATCAAGCGGCTAAGGCACCGTCTCAATTAAACTGCATGAAATGCGACGGAGATACTTCTTGCCGCTACAAACAGCCTGAGGACTTTGGCTTGCCCTGCTACTATGATGTCATCCTTGGACGCACTGAGTACTGCTACAGCTACATCGGCAACAACAACAGAGTGTCCCGAGGATGTCTCGATGACGAATTCGTTGGGGAGACAAACTATCGTGAACTCTGCGAAGCTAACCCTGAGACTTGCACCTTGTGCGCCTACAATCTTTGCAACTACGAGAACTACGCTTATCACACTTGCTTCTCATGTGACGGTCACGACGATCCTAATTGCGACACCCTGGATGGATGGTATGAGGCTCAGGAGTGCCCTGGAGGAACCATAGATCAAGTGGGATGCTTCACAGCTACAACTGGTGAGCCACTTTTATCATCTCAATTGTAAATTTCAGTGACAGTTGAATAACTTGATCTTGAGTGCTTTTGACGACTTGATTAGATTATCGAAATTTTGTGGTCTATTTTGCAACTCAATGGCTTATTACATAAGATAATTTTGGATCCACTCCTTGTAGATGGTGTGACAATGAGAGGATGTGTATCACAGCTTCATCCCGACGAAGTCACTTATTGCAGCAACCCCCAAGTAAGCAGCTGCACTCTCTGCGATGCTAATGGTTGCAACGGGAGGCGTAAGTGTCCTTCATGAACAATGCTATCTTATCATGTGTTGTTTTTCTTTCTTGAAATAGATTTATGACTTACTTCCCACGGTTTTCATATCTCATTTCAGCTCCTAAGACATGTATCACATGCGATTCTAGTAATGATCCCAATTGTGCAACTGTTGCTGATCCACAAGCCCTGACCCAGTACAGCCAAGAATGCTCATCATCCTCTGCTATCTGTATCTCCAGAATTTGTAAGTGAATACATAGATCCGAATTTCGATGATGTCATAATCAATCCTGATATTATTAGCCAATGGATACACCCAACGTGGCTGTTCTGGAACAATCTCCTGCACTTCTGGTAATCCTTGCATGCAGTGCGATGGACCCAATTGCAACAACGATGTCCTGCCTACTGACCGTCTTAAGTGCCATAAGTGCTCAGGAGCTAACTGTGCTGACATTACGGATAACACCAATCTTGAAGTTTGTGAAATGTACAACGTCAACGATCAGTGCTTCACCGTCGTGACTGACGAAGAAGTGACCCACCGTGGATGCTATTCGGATCCCAGCTCATCCACAGCCAAATCCGTTTGCACACAGCACGAATCCGGCCAAGACAGATGCGTTAAGTGCGAAGGCGAGGGATGCAATACTCAAGCCATTAAGACTCCGGCCACTCATTCCTGTGTCAAGTGCACAGGAGCTGGTTGTTCCGAAAATCAGGACTCCACTCCCGGAGAAGCTTGCTTCGGTGATGTTCTCTTGGGTCGCACCGAACAATGCTATTCTTACATCTATGACAACGGCAATATTCAGCGCGGATGCCTGTACGATCCAAGTACTCCCCAGGCTATTAGTACGGAATGCTCCAACTCCCCTGGAGGACGTTGCAAAGTCTGCGATGGAGCCAATTGCAATACTGAGGAGATAACTATCACAGAAACTTGCTACTCGTGCGACTCTGAACTGAATCCTGGATGTGCCACCATGACAGGAACCATTGAGACCAAGCAGTGTCCCATCGGCACTCTACTTGGCTGTTTCCGTTCCCAAGTTGGTAAGATGCTGCAAAATTATATTTGAAATCTCCAACAAGGTTCAAAATACATTTCTTCTACTTATCAGATGGTATTGTCGTTCGTGGCTGTGCTGGAGAACTCGTGAGTGGTGAAATCACTCTTTGCCAGCGCGGAGCTCAGTGCAAACTCTGCGATGGCAACAATTGCAACGAAAAAGGTGCGTAATCATTTCCTCATTGCCCATAAATTGGCCACAAGCATCGTCAAATATTTTCATTAAGTTCCATAGCACAATCTATAGCAATGATAAGATAACATTTTGCTATCACGAATACCTGAACACTGTCAATAGCCATCATTAGCAGTGAAGCGAAAAGTAAATTGGGGAGTTTAATCAATAAAACAAATCAGCCGATCAATCGATTCAATGTCAAATTACCGGATCTCACGCGGATTTTATTGTCACTATTTAGCTTGTAATTCAATAACATTTTAAGATCCGAGAAATCAATATATGGTCTCTTGTCGTTTCAGTTGACTTCCAGCGATGCTACAGTTGTAATTCTGCTAACAATGGAGCTTCTTGCTATAACGCACAAGACACGGCAAATCAAGCGACATGCTCAGACTACATGGATTCCTGTATTGTTGCAATTGGTATGATGTTTTCTTCACATTCCACAATTCTTTCTAATCTTATATAATCGCATTTTCAGGTAGCAACGGCGAAACACTCAGAGGCTGCGCCTCTGCCTACTCTAGTCAATTCCCTATTTGCAGCGGCAGTACTTGTCAGATCTGCCCTGATGGCTATTGTAACGGAGCCGTTTTCCCCGCGGATCGCGCTCGGTGTCATCAATGTTCAGGATCAGACACCTGCGCCGGGAGCTTGGGCTCGGGCAGCGACACTTTGCAGCTCTGCTCCACCTACACTCCGAATGACCAATGCTACAGTGTTGCTGCCAACCAGGAGATGCACCGTGGATGCCGTAGTGACTCTACCAATGGCAACACTCACTGCAATTCTGCCGGAGGCAGTTGTGTAACATGCAGTGGTGCTGGTTGCAATTCCCAGGCTGGCAGGAGCAATCCTACTCTATCCTGCGTGAAGTGTTCCGCAACAGACCCAGCTTGTCTCTGGGGCTTCGGCAGCAATTCTGCACAGCCATGCACAAACCAAGTATGGCTGGGTTCCACGGAGTCCTGCTTCAGGGCCCAAACCAGCAGCGGTGCCAATCGCGGTTGCACACTTGATAATCCTAATCAGTGCCCAGACTCCAGTTCCTGCACAACATGCTCTCAAAATGGCTGCAATACAGCTACATTCGCGCGTCAGGAATGTCTCAGGTGCAAGAGTGATGTTGAAGGAGAGGAGAATTGTGGTCCAGAACCAGACGAGTACAGCTCCACACAGTGCGAAGCAGGAGGCGATGAAAGTTACGAAAAACGAGGCTGCTATTTGCTTGTTGATGATGACGGTTTGGTGACGAGAGGTTGTGCTAAGGACCTCAGCGATAGCTCGTTGGCCGAGTGCAAGGACGATGACAACGAGTCTTGTCAATACTGCGAAGACAATGGATGCAACAGATGGGCAGGAGCTTCGGCTATTGAGGCCATCTCGTTTGGAGCTATGCTTCTGATTGCCGTTGTAGCAAAGGTCCTCAATTAAACATGAAGTTGTAAATTGCTTCAGAGAATAAATGTTATATTAAACTAAAGCAGTGCCTTTAAGTCCGTAGTATAATTTTGATCATCGTAAATGATGATTTCAGTTTTTTCCGCGTGAAGATTTTCAAAATAAAAACATCTTGTTTTATGAACTTATAATAGTATTACACTTTCTACTGAGTTAGTAAAGAAATTATTAATTGATGGTGCTTTATTCAAATTGAACTCTTTCGTATTTCACAGAGTAAGCTTATGGGGCGATGAACTCAAAAGCATGCAAAGCTTATGCGCATAGTTACATGTTGTTACACACGAGAAAATCCATTGTCGGTAGTTGAGGCTCCCCGTCCCTATTTGCTGCCACTTATCAAACACATATTGGAAAATGAATAACCCCGCGGACACATTATTAATTGGCGCACACTCATCAAGTGTTAAACTTGATTTTATCTGAATAGATAAATTCCCTGGTTCCTCATAGTTTGCAATTAGTACCACCGCAGTTGTCTCCCAGGTCTGTGTAGTGCAAAAGAATGGCAAGGAAGGGAGTGATTTTTCTGGCTACTTTGCTCACCCTGATTGTTGTGACTAATGCGCAGGGGTCAGGATCCTGCCTCACTTGCCACTCCAGTGAAGAACCCAACTGTGCTACTCTCAGGGATGAGTCTCTACTGATACGATCGTGCGAAGAAGGCCAGGATCATTGCTTCACCCAAATGGATGGTTAATATCTCAATGAAGAGATTCTCATATCAATGCGCGTATTTATTTAATATCTTGTATTCCATAGAGTTTGGGCATATCATTCGTGGATGTGGAACTGCGTCTATTTGTCAGGAATTTGAATCGTGCACTGCCTGTCAGGGTCAGAGTTGCAACAATGGCCTGTACCCTGTAGGTAGGCTCCAGTGTCACAAGTGTTCAGGAGAAGAGTGTGCTGCTCCCCATGTTGGTCCTGTTGAAGTCTGTCACATTTACAATCCAGACGATTTATGTTACACGGTTGTTGAAGATGGTAGGCTATCCTGAAGGTGAAAAATTCTCGAAAACCAGATCTTTAACATTGTCATTCATACATAGGTGTGGACAATGATCCTGATATCACACACCGCGGGTGCTATTCCGATGAGGAATCGAACAAGTGTCTAGAATTGGAATATTGCGTCACCTGCACCGGAAACGGTTGCAATAACCATCCACCATCTGGTATGACTGAGTTGTCCTGTATTCAGTGCATGGAACCTGATCCTGCTTGCCGATATGAGTACAATGAGGAGCAAGGACAGAATTGTGGTTACATAGCTTTGCTGGGTCGACCTGAACGGTGCTATACTCACACCGACAGTGATGGAAGGGTCACCAGAGGGTGTCTGGACGACTTTAGAACATTGCCACAGTACCAAAGTGACTGTGACGGCATCAAGGATGGCTGCACAATTTGTACATCAAGCAATTGTAACAGAGAGCAAGTGGCAGATCCTGGAACGTGTGTCTCCTGCAATGGTCAAGTGGACCAAAACTGCAACCTCCTGACTAGCACACCTACAATCATCGATTGTCCCACAGGACCCCATGACAAGCGCGGATGCTTCAGAATGGAAACGGGTGAGTTTGGCACAATCAATTTCAATTAAGTATAGCGAACCGGCGATGATGCGCTAATTGCTAATTGAACTTCACTTAGCTGTTTTTATACACCCCCGATAACGTCTGTTACCTTATCAGTCTTGTTCATCTACATGCGAAGGTCTCACTAGGTCGTGATTTCTTGTTCTCTCTCTATAATGACTGTTTTGGATTATTACCGAATTGTTTCACTTTCATGGTCATCCACGTGAAGATGGACTGGTGTCAAGAGGATGCGTCAGCTCTTTGGATGATGATGCACTGAACAGATGTCGCACTGGCCAAGATTGCAAGATTTGTCTTGAATCCAACTGCAACACTAAAGGTAAGTGAACTAATCCAATCACTAATTTCAAGCCTAATCCTTGGTATTTCTTTTTATAGTTAACTTTCAAAAGTGCTACTCTTGCAACTCCAATGAAGATCAGGAGTGCATCATGTCCCAGACTGACGAAGATCCAGTGACTTGTTCGGAGTATGTTGAGAACTGCCTGACTTACATTGATCCTGAAACACAAAGAACCGTCAGAGGATGCCAAGGACATCTCACACTTCCTCCAGGAGTCAATTGTCCGTCTGATCTCTGCTCAGAGTGTTCAGGAGAGGCTTGTAACTCACTTGTCTTTCCGGCGGGACGTCGCTCCTGTAACAGATGCTACTCCACGACAGATTGTGAGAAGGATCTCTCAGTCGACACGGCTTTCCAGAGTGTGTGCGAGTTTTATGATTCTCAAGATCAATGCTTCTCAGTGCTGGTGCAGGATATTATTCATCGCGGTTGTCTCAGCGACGCTTCGCCGGGAGTGCAACACTGTCAGGACAATCCCGACACCTGCTTGATCTGTAATGCACAGAATTGCAACTCTATCGGAGCCTACAGGGAAGCTTCCATGCACTGCGTGAAGTGTTCTGCTGGCGATCCTGCCTGCGAGTGGGCCTATCTCTCGAGCGCCTCAGTCAAATGTGACGGAAGCATAGGATTGGGGGAGGATGAGAGCTGCTATGTTCATCACGATGCGAATCATCAGATCGTGAGGGGATGCACTCTTGAGGACCCCAGTGTATGCCAGGATCAGGACTCCGACTGTGAGATTTGCATGGGCGACGGATGCAATAACAAGGCGATAGCTAAGCAGTCTTGCATCCAATGTCGGAGCGACAGAGAAGGCGAAGAAATCTGTGCAGATCAAGCCGAAGGGATCAACGCTACTCTCTGTGAAGAAATTGATACCACGTATGAAAACCGAGGATGCTTCGTTCAACAAATGGATGATGGAGCCGTGAGAAGAGGCTGCGCCACAGATCTGAGCTCCAGTGAACTCGAGGAGTGCAAAGGTGAAGAGGAGGACAGCGCCTGTAGTTATTGCACTGGGGAAGGATGTAATGATTATCCAGGAGGATCTTCAGCAGTCTCAGTATCTTATTTATTGCTTCTTGCATCATTACTATCTATATTAGCTTCTGATCATTGAAGTGTGCAATTTCACGCAGAAATATCATTATCTTCTCGATTAGCGTTCAATCAAGTGAAGTTATGTTGTAATCTTATTGATGTTAATAAAGCGTCCTGTAAAATAGTTTATAAACCGAATTTTTCCAGTGCCTCCTTCAACTGCCTCAACGTGAAAATCATTGGAAGAAAGTTATGTATTTACTCCTTAAAAGTCCTCCTTTTCTAAGTGACTGACTTTCTGCTTCATTTATCGCCAAGCTACACAGCTGAACGTTTTTTTTTTATTTTCGTTGATGCGTGAGAAACATTTCTTCAAACCTGGAAAATTGTTGCATGGAAAATCATAAACCGATTACAAATTGCCTTTAAAATTCACCTCTGAATTTATTTTCACCACCTCCCGGCAGCGCCCCTTAGCGGACAAATTCAAATATAAGGCCCGCGCTTTCCTTTTAGATTTACAATTAGATAAAACAGTAAATTTAATAATGAAGTAATAAATCTACAGTCTCTCAGCTTGGATTACTTGTTCCTGCTTCTCTCAGGTGATGAGTTTTTGGTTGATATGGGTGTAAGGTTCTGCGGAAGAGAGGAGAATCAGTCAAAGTGAAATTGCGGGATGTTGGCGGGTAAATTCTCACCACTTGGACTGCTGGCATGAAATGACGATACTTGTCGGGAACTTTCCCTTTTGATGTTAGCTTGATCGTGGGCGGAATCTGGATGCTGTGCATATCCGCGTCCTGATCCACCTTGCCCACTCTTCGTAGTCTCTCTTCCTCAGAGCGCACAGTGATGTCATCTTTCGTGTGATGAAGATTGTGGACTTCATAGGCATTCTTGGTGTGAAAGATTGCATCGCAGAGTTTGCACTTAATGATACCTTCGCTCGGGAACTTTGTCCTCTCTGTCTCACTGTGGTGGTTTTCCAGGTGTTTCTGCAAAAATACAAGTGAGAATTAGAGGCTTTCTACAGGTAAGAGTGCGGTGAAAATACCCTCAAGTTGTGCTTCATCGCATACTCGGAGCCACAGAGGTGGCAATAGTACAGCGAACACCATTCGCCACTGTTGATGAGCCGGATCTTCTTCGAGGGTGGCGGCACAATGGTGGTGGGAATAGAGGCGAAGTGGGTGTTCCGCTCGTGGGACATCTTTGCGGCCATCGAAATGAATTTGGCTTCGCAGATTTTGCATTGGAACATAGGTGCTGGCGTGCTCTCCACCTGCCCATTACTCTTGTCGCACGAGAGCTGGTGCTGAATCAGCGAGATCCGCAGCGGAAATAGCTTGCCACAGAACTCACAATAGTACGTCGTCTTGGCATCCGGATGCTTGCGATGCTTGTGCTGAATGGCCCTCGAGATGTCCGCGAATTTGTCCGTGCACCACTCGCACTGAATCATAGTCGTCCTGGCCGCCGGATTTATCCTCTTCTTCTCCATCTTTAGCTTACTCTTGGGCAATCCTCGAAAATCAATCTCGTTGTTGCCGTGCTTCAGGAAGTGCTTCAAGAGATCATTGTGAACATCGAACTTCCAGTTGCAAATCGAACAAGTGTATTCTGTCTTCAACGGCAATTGCTTGGATCCAGACGCTTCCACTCCTTCTGATTTGGATTCTCGCTTCGCTGCGCTGCAACTTTTCCTGCGTTTTTCCATTTTCCTGACCAAAAAAACGGGAAAATGAAGGAAAACAAGAAAACGGTAAATATTTGCCAATAAGAAAGTGTGTTTTGACATCTGCTGACAAAGCATCCCGGCTGTAAATGCTCCTATTCAGCACGCAGGACGAGAAAGGAATAAATCGAACTGAAAATCGAATAACATTTTGTGAATAAAAATTCGTCAAGAGCTGGAATATATAACAATCAAATTTATCTTCATCCTCTCGTTCCAAAAACAATTTCCATTCGACGTTTTTTTTCTCTTTTCTTTGTGAATTTACTAGTAAGTCAAGTTCAAGCGATAAATTTTCCATTCGGTTCATCTTTCGTATTCTGCACGCGTTGGCTTTCGAACAGGCATCGCGTAAGAGGTTCGCTTGTTGGGTTCCTCGGTTTTGACGTGTGTCACGGAGTTTTTTGTGGTGGTTTTTGGGAGGTTGATTTTTCACTGAAGACTACGCGGAAGTTTCCCACTAATTGACTGCGTGCGTGAAATCGTGAAGTGTGTGCACAACGATGGAAACGTACGAGAGTGTGTTGCTGGTGAAGCCTGAGGTGTTTGTGTATAAAATACCGCCGCGCACCTCCAACAGAGGATACAGGTGATGTGCGAGTGCCATTGTCTTTGGGCAGACTCACAGCCTCCCGCAATTGGCCCATAAATCCCTTATCTTGCTGCACTGGCCCGCCACTTCCTGCGGAGGGGTGATAAAGTGCCAGATACTCACTTTCTCTCTCGCCTCGCTTTGTTTGCGCGTTCAGGGCCGCTGACTGGAATCTGCAAGAGCCCACTTGGACGGGGCGTATGCGCCTGGTGTCCAAGGGCACGGCTGTGTCCATGAAGCTGGAGGACAAGACGTCTGGGGCGCTGTTCGCCAACTGCCCAATCGAAACATATCCGGGAGTCGCTGTGGAGGCCGTCACGGACAGTTCCCGCTACTTTGTCATCCGCATCCAAGACGACAACGGTAAGGCCAAGGGTGTCACGCTGAATGGAGATGAACCTTGTCTCCCTGCTTTTGTAGGACGATCTGCCTTCATTGGTCTGGGCTTTGGCGATCGTTCGGACTCATTTGATCTCAACGTGGCACTTCAGGATCATTTCAAATGGGTGAAGAACCAGGAGCAGATCGAGAAAGAGAAGGAGGCGCCGCGGCAAGAGCTGGATTTGGGTTTCAAGGAGGGAGAAACTATCAAGATCAACATGAAGATCACTGTGAGTGTGCGCTTTGGGCGATTAACTGGATGAATTTGCTAATTAATCATTTAACTCCTGCAGAAGAAGGACGGAAGTGAGTCGTCATCGAGGACTGGGAAGAGCAAGGGCACCAGCGGAGTGGGAATCCTTCCGCCACCGCCGTCAGGAGTGGCCAATAAAATAGCCCCGCCGCCAGGACAGCAGAAAGCCAGTCCGGCAGCCTCACCTTCGCATCGTCCCACTGGTCAGACCGAGTGGGGCGACTTCACTTCCGCTGGGTGAGTGCCCAAACAATCCTTGATGGTTTCCCGCCCTCCTGACTAACTTTCTTCCCTTCCAGAAACCAGCAGGCGCCGCAACAGCCCCAGCAATCGACGAATTCCAACTGGGTGCAGTTCTAAAGTGAGACAACAAAGGAGCGGACCTTGGATTCTCGGCAATCATCTCAAAGAGTGGTTGAATTGCGCTTTAGGTTCCCGAGAAAATTCACCTAATTTCTCTCGATATAGTTTATTTACGTGGTAAGGACTAAATACCCGCAAATTACTTCTAGGTTATAAGTTCTCTGGGTCGAATTGAGACGAGAAGTTGAGAATATTTTTCCATATATATTTTTTGGCATTTATTTTGGATCTTTTTTGTATAATTGACGCGTTGCATTGTATAAAGAAATAGAAACTATCGTTATTATGGTATTAATCTTGCTATAGAGGAAAATATTTGCTTCAAGTAATGCTAAAAAAGAAACATTTATCACAAGAAGAAAAGTCGTGTGAAAATTCAAACAATAGCGAAAAAAGAGTAGAGAAAATGTACTTATTTTTGAAAAGAGGAAAGATAAAAGACAGACAAAGATATGGAAAATATGTTGCATATTGACGTTATAACATTGGATAGTACGTGTGAAGATGTATTATTTAGATGAGGAATGAAAATAAATCTGAGGAAAACATTCCAAAATGCGCGCCATTGCAATTGTCAGCGTCGGCAGTGCTGCCACCTTGTGCTGAATTCACTTTCGCTGGAGTTCTCGCGACGGAGCGTCGAACGTCGAATAGTTCACAAAAAAGCGTCGTGGTGATTAGTGTGTGCAACCAAAACAGATCACAATACGAAGTTCAACATGGATTTGATGGACTTTTTCAATCCTAGCAAAAAGACAGTGCGAAGGCCCATCATTGCTGGTGGGCGAGTGAATACACATATTGAGAAAGAAGAGGAAAGTCGCCCCACGCCGGAGGATAATTACAGCTACGCTGAAAAGCATCAGGAACATGAGATGCGTCTAATGCGACATGTCAAAGTGAGTATCGATCACAGCTACTGTAATTCTTCGGGACATACATGGCAATCAACTATTTCTCATGCTTGTATACACTATATTTGGGATGATTTTATTCTATCCTTAATTCTATCATTCCATTACGTCATGACATGTAACTTTCGAGACTTCCTTTCGAGTGAGAAGAATATCAATTTTCCGCTGAGTACGGATAAATTCTATCGAAGAAATATAGCTCTTATTTCGCTTATCTCACAATTTCTTATATTAGATTTTTGAGAGTATCCCGAAAGATTAAATTATTTAATTAGGAATTGCAACACTAAAAGCGCGATCCAGACTAAATAAAACACACAAATCAGTTCTCACAGGTAGAAATTATTCACATAATACTGCATGGTTTATGTGGTAAATACTAGAATCCCAATCGACTTGAGCGTCTTTGGTCTGAGCCGGTGTTTTGTTTTGCTTATCAAGCACATTCCTGGAAACTAACTGATTTCTTTATGGCTCTCTTGTAGGATGAAGAAACGTTCATGAATTGCGATGGCGATGATGATGCTGAGGATGGCGTCCAGTCAGAAGATGAATCAATGGCTGGGGCCGAAGGAGGCGCCTTTGGTGGACGACAAAATGACGATTTGTACCAAAGATATAATTTTGAAACAAAGATCACCCCGCGTCTCCCGATCGCAAAGCACCGCACTGAGATAATGAAGACACTGGAGCAGAATGACGTGGTCGTGATTGAGGGGGCGACGGGATGCGGAAAGACTACGCAAGTGCCGCAATACATTATGGAAGATGCCTTTGCGAAGAAGAAGTACTTCAACATTGTCGTGACGCAGCCAAGGCGTCTGGCGGCTCTGAGTGTGGCCAAGAGAGTTGCTCAGGAGCGCCAGTGGGAGTTGGGTGAAGTGGTGGGCTATCAGATTGGGAGGAAGCGCGAGTGTAGCGAGGACACGAGGATCAATTACTGCACAACTGGTGTACTGCTGGAGAAAGTGGTGAAGTCGCAATCTCTGGCCGAATATACGCACATAATACTGGATGAGGTGCACGAGAGGGACATCAACATGGACTTCCTTTTGATTGTCCTGCGAAAGTTCTTCTATCGTAGCGCCAGCAACGTGAAGATCATCATGATGTCGGCGACAATCAAGTCGGAGAAGTTTGCGAGTTACTTCACTGTGGACAAGTCAATTCCGGTGATTGATCTCCATCAGGCATCACCCTATGTGGTCAGGGAGTACTACATTGATGATATCAAGAAGCTCGGCTTTGAGGGCGATATCGTGTCGGACACTCCAGATATATCACCCCAAATGTACACACTGGCTGCTAAGCTGGTTCTCGCGTGTGATAAGATTGAAAAAAGGGAGGCGCAAGAGGCTCAGGAGGATGAAAACTCTCCCGCAAAATCAGACACGAGCAGAAGTATTCTCATGTTCTTGCCGGGAATTAACGAAATTAACCAAATGCATATGGAGTTGGAGAAGTTCTCCATACAAAATCAGGGGCTGAAGTGTGAAATCATTCCGCTGCACTCATCCTTGACACATGAGGAGCAGCAGAGGGCGTTCAAGAACTATCCTAACAGTACACGCAAAGTCATCTTGTCCACCAACATTGCCGAGAGTTCAATCACAGTGCCGGATGTGAAGTATGTGATTGATTTCTGCCTGACGAAGAGCCTGCGTGTGGACAGCGCCACGAACTTCTCCACGCTGCAACTCGAGTGGGCGTCTCTGGACAATTGTCGTCAGCGATCAGGACGAGCGGGAAGAGTGATGGACGGAAGGGTGTATCGAATGGTGACGAAGAGTTTCTACAGAAACCAACTTCCGAAGCATATTACACCGGAGATGCAGCGCCAATCGCTGGAAATAGTTGTGCTGAAATCTAAGCTGATCGAAATGGGACCTCCGGAGACTGTCTTAGCGCTGGCGATGGATCCTCCGTTCAAGGCCAATGTGCACAATGCAATTCTGGTTCTGAAGGAGCTTGGAGCGCTCCTAGACACTGTGGATGGGGAGTTTAAGGTCAATGATGGCGATATGACATATTTGGGAAAAGTTATGGCCAACTTGCCGGTGGATATTCGCGTGTCTCGACTGATAATGCTGAGTTATGCATTCAGTGTGCTTGAAGATGCGATCATCATTGGAGCGGCAATAAGTGTTCAGGGTGTTTTCTCAGAGAGCTACAAGGAGCAAATGAAGACGTACTCTTCTAAGTTGGCATGGGCAAATGGCACTGGAAGCGACCTAATCGCTCTGCTGAATGTGTACAAAGTGTACACGGAGAGGATCAGGCAGAATCAGCGGCGATATGAGGATATATGGGCAAAGCGATCCGGTGTGCAGATCAGGATGCTCCGCGAGGTGGTTGAATTGGTGCAAGAGTTGACCTACAGGTTGTCATTCTTTAACATTCAGCCTATTCCTGTTCCATTTGGCGTGATTATGAATGACTACGAGCGATGCATCATCCTTAAGGTGGCCTTTGCCGGGGCCTTTTATCCCAACTATGCAGTTTATGGCAACATGGATGGCGACAGAGAGAGAGAAACCTTCCGACTCACCAATGGACGTGATCCCAGGAACACAGTGATAATGTCTGGGCTGCCCAGCAAACATGTTGGTCAGCTGTACAGGAAGACCATCAGGGATATATTCTCTTCATTTGTGGAGCACTCAACAAAGATCGAGGTGAATTTTGATCACTCAGAGCGAGTTTATATCTCATTCTACCCCAGTCGCAGTATTGTGGACTCCCAGCTGGCCTCCTCAGTGCTCGATCACAACATGGACAGCGATGTGTCCGGAAATGTGCTCCTGGAGGTGTACAAAGCGATAAAGTTTGGCCAGATAAGACGTGCCCACAAGATAAATGTCTTGAATGCGGGCAATGCCGAACAGTATGCGGTCAAGCACGGCGCAGGAGAGCTGATCGTCGGGGATTTTCACTGGAAGAAGAATGAGGAGATGCGTCGTGAATACGTGGTGTATCCCAGGAAGAACAACATCTCTGGCACCATCACTCATATCGTGCATCTGCACAAGTTCTATGTGATACCTATTGAGCAGGTGTCCTACGAGGAGCACATTCGCACACTTCTCAACACCAAGGCGAATCTCCAGCCTATACTGAGGGACAACATGAAAGTGGGCATGATGGTTGCCGCTATGCGCAAGTTTGATGAGTCTGGATACTTCTGTCGCGGTCGCATTCTTGCCAATGATGAAACCACTCAGCATCTGACGATCTTTTTCATTGACTTCGGGAATACAGACAATGTTCTCCTTACTGGCATTCGTGGGATCAGGCCGGGCATTTATATCAATGAATGCCCACTTGAGCAACTGCCGCCACGCACTCTGGAGTGTAGACTGGCTTGCATTGCCCCCACAGCAATCAGTTCAGTGCGTGGTCGATGGACTCTGGAAACTGTGAAGAAGTTCAGCAGCAAGATCAGGATACCTTCTCAAGTGACGATGGATGTAAGACTGTGACTAATTCTTTATGCAAAAACTCTTCAAATAATGATGATCTCTTCTAGGTTTATGCATTTCTGGACGGAGTGGCTTATGTGACTCTCATGTACAATCAAGAGAACATGAATGAATGGGCGGTTGTGAAGAAACTGGCGCAGTATTCTGATGAGAACTACATGGCCAAGGTGAGTTCATTGTCCAATACTGATGTATTGGTTATTAAATTAATATCAATGAATTAAATGTACATTTGTTTTATAGTTTGATCATGATCGCCGAATGACGTGTGAGAAATTGAAGCACGAATACATTTTGGATGACGTTCAGATTGAATTTATGGTGAAGCCTGAGGAAGTGGAGATTGCCGCACCGCCAGAGAACATTTGTGACAAGGAATTGTCACTCAGGGGCCCAACAAGTCCTCTGGCGGCACTTCTGTTCTCCCTGACGAAGACTGCTAGCAAAAAGATGTGCAAAATCGAGAGAAACTCCGTGAACTGTGTGCTGCTGGATAGTGACTTCCAGGACTACCATCAGAAAATGGTGGTTGCGACTCACTTGAATAATACAACGAGTGGCAATTTGTGTATGTACAACACAACGCTTATGCCCAACATTCCAGGGATTTTGCCTCTGATGGCGTTGATATTTTGCCCGAAGGCTGAATTCTTTCGCAATGCGGACAATTCACGCTTCATCTCGATATTGACTGGTTTGGGAACGCTGCCAGGATCAAAGGTTCCAATGTTCGAGGAGCACGACTTGCAAATTCCATTGGATGTGAAGATTGATCATGATGACATTGAGTGCATCAATCAATTGAGGTATTCAATGAGTAGTCTTCTTCTGCTCCGCACTGGCCAGGATGTGCCTCAATTGGACAATAACGTACGCTACCAATTGCTGCATAAAATCAAAGAATTGATTCTCAGGTGAGTCTTCAATTGTATGGCTCTATTCATGGGGCTTCAATTAATCGCTGTTCTTTATTTCGTAGTATTGTGACGCGCCCTCGCCCGCTATGCGAGAAGAAATACCCACTAAAGCCGTATGTATGGAATCAGTGTGATGTGAAGCTGACAGAATTGCTGGAAGTGAAAGATCTGCACAATGGGAAGTCTATCTTTCCATTCTTGACATCGCTTAAATTGGATCCCGTGGCAGATAAGCAGCTGAAGGATCGCCTGAGGAAAGCTTGCTCGGAGTTGTACGATTGTGCAACAAAGTGAGTATAATTATGGCAAGATTGTCATCAAAGCATTTTCTTAAAGTACTGTATTGGCTTTCAGAAATCTCGTTGTCAAAGGAGTGCAGTGCGTTCTGTGCGATACTTACCTCCATGACACCTCTCAGCTGCGTCTGCACTTCTTAACGAAGCTCCATCAAGATCGCGAAAGGGAGATTGATTTCGTGCCACAAAAGTCTGAAATTTAAGTCCTTTTTACTTGTTTCTCTTTATATTTGTTTTTCTTTTCGTTACATTTTTCAATAATGAAGTTTATTTTCTATTACGATCAGCCATGAAGGCAGAATTTAATACGTTACCAATAAATATGATGAAATATGAAAAATAAATTGGACACTTTACTGAGAAGTCAGAAGTATTTATTAAAGATAGATCTAATAATAGATTGGAGTCGCACGTTTTTCATATGCTCACCGAAGAGATCGTACACACTATCGGGACACAGAGTGCAGTGATTGGAGAATGCGTGGCCCTAAGTGTATCTTCACGTAATTAACTTAAATTAATTTGACAATATTAATGTGACAATTTGATTAATGGCGAGTGTAGACTTTATGTGCAGACAAACATTTTCATTATAACTGTTGTCAGTCATGTAAGACTAAATGGAACTGCGACTTGTCACACAACACAAATTTATGTATTCCCAGAAGTTGGACTCTGACAAAAGATGGTTTTTTCCTCTGAACATCCTCTCTAACGAGGACCTTACAAATGCGTGAACGTCAAAATAGTTGCAGAAAGTACACAAAGTCGCATAGCTTGTGGTTCTTTTCATATTTTCACATATGACTAAAAGTATATTTAGATTGTCTTGCCACAATGTGATAATTCACGTAAATTAGACGTACGATGATTTATCAAAATTTTCACTCGCAATAAGTGTGAAGGTGAGATAAAATGTATTTTAATAGTTCTTGAAAGAGGGGGAGAAAAATTACAGTGAAACATTGTGACATTCAACCAAATTGTGCGATGCTATTTCCTCTTCAACTTACCTTGATAGCATGCGAAATGTGCGGACAGGGAAATTCAGCAATCAATTTGAAATATTATTAAATGTTTTACTATCCAGGTCATAATTGGTTGAGAGTGTTCATGGTTTGGGAAATTTATGCAGTTTTATTGGCCTCTACGAAAATAACACAACCTTTGCCTCCATTCGAGTTGCCGATGGACAACAGCGGAAGTTGAATATTTCAGGAATTTGTGGTGTTTTTAGATCTTAAAATACTGAAAAGTTCACACTCAGACTTATGGAGTGAGAACAGAGAAAACACACGATGAGAAAGGATTCAAATTTAAAACTTCTTGTTCAAGTAAGAATGAGATAATCCTTTAAAAGTATGTGTTCGTAAGTGTCTAAACTTTGGGCCTAAAAAATAACTTTCAACTAACAAGTGCTGATGAAGAGTTAAAATTTATCAGTATAATTAGACAGAAGATTTGCAAACTCATTGCAGCCCAAAATTTTGCCTTTTAACCTTCGGTTATCGCGAAAAAGTAGCTGAGTTTCCACGAATTTGAAAGTCATACTTTCACATTCAAGATTTATGGCTTCGCACGAGTCAGAGATTCAATTTTAGCCTTGATTATAGCATTACAAACAGAATAATAATAACAAGATTGGCGAGATTATCTGTTCTAATTCGACCAATTATTGAGTTCAACTGATCTGATCCTTGACGTCATTGTTCCTTTTTGTGAAATGACAAACAAGCGTTGATAAGAGCAAATACAGCAATCACAGTGAAATTCAAGAGATTCAAAATAAATCGCTATCTCTAAAGATGTGTTACGAAACAGAAGATAATTAATTTTTTACGATTTTCAAGCTTAGGCAATGCCCTGGCAAATTGATCTATAAATTAAGTGCTTTCAAGTCCAACATATAGAGAGACGTTTATTGAGTATAAACGCATGATTTAGAGCTATATATTTCTCATTAAATTCATCCTGAGATTAAGGATGCTTCACCACTTCTCTGGCCACAGGAAGACCTCAAAATAATCCAGGCGTTTCAGTGTCAATTGTAAATCAACAGATTCGCGCGTGCAAAAGCCTTGACGATATAAGCATATAATTGTAATTCGGGGATGGGGAAAATGATTGAGTGGATTTTATGCTGAAGCCAACGTGTCACGGTCTGACTTATGATTAGAGGAGGACTTTAATGACTCTTCCATGGTTTTCAACGGCGTCTGTGAGTGGTGTTCGTGCAACATTAACATGCTCTACGACAGCAACCCGTTGACGGATCCTTGTGATCACTGACGATGTCACACCTGGTTGCAAATCATGTCAAGAGGGACATTTTTAGTGTCGTGTAAACGTGAGTGTTTCTCCGTGTCGCCGAACAAACGCTGACTTCCTGGCTGACTTTCGATCTATAGACAAAACGTGCGAAAGGTTTATCGTTCGTTAGTTAAATTTAGTTGAAGCTGAGGTGGACGCACAATTGAGGAGGAGGAAGTTTTATTGGGCCTTTTTATATTCTTTTATTTTGGTCACACACAACATAATTCTTATGATAGTTGAAATCACTTCGGTTTGAATTGATGGCACACCTTTGCGTTCTGCCAAGAAACAAGGGCGCAGACGCTGAGGATTTGAGGAGGGGAAATTCAGAGTAGCGAATTTAGCGCAGGGTTATTCAGAAAGTGTGCTATCTATGCATGCGAATGCAGAAAGTATCATAGGGATCAGGAAAAAAATTCATACATATGTTATCAGATGTTTGGCAACTCTTTCCAGCTGCCTACTAAACGTAATCCATAAGTATTAATTGTCCCAATTACACATACGCAAAAATTATGCTCTCTTCACTCACTTCCTTTTTCATTGTTACTCTTGTTGTAATACTCTTGATTTCACATAATTATCATGTGATATCTTACAATCTTTATTCTTAAGAGCTCAAGGATTTAAAATTAGAAGATGGTGCGATTTTACCCTTGGAGAAACTTGTATTCCTATAATCAGTGTGTAAAAATTACGAGTGCAAATCAATGAAAATCGGCCTTATATAACGCGCATATGCATTATACCGAATCATGACATGCATACAATATTCATTCAGAGTATTTTGGGGAGGAATGTCAAAGTAAAATGCCGCTTTTCTGATTGTTACTGTGTCTTTTGAGGATAGCGTGGAGTAATTTATGGACGAGGAGGAGGAAATTCTGGGCGAGAGGTGTGGAAAGACGAAGTGTTGCGCCGAGCCAGTCGGATGGATGGGTGGATAGGAGGAGCCCGTAGGGAGGACAAGTAGAGCGATGGTGGTCATCGCTGGTGATCTCCGCTGAGAGATTAGTCTCTGACCCGATGTCCCGAGATCGGGGTGAAACGCGAAAATCAAGCATGAATGTCAAGTGACATCAGCGCGTTTAGTATATGGTTTTTGATTAACAGCGACATATTAGATTTTTCCTCCAACATCGATCGTGTGTTATCGGACGGGGGGCTTCATCGCACTTTCATGCCCCCTCGCAGTGGCGATCGGACTAATTGTAGAGGCAGTAAGAGCGAATTTTAGCCAGGCACGAGTAAAGTTCTCAGCACCAGGATTAGTGGGCATTTCGAAGTTGTGGTGAGAGCATCGAGAAAGTCGTGAAAGTGTGAACACAAGGATTAACGGGCGGACGTCATCATTATGGGCACAGAGGCGAAGATTTTGTCAGGAACGCAGGTTTCCAAGTGAGTGCTTCTTTTTTCCATTGCCGAAGAGAGATAACTAATAATTCTTTGGCAGAGAAGATCGGTCATTTTAAATTACCCATTAGACAATGCTTGCGGGAATTTATCAGTGACGGCTGCAATTAATTGTGTGTGATCCTGGGCGTTGTCTATAGTAGGGCAGATCCTTCATTGTCATCTCCATCAAGTGCGGCTAATTAAATGCATCTCTCCACAACACAGCAAATTTCCCTACAATTGATGATCATTTTGTCAGAGAAATTTATGACACGTCGCGTGTCTTCCTTATGGTTCATGTACTCAATTTAATTTTATGAAAATTCTCCACTTTGGTGTGCATTTGTATGCCATTAAGGCACCGTGAATGTCTTCATAGAGTGGCAGTAAAGGCAGTGTTTAGTGATTTAATTAGATATTGAGGGGGTCGAAGAGACGACGAAAAATCACTTTAATTGAGATTTATGTTGAAAAATTTATAGTGATAAATTCTGCAGCGAACATGTACAAATTCAACATATTTTCAAATGTACATCTCTCTCGTTTCTCAGATGTGAGCAATTTTTGTCAAATAACTCTCAATGAAATCTCCAGAAATAAAGTCACACAAGCACATTTTTATCAAACGTACTGCTTTGCACATTTTCACACTCTTCACAGTTCACGTGAAATATTAATGGTTTGCGTATAAAAATATAATTCGGGTTGAGTTTTTGCCTGTGACGATATTGAAAAGAATTGCAAAGTGGTTTAACTGTGTGATAAATAGAGGTTACTTAATTGTGTTGAATTTCTCACATAATTTCCGCATTTTCCTTTAATCTCCTCATCCTCAATATACAAAAAAAAACATTTTTAGGAACATAAATCATTGGTCTTACAACAAAGTTGATCTCTTCATATCCCATGAAATTCTTGGCGAAAACCATAAGAAGTGTGCCAATTTGGTAATCAAAACCTAGTTTTTGCATGAAATTTTGCATAAATTGCCAAGAAATGGCGCTTTGCAAGGTGGCGACACACCTATTATGAGTTATCTACCCTAAAGAGAGTTCAATTGACTCTAGCAATGGGTGTGAAAATAAGTTGATGAAATCCTCAAAAACCGTTGTATAACGTCGCTAAAATACGCGATCACCACGTGTCGAGGATCTCGAGTCAACAAGCGCTCGAGATTATTGCATCTGAGGAGATAAATTAATGTCATAGGTCATCACTTTCGTCTCATGCTTATTTGCTTAACCGACGTTTCTTGCATAACACAATATTTGAGTAGATAGAAATTTACAGCCTCATCCCGTGGGCACTGTTTTGTCACAGTAGGAATTTTCACAGTGAAATTTACGGCGCTCTATTGAAGAGAGTGCTTCGCACCCACAACACACGGCCAGTAGAATTATGAGAATAGCACGGACATTGCTGAGATTCTCCAAGGATCTCGCTGACCATTTGGAAAGGTATTCCGAGGGTGGGCGGACAGCACGACATTCGCGAATGAGGAAGAAGATTGCGTATTAACAGATCCCCAACTGGGTGGGCGTTGAGAGTTAATTTTGGTTTTAATCGCCTCAAAATTGGAGAGATCATAAATTGATTTGTGGGTCTCCTTCATGGCCAACGACACATTAACAGTTGTTGGGTCTCTTTCGCTCTCTCCTCAGAGAAATACGGGATGTGCTGCGCGAGAAAGTGAGCCAATTCACGAAGAAGCTGCCCGCCTTCAAGCCTCGTCTCGCCATCGTTCAGGTGGGCTGTCGTGAGGATTCCAATGTCTACATCCGCATGAAGCTGAAGGCCGCTTCTGAGATTGGAATAGATGCCCAGCATGTGCAGTATCCGGAGACAATCACCGAGCGAGAGCTCCTGAGGAATGTGAGTTTCATCCGTTTCGTCACTTCTTAATTCACTTTTAGCATGCCATTCAACACGAGCAAGTGGCGTTCAAGAGACTTTCAATGAAACACAGTTTTGTCTAGACGGTCTAACTTTATCACAGCAGCGGACTAAAATCGAATTTAACGTCATTTTTTATAAGATTATCAATCCCAGTAGCATTGGGAATGTGCTGTAATCCACTGAAAATTGTTTGATGGCATAAAGGTTATCTATCACAAGTGGTTCCTCTTTGGCATTTTCCCGAACACTTGCAAATTATGATCTTTATAGCATTTTATGATACTAAACGCATTTCTCTTTCAAGACAAGATATATTTGCTTTCTCAATGATTTTGCCACAAATTGATATTCACACAGCAAATCAGACGATTCTGGGAGACTTTACATTCTATTTGGGTGCTGTAAATCTAATAATTTTCTGATCGATTTAACAGCTGCAACGGTTGAATAATGACCCAACGATTCATGGAATCATCGTGCAGATGCCTCTCGACTGTGTCAATGAGATCGACTCTCATCTCATTACGGACTCCGTGTCGCCCAGCAAGGATGTCGATGGGTGAGTATGACTGTGATTAGGCAATCTCCACAGGAGCTGATGATGTCCGTTTGCAGGCTCAACACTATCAACGAGGGACGCGTGTGTGTGGGCGAGATGACGGGATTTCTGCCCTGCACGCCCAATGGGTGCATTGAGCTGATCAAGAGGACAGGTGTCCAGATCGCCGGCGCAAACGCGGTCGTCCTGGGGCGCAGCAAAATTGTTGGCACGCCCGTGTCTGAGTTGCTGAAGTGGAATCACGCCACCGTCACCGTGTGCCACTCCAAAACCCTTAATTTGAGCGAACAGGCAAGTTTCACGAGCCTTCACGCATCAGCAGAACAGGAATGTCTCGCTATGATGCAGTTTAATTTGTTGCATATCCAATTAGAATCTCGAAAGGGCTTCTAAGAGAGTGAGTAAAAAATATATCAAATTACAGACCAGGAACGCTGATATCCTCGTTGTGGCCATTGGAAAGCCTGAATTCGTGCGCGGAGACTGGATTAAGCCTGGAGCTGTTGTGATTGACTGCGGAATCAATGCTATTCAGGGTGAGTCGACTCATCTTCTCTCTAGCCATTAAATATACTCATCTCTTCTCATTCTATTTCTATATCTGATTGTGTCTCTTCCGAGATTCCCCTGAACACTCTTTCACTTTCATTCAGATGAGGTAGATGACGATGCACAAAGTGAGTTGATGCGGAGGATTTTTCTCTTATCTGCCCCCCGTTGTTGCTCTTGGCACTCATCCAGCTTCTTTGGAGTAGCATATTTACAGCACTCTGTTGGTTTTTCTTCCTTATCACGAACTAACGAGTTATTTATTGTGTTGATTCTCCACTAAATTCAAGCGCAGCTTATCGTGTTTCCCAACTACCCAAATAGATACTCAAACAGACTAATAAAGCGGATTAGGCTGATCTAACACAGATTCAAACACCCAAAAAGTCGACAGATGCGTGGCGAAATCAAATTGATAATACTAATTTCACGATGAATTTATTTCAACAACTCAAAGTGCGATGCAGCCTCACTTTCAGCGCATTTTCATGTTTATAATTCTTCGCCTAATTGCCGTCACTTAATTGCCGTCAATATAATTGGTGAATGAATGATTTTTCACAGTGATTGAAATCATCCTGTCTAGTCGGGATGAAAATTGCACAGTTCTCGCGTGGCCAGCATTTATTTTTGGACTCAGTGACAAAATGGCAAAAATGTTTATTTTGACAAAAATTACTGAAATACCATCTTGATAGATTTTCATTGGCATTATTAATGGTTATTCTGTTCAACTAGAGAAACACTAATAGGAAGCACCAATAGAACAATTTATCTTATAGCATGTCGCGTTTTTTTGCCACACTATCAAAATCGGGAGATTTTTATAGAAAGATTAATTGTTTGGGGTTAAAAACAGAAGTCCTCGTGTAGCGACTTTCCTCAATAAACATCACGGTTTACGCGAAATGCTGGTAGTTTTGAATCTTAGACACCTGTTATAACTTTGCACGCTACTCTGCAAGTTTTATGTTCATCAGTTTCTCATTTAGAAGAGGAAGTGAATATCGAAAGAACAGAAGGCGGGATTTGAAATGATATTTAGAAACAGCCTAAAAATGCCCCACCCATTAATATTAAAAATTATTTTTTTTAAATGTGCATATTTTGGTGACAAGTAAGAAGAAAGGAAGAAAGTGAGCATCTTTTCCAAATCGGATTAGAATTGTTGCTGATTTGTACTAATTTTAAGGAATTGTGCGTTTTTTTGATAGGCATGAAGTAAATTTCGATTATAAACATTTTTTTCCGTGTGGAAATTTGACCAAGGCTGACAGCATAATTAGTCAAAAATAAACTTTGAACATTGTGCACTTCAAAGCACAACCCTTAGTCAATTTGCTATGTCTAGACAAGAGCCAAGAGCCCTGAAAGCACTTGTTGAAATATACATTTTTTTGGACACCAGCACTGCTTATCAGTCGAAGCTGGCGAAACGATTGAAGCTTGCTTCGGTGATCTCTTTCCCTCTTCAATTAAATCCCGTTCAATTGCTGTGAGACCTCCAGCTTCTAGCATGATTGCCATCTGATCATTCAATTGATATTCTGTCTGAGAGCGACTGAAGACAAGTGCAGCATCGAGACGCTGAGCAAAAGTGAGTCTGTGTCAAAGGTCAGCACTAACTGGCGCCCCACTTTCGCCACAGATCCGACCAAGATCTCAGGGCAGCGCCTGGTGGGGGACGTGTGCTACGAAGAGGCCCGGCAAGTGGCCTCTTACATCACTCCAGTGCCTGGTGGGGTGGGACCCATGACTGTGGCGATGCTCATGCAGAACACTGTTCAGTCTGCCGAGAACGCGTACAAGAAGCTGTTGAAAATGTCGTGGGATCTCCAAGTGTTGCCGCTGAATCTCCAGAAGCCCGTGCCCAGGTACGAAGTGTGAATCTCAGTTCGCTTCTCTGCTCTTATCTCTCTGATTGCGGTCTATTTGAACAGCGATATCGAGATTGCGAGATCGCAGGTACCCAAAGATGTGTCTCTTCTGGCCGCTGAAGTTGGAATTATTCCTGAAGAGCTGTCCTTGTATGGAACGAAGAAGGCCAAAGTGTCCCTAAGCGTCCTCGATCGTCTCAAGGTGAGTATCAAGTAGACATCGCTTGGACTCTTCCAAGAAAGTGAAATTAAAATCAGTGCCATGCAAAGAAGCGAGAAATTGTCAGGAAAAATAATGAGTTAATTAAAGTATGGAATTTGCATATAAGCAAAGATAAAACAGACCTTTCCTGTCTCAAATGACTCGCCTCTAGAAAACACGTCTTTGTCCATCACAAAAAAAGCGGTTTGAGTGAGATCTGATCTTAAAACTCGTTGTAAAGTGAAACGATAAGAAGTTTTGTGCGCAATACAGAAGATATCACAACATTATGTGCAAAAATGAATTCACATTCCCTAAATTCTCATGGTTTTCAGTGAAATTTGGATTAGAATTTTTCATATGTTCAACTTAGTGTTTAGGCCAAATTTTTTTTGAATAACTCAGGATTATTTGGGATTTTAGGGCTTCATTTAGTACTCATCCTGATATTCTCTTTTCCACAACAGAGCACTGTCGATGGAAAGTACATCGTTGTCGCGGGAATCACTCCCACGCCTCTGGGAGAGGGGAAGAGCACCACTCTCGTGGGCCTGGCTCAGGCTCTTACGGCGCACAAGAAGAAGAAGGCGTTCGCCTGTCTGAGACAGCCTTCGCAGGGCCCCACGTTTGGCATCAAGGGCGGTGCAGCCGGCGGCGGTTACTCCCAGGTCATCCCCATGGAGGACTTCAATCTGCATCTCACTGGAGACATCCATGCAATCACGGCGGCCAATAATCTACTGGCTGCCCAGCTGGACGCCAGGATCTTCCACGAGGCCACACAGACGGATGCTGCATTGTACGAGCGCCTTGTGCCAAAGGTGAAGGGCGAGAGGAAGTTCTCCAAGATCCAGCGCAGACGTTTGGATCGCCTGGGCATCACGAAGACCGATCCCGACACTCTTACGTCTGAGGAAGTGGCCAAGTTCGTGCGCTTGGACATTGATCCCACGAAAGTCGTGTGGACTCGCGTGGTGGACATCAACGATCGCTACTTGAGGAGGATCACCATCGGTCAGGCGAACACTGAGAAGGGCTTCACGCGTGAGACCAGCTTCTCAATCTCCGTGGCCAGCGAGCTGATGGCCATCCTGGCACTCACTACTGGCCTGGAGGACATGAAGGAGCGCATCGCGAAGATTGTCGTGGCTTTCGACAAGTCCGGCAATCCCGTCACTGCTGATGATTTAGGCATGACTGGTGCGATGATGGTGCTGCTGAAGGACACACTGGAGCCTACGCTGATGCAGACTCTCGAGGGCACTCCTGTCTTCGTGCACGCCGGCCCCTTTGCCAACATTGCTCACGGATGCAACTCCATTATTGCCGACAACATCGCTCTGAAGTTGGTGGGTCGCGAGGGTTACGTGGTCACGGAGGCAGGCTTTGGCTCGGACATTGGCATGGAAAAGTTCTTCAACATCAAGTGCCGCACGTCTAAGAAAGTGCCCAACGCCATTGTGCTCGTGGCCACTGTGCGAGCGCTCAAGATGCACGGCGGTGGACCTCCAGTGTCCGCTGGAAGCTCCAAGAAGGAGTATATGGAGGAGAACCTGGAGCTGCTGAAGAAGGGCCTTCCGAATCTCCTGAAGCACATCAGCAACGGCTGCAAGTACGGCATTCCGGTGCTTGTGAGCATAAACGCACACGCTTACGACACAGCGGCTGAACATAACATGATCCGAGAGGCTGCCCTCAAGCAAGGCGCTTTGGCTGCTGTGGTGTCTAAGCACTGGAGCGAGGGCGGCGCCGGAGCAGCACTCCTGGCGGACGCTGTCATCAAGGCTTGTAACAACAAATCTAAGTTCAAATTTCTCTACAATCTGGACATGTCAATCGAAGAAAAGATTATCCACATCGCCAAAGAAATGTATGGAGCCGGAAAGGTAGACTTCAACACTCGCGTCCACGAAATGATGAGATTGCTAACCGAGAAGGTGAGTGTCTAAAGCGCCGAGAGCTCTAAATTACAGCTGGGCGAAGCCCGCTATTAAAATTATTTAATAAATATATAAAATATAAATATTAGCGGGCTGTTAAGCCCACTTAGATTTATATTAGATTTAGATTGTGAAGTTCTAATTTCATCTTGAGTGGAGGAACAACACATTGTGTGCAGTGAAATTTAACTTAATTTTGCTTGTTAATATTGCAATGGACTTTTTTTTTTCTTTTTAGGGATACAAAAATCTCCCAATTTGTATGGCCAAAACGCAACTGTCTCTGTCCGGAAATCCCGAGCTCAAAGGCGCGCCTACTGACTTCAAACTGCCCGTCACAGATCTCTACTTGTCCGCCGGAGCTGGATTCATTGTGGCAATCGCTGGAGACATTAGCAAGATGCCCGGCCTGCCGACCAGACCCTGCGTCTACGACATTGACCTCAACACGGAGACCGGCGAAATCGAGGGACTCTTCTGAGCACTTCCCTCGTTTTTTTGTAGTTTTATAGGAATACCAACGCTGCGGAGTGCCTGGGTGTTTTTAACGCAATAAAGTTACCCCAGATAGAGGGAAGCGTAACTAATTGTATTGTCTAGCGAATGATACACTTACTAATCCAGACGGATGGCTGCACGAAGTTTGGCTGAGCGCGATCGGGGATTCTGCTCGATCTCTTCTGGACGGGGCGTGAGGACGTGTTTATGCAGGGATAGCCAACCGGTGTCTGTGAGAGTTTCCAAGGAGTCCTGATCGTAAATCAGCGTGTGACTGACATACTTCAGCGGCAGAGGATTAGCCATATTCTCCGTGACGTTTCCCATGATGTGCCGCTTCACAATTTTGTCCTCCAAGGAGTGGAAAGTGATGGTGACCACTCGACCCCCCACCTTCACGAACCTCTGTGCCAGAATCATGCCGTAATTGATCTCATTCAGCTCGTTGTTCACGAAAATACGCAATGCTTGGAATACTTTCGTGGCCAGACTCGTGGGTCTATGCAACAGGTCCAGGCGAAAATCCTCCTCGCAGCAGGCACTGACGAGATCCACAAGTTCCTTGGTTGTCTCGATCCTCTTCACGCCATATCTGGCCTGCACAATGGCTCTAGCAATTTTTCGTGCATTCTTCTCTTCACCATAGACCTTGAATATCCTATACAGGTCAAGTTCTCCCGCTCTTGCCAACACATCAGCAGCTGTGGGCATTTCCGGGAACCTCTTTCCATCCATTCTCATATCCAGAGGCGCATTTCTCACCACAGAGAAACCTCTTTCGGCCACCTCAAACTGCATTGATGAGCAGCCAAAGTCGAAAAGTATCCCATCAATTGAGTTTTGTTCTACTGCAGCCTCTTGGAGTAGTTGTGGCAGTTCAGAGAAACGTCCCAGGAGTGGAACAATCTGATCTGGAAACTCTTTTTGCAATTCTTTGGCATATTCATGAGCTACAGGATCTCTGTCCAGTGCCAGAAGTCTGATATTCGGGGCAGAGTTCAGGATCTGTCTGGAATGACCTCCAGCGCCAAATGTCATGTCCAGGATAGTTTGATTTTCACTTGGCTTAAGATTCTCAAGCACCTCCTTCACCATGACAGGCTTGTGAGGCACACAAGTCTGAATATTTTCACTAATTTGGGTTTGCAAAAGCCTTCTTGCAGTCACTAGCGATGGAATTAGATATTTTCTTAGCATCCTGACTACTTAGTGTTCATATATTCAAGGAATTCCGAGGAGAGGACTTGATTACACTGCTCTCCGGTCAGTCCAGTGGCTGTTGTCTTGAAATTCCTCGCGTAACTCTTTCCGTGGACGCTCTTCTCAATCCGCGAAAGGGCGTCTAGTTCTTTAGTGAACTTTTCCGCGTTGAAATTCGTCTCCTGCTCTCTGACTAATAAATTCTTTAGTTGGTCTCGGAGATCCTCAGCCAAATCCCTGCCAGAATGAGGTTATGGTCAATCGGAAGAGAACAATTATTCCTAAGGATTTCTCACCTCCCAGCTTTTGATTTGTCAACAGGCCACTTCTCCAGAATCTTGAGGAATCGCCTGTAGTTGGCTGACATTCTTTTCGCAGCGACAATGCTTCTTTTCCGCGAAAAACCGAGAGAAAGAAAACATCAACACATTTTTCACTTGGAGGTGTGAGCCGACTAAATCTGACTGAAGTTTTTAGTCATAGAAATTTGTTCTAATTTAACACACACACACACACAAGCGCTACTGTTATAAAAGCCTCTTTTCGGTGTAGTGTAATTTGGTCGGCTTGCGAGATTGCGGAAAGTTGCATTTGCCGAGGAAAAATTGTATACAATATTGAAAGTAGTGATCAGTAGCAATAGCAAACGATATTACGAGATCATGTCCACGGAGACGGCTGCGATTTCCACCTCGGAACCCAGAGATCTAACGAGTCTGGTGAGAAATCAACAAGAGTTGTTATCTCTAACCCCACTTTTTGCACAAGGTCATAAAATGCAGGGCGCAAAAATACGCGTTTATCCCGTTTTCTAGGTGAATAATCTTGAAGTGACGAATGCCACCGATGGCGAAGAGGCACAACCGGAAGCAACACCACTTCCGACTGACGAACAGGGTGATGCAGCGTCGTGAGTTTTCCCTCCGCTGCGTGTCGTTTCCACCTGTCAATACTCGTGCTTTGTTTTGCAGGCCCGCCGACACGAGCATCTTGAGAAAGATCATCCGGAAGGGACTTGTGGAGTCAAAGCAAGACCTAGAGATCCAGCGCAAGGATCCTTCGTCGCCACTGTTTTCAGTGAAGTCATTCGATGCACTGAGACTGAAGCCGGAACTGCTGAAAGGCGTGTACGCGATGGGCTTCAATGCGCCGTCCAAGATTCAGGAGACAGCTGTGCCCACACTCCTAGCAGATCCACCGCAGAATCTCATCGCACAGAGTCAGTCAGGCACAGGCAAGACGGCCGCCTTCGTTCTGGCGATGCTCAGTCGTGTGGACACGAGCGTCAGTCATCCTCAAGTGCTTTGCCTGTCGCCGACTTATGAACTGGCCATCCAGACTGGCGAAGTGGCGGCCAAAATGGCCCAGTTCTGTCCTGACATTCAGCTGCAATTCGCTGTCCGTGGGGAAGAAATTGCCCGAGGCCAGAAGCTCTCGTGCCACATAATTATCGGCACGCCAGGAAAGATTCTTGATTGGGGCGTGAAATTCCGGGCATTTGACTTGAAGAAAATTCGGGTGTTTGTGCTGGACGAGGCGGATGTGATGATTGCGACTCAAGGACATCAGGATCAGTGTATTCGGATTCACAAACACCTGGCCAAGGATTGCCAGATGATGTTCTTCTCAGCCACATATGAGCGGGATGTGATGGAGTTTGCTGAATACATCGTCGAGAATCCAATGACAATTCGACTGAAGCGAGAACAGGAGTCCCTGGACAACATCAAGCAGTATTACGTGAGGTGAGTCTGTTCGATACTTTTGGGAGTAGTCAGGAATGACGGTGGATTTTTTTTCATTATCAGATGTCGCAATCAGGAAGAGAAGTACCAGGCCATCCAGAATATATATGGTGTCATCACAGTGGGTCAGGCGATAATCTTTTGCCACACTAGAAAGACTGCAGCTTGGCTGGCGGCCAAGATGTCCAAAGATGGTCATTCTGTAGCTGTGCTTTCGGGAGATTTGACGGTGGAGCAGCGTCTCGCCGTGCTGGATCGTTTCAGGAGCAGCATGGAGAAGGTGCTAATCACGACGAATGTGTTGTCTCGAGGAATTGATGTAGAGCAGGTGACGATTGTGGTGAACTTCGACATGCCGATGGACCAATCTGGAAATGCTGACTGTGAAACGTATCTTCATCGCATTGGACGGACAGGAAGGTTCGGCAAGAATGGCATCGCCATCAATTTAGTGGATTCTGAGCGAAGCATGACCATCTGTAAGACGATCCAGGGTCACTTCAGCAAGACAATCCACCTCCTGGACGCGGAGAATGTGGATGAGATTGAAAAGATCGGCTCCTAAAGCTTCATGATTTAACTTCCTCTTTTTACTTTAGACTATCCATTTTTGTTACTTACGTGGCGATAATATGAAATACAAATTCTCAAATTAAAAATTTATGGAGTCATGGGGTGTCTAGCTGGAGTTTGGCAGCTGGCAGGCGCGCACGGCGATCAGCTGCAGGAGAATGAAGATAGGTGAGAAGACTTCGCTGAATTCCAGACCAATTTGGCCGGACAACTTCAAGCACAGTAAGTATTTGAATACAGCCGTAAGAACGATGTAGTTGGCACTCCAGAGGAGTCGATGGAAGGCTCGCCGCTTTATCTGGTCACTCTCCAAGTACATTCGGATGCACACAATGAGGCAGAAGTAGGCATTGCACGCGTCCCCGCAGAATAGTGGCGAGAAAATTACAAACCAATCCAGATATTCAGCAGTCAAGTAGCTAGAAACGCGCAACGAGAGCAGTATCGTGAACACCAGGAGTGCAAGGAGATTCGTAAAAATCTCAAACTCTGTGAGGCCCAACCACTTGACCAGTTCTGATAGTTTAAACATCCTCGTCCGGAAGTTTAGAACGACACTCGCCCCTTTGCGATTGATTTCAGTGCCGTCACGAGCTGCGATGGTTCCACCTTCCGGAACACACGAATGTGGATAGAGGAGTTCTTTCGTTGTCTCACGTCAAAGTCCTCATCCTCAGTGAGAGGCAAGATATCATCCACGAGCTCCACAGTCCCTGTGTTAGCCTCCACACCGTACAACTCTGGATTGTTGGCCTGGATTTGCAATGCCAAGCTGATAGTCCGTGGAATGGCGTTCCCAATGCCGTGCAGGAAGATCTCAGGATGTTCCAGACGGAGGAGTTTCTCGCACTGTCTGAGTTTCCCCTGAAAAAAACTCTCAATGACACCCGGAATAACCTGAAAATCTTTCAGAAATACCGTGAAATTCGACTTCCTCGTCACGTAGACGTCCGTCTTCCGCTGATACGGCTTGCTGGGGAGACGCTTCCTAATCTCGTGAGCTGGAAAACTTCCTTTTTCCGTCGGATTCTCAACTTCCATCACACCTCGCACTATTTGTAAACAAAGAGGAAAATGCCACCAGGTGCCGCTGCCAGCGACCCGAAAGCGCCATCATCGCGATCTTGTCGACCAGTTTTTCAGCTCATCTCGAAGAAGGCGGTCGTGGATTCAGTCAGCAAAATCTCTTTCGTTTTACCGTAATTCCTGCTCAGTTTCTGTGCTCGGTGTAACCTCAGGAATATCATCAACGCGTGAGTGCTGTGCCAGCTCGGAAAAGTGTCTGTGAATGGTGCTAAAGGGAGGATTGAGATCCGAAATATTGCCCTGTTGAGTGCCGCGCACGAAGCACCTGAAGAAGCCCCAACAAGAAGGAGAGAGAAGATGCCCTGCTCCGCTGTAACACTGTCTCTAGCCACCATTTTATCCATCATAGCTGTGGCTCTGCTGGCGATCGCCTTCTCCACAGACAACTGGCTCAGCTATGAAGTCAAGAGGAGCAATATCCAGGTAATCTCGGAAGCAATTTCCCATTTTTTCACCTGTGAGTGCCACCCTGGATTTTGTCCTGCTCTCCCGCGCCTCTCGCTCGCTCTTCAGCGCGACAAGTGATGCCAGAGGCACGTAGGCGAGTCGCGGTGGTCCACAAAAAATGCTCCTCGAGAGCCGCAGAGCGAGAGAGAGAGGCTTTGGGAAAGAGGCTGAGGAATTCTTTTGTTCGCCAAGAAGGGCGAAAGAAAGGAAAAAGAAGGCAAGGATAGAAGCCCGTCAAGGGACAGACTTAGAAGCTAGTTAAGTGTTGAATCTGAGAGAGAGTTTTACAGTGCTCAGAATGTCGATAGGTCCAACAGATCAGGATAATCAAATAATTTCAAAATCCAAGTTTGAAATCACAAATTCATTCATGCGATTTTTCGTGGAAAACTCTAAAAAAACACATGCTAAATTTTCAAATATTTGTTCTTATCACTCACTTTAAGGACTTGGGATTAGCACAGAATTTGTCTTTTTAAATTTTGAGCTCATTTCTGTGTATTTTGTATTCACCAACTAACTTTCCAGCCCTGTAAATTTCTCCAAAAGCTGTTCTTGGAAATACACAACCACCTGTTCTACGACTCTCATTACACAGTGTCTTCCTTAAATTAAGGTGTTCCTCCATCATCAGCTCTTCCATTGGTCAAACAACCATTTCACTGGCCGGTACGAAATTGAAAACGCGAAAGAACCTCCGCATAGATTGCTAATGGGCAGAATTAAGAATCAAACGGTCATTACTCCAAGCCCAAGAGCTTCCACAGTCGCTTTCTTTCCTTCTTAATTTCTCGCCTTGAGCGTTCTTCTGGGCATTTATCTGATTAGATCAACGGTAAAGTTCTTACTTGAAATGACGCCCGTCGAATTTTCTGCTCATTCTTCTCTCCTTCTCTCTCTACGAATGCACAACTAATGAATTCCACTCACGTTTGCATATTTGATTAAATTTATGTACATTTTGCGCACACCGAGTCGTTGTTTGTATTTGAGGAACACAGTGAAGGAAAAATTGAGTAATGCCTCATTGTGAGTTGAGTACGATGGGGAGTTTATTAAATTGACCATAAATCATTTCATCTGGGTTCGTCGCCTCATATTAGACGCATTTAAGTCTTTTGTTCCCACTCACGGCAGTTTCAATCATTTTTTCGCACATTGTCACCCAAATTTGTCCTCCTAAAAGTCGAGTAATTAGTGTTTTTGGTTCGCGCTAGAAGAGAAAAGAAACAACACCTGGCATTTCAGGTGCGAGATCTCGTTTTTGGTTGGCACTTGGAATCTGCCAGGCAATGGCAGAAATGATATTATTCACCGCGTGAAACTCAACATTGCCACACACTTGCCAAGACTCCAGAGTTGCAATTCTCGTTCCGCGCATTTTCTATTTGCGAGAGAGGCCAATTTTGCAGCGAGATCACAACACTTTGTGACTCTTGGCACGCATAGACGATCAACTCGAAAATGTGAAATGCATGTGCTGCAGCTATTGGAAATGTGCTGGAGAGAAAGTGCCATCCAGCCCCGATACACATTTTCCACTTTTCACTCCCATTCGCATGGCCATCGTGGCGATCACGATCTTATAGGCCAATGTGTTGGACGAAGACCCCTTGTCCCGGAAACCACATTTATGTGGTCACTTCACCACGATGGCCAAACTTAATGATCGGCAGCGAGAATTCAGGAATTTCTCACGAATCACTTCACTTTTCTAAAATATAGAATCAGGTTTTGGAAGCATACAATATCTGACTAGTTATACATTGATTAGTCGAGTTGAATCGCTTCTCAATATAAATTCTGTAAGACTTGGAAACTGAGAGAGCATTGTCTCACGAAGAGTGACAATTTTATTCATTCACTATTATATTGCTATTACAAATGGAAAGAGGAATTTTATTCACAACTTGGCAACCATAGTTTAATAGTCACTCAATATTGGCGATCGTAAATTGTTGTCCACACCCTTTCCTATCTCATACTATCAATTATATCTTCATTGCGAGGAGAAAATCATGGTGCTTAACACCCCCAAAGGGGAGATAAGAAGAGAAATCAACTAAATTGGTTCCTTTTATTATAACCTCTTCTTGCTTGAGAGAGATCATCGAGTTTTAATTTACTGTGCCAATGGTGGATGATTTACTAAAGTGTCTTCTTCAATTTCTCGATCGCTCAAGTGTGTGTGTGAGTTTTCTCGTCATTGAGCCAAAGCTCGATTGACCACTTTCTTCCCGTGATTGCTGCATTTAAATTAATGTCTTAAATAAATAGACATGAGGCTCAGTTTTTTTGCATTCGGTTGATGAGGAGGAGAAAAACGACCAACGCGATTAAAATATGAGTAGAAATGTGAGGAAAAATGTCGTTTGACACAAAAACCCATATTTATTTTTCTTTTATTATGATATTCATAAACGTCTTTTTGTTCCAATGCGTCTTTTTGTGACTTCCTCTGGACATGAAGAGAGACAATATTTAATAAAGAGGTAGCGATATGTTTTGGCAATAAATAGCGTGACCTTCGCAAATTCTTTCACTAAAACTTGGAGGAAGTTACGAAGGTTTTGGTCAAACGGAAAAGTGATACGATTTGTGTGATCTTCCGTGGTTGAAACAGACATTCCATATGAGATTTTTATGGAAAAAAAAGAGTCTAACACTGAAAAAGATGAGTAGTTGAGGAAAAACATGAAATAACATACAATAAATATGATTGAATTTCATTGAAGAGTGGAATTTCTCTTGTCTTACTTCCACGAAGCTCTTATTTATCTTCTCCATACTCTTCATTTCGGAGTGACTCTGAAAATATATCTTGGGGCTACTCATTTTCTATTGTTCAGCCACTGCTGGAGAGGAATTTCAATTGAAAAGCCTAATGATTTTGCGCCCATAAAACCACATGAGGAATTTTCGTTGGCATGAGAGATTTAATTCAATTTTCACTCTTGAAATTCATCCAGGAAGTTGTGGCTAATTAATGGCTATGACGATTGGAGAATATCATCTGGCAGAACCACCAAAGAAGTGTGCCCGCGAGAGCAGAGCGAGAATGGGCGCATGTATTTGTATTGAGATGGAGAAATGCCTTTACATTTGATATGCACGATTTTTCAAGTGAGGGAAATTGACCTCTTGTGTAAAGTTGAGCTTAAACGAAGAGAACAATTCTCGTGAAGGACTCAGAGATCCAGTTTAGAGTATGTACAAAATAATTACAGAGTGCGGCTCTTTGCTTGTTGTGTACCTTTTTCTCCCACCGACAAACTAATCGATCAACACAAACGATGGCTGAAGCCACACCTCGCAAGAAATACCATCAAGAGACGATGAGAATTTCATCTCTTCTGTTTGACTTTGATTTCAACTTCATGGTGGAGACTGAGCGTGAAACGCAGATGAAGACCGAAAATTCCGCTGCCTCTTGTGGTCTTCTTGGCGTCTGTGTGCAATCTTCTGGGATGAATACAGAGTGCCATAAAGGACTGTGTGTCACTGGAGAAAGTCACCATGCAAGCTGCAGAAGGTGTCGTAAAATTATAGCCAATGAAGTAGTAAAATAGAAAATAGTAACGCACATAGGATAAGATAATATCGTATATTTCATTGGAAGGTTATAAAATATAAAACTATCTTGATCAAGAATATATGTCCAGGAATAGTTAGCTAATCAGAATCTCTTGTTTTCTTTATACACAGTGAGAAGACTTTATCATCTTTGTCTAGGATTTATCAGTAAAGCCGGTCATTGTTTCCCATTTCAATGTGATTTTAATTATTTCGAATTCGAACCTGTGACAATATAAACGATAACAAAAACACGAAAACTCTGCCACCTAGTTATGTATGATGAGTGATCAACACTATAAAGCTAATGGTGCAAACTAGATTAAAGCCTAAGTAATATCCACAATTGTGACCGCAACATTCATTCACCCATACTCGCAGGCGATCATCCTATGACGCTATGACAAATTCTTATGACAAAGCAATATAAAAGGCAAGAAGCAGGCGATTACAGTGATGTAATTTGCGTAAGAATATCACGAGAATTGCCAACACGATTCATCGCAGGCAAATGATAATGTTGGTGAACATCTCAGGCACGATTGTTAATAACCTGCCCAGGGAAAAGTGTGACTTTCTGAAAGTTACCGATGACCCATGCGATTGAGTGAAATTTTTGTGCAAAGCGAAAGAAGATATCGAATTGGAACAGTGAGGAGAGAAAGAGTTGCATTTTCGCTGTTCTTGAATGTGGGAACGCGAATAGTGTGTCAAAAAGTTATAAATGCGCCCTTTCTTTGTTTTCTCATGAAGAAATGCTCCCAAAGAAGCGCCAAAATAGAATAAGAGAGTGCCTCTATAAAGTGTGTAATTAATTTGGAATTCATCTCTCTGATCTTGACGATGTTGGCGGCAGACAACAATACTGAAGACATTTTTTGGGTGAAGTAGAGAGTTTTGGAGCATTTGCAAATGGCATAGAAAGCAAGAAAAGGGAAAAGCTGTGGTCAAAGAGGCTTATTTTGAGCCACTTTGCGTGATCTTTTATGTAATCGAATTAAGTGTAATCTTATTGAATAGACCCGCATTTTGTCGTTATTGTTGCAACATCAAAAAAGTGGTTGAAATTGCGATATAATTTGATGACGAGGAGAGATTCACAATCAAAGTGAAATGCCAAGAGAGAAGAGCTTTCGAGTTGAGATTATATGTATTTAATCTGGATTTCATATAAATCGTCAAATTGACGTGCTCCCGTTACGAATGCAGGATGTTCTTGCGATATCGACAGAGAATTGCTTTTGACACAAACACCCTGTATAGTGAATTCTGGTTGAGTGAATTGAAAATGCATGAATGATAAATGAATGAGATCACCTTGAGTAAATTTTCTGACGTTTTTATCTCTCTCTCTCTCTCTGTCTTTTGCAGTCTTACGCCGCCAAATATTCAGATTCTCAGTCACTGCTGGAAAATATGAACACCAAGTACTATTTCTACACTAGAACTCGAGGACTGTTCCGGATATGTTATCCCAAAGAGCGGCCTCCTGCCTCATCAGGTAAATGGCGATTTATTTGGTTTAAGCATTGAATGTGTTGCCTAATTTTCGCACGCACATCAATAACGCAATGCGGCGTGAAAAATGGCTGTGGAGGTACGCCACAAAACAGTCTGACCTCGTGCGAAGGTGGCAAAAGAGGCTCATAATTCATGAACAATTAAAGCGCGATGAGCACAACGTTTGGACTATCGGACTACTCGTGATTGTACCCATGAATGAATTCCACCTTGACTTTGTGTAATTATTTAATCACTTTTTTCCTCGATTCTTCAAAATTAAACCCTCCTTCTTGATTGCTTCATTTTGTCTCGCCAATCATTTCTGGCCATTTAATATCAATTTTCGCTCATGACGAAGGAAAAAATTGACGTGTGCGAGACAAGAAATTCACCAAAATGTGTTTTTCACTGTTACGCTTTGCTGGCGTTGCACCAGAGAAAGTTTTTCTTCCGATTTATTAGGCTTCTCCAAGCCACTCTTTTTACTCCATCGATGAGCCCAATTTGACGTTTGATCAGTATTGTTAATTGGCGTTGAATTTCCCCACATATTGCAGATAGTTTTCATATTATTATAGGAGTATAAATATCTTCACGTGGTGCCGCACCTTTGATGGAATTTAGGGAATTCACAATTTGCGAGACATTTTCTCTTTGGCACTGACGGTGGAATTTTTCTCACATAACTTCAATTATCATTGACAATTTTACAAGGCGGTCAATCAAATTGTTTTACGCCTTCGGTATGGGTTCAATTTAGATCCTATTGGCGAGATAAAATCCTGCATTGTGCAGATTTTCAAATTGAGATATTGTGAAGTAGAGTCAATATTTAATGTGCTCCAAAAGGGCAGGAATATGTCTTTCAATCCAACAGGTTTTGTCTGTTAATTGATTCTTAATTAAGAAGTGGAAGGCTTTATTGCTGAATGATAGATATCTAGAGTTTGATTTTGTTGATGCCAAATTTTGACAATAAATAGTCAATTATGTATTGATAGATTAGGGAAAAGTGGTGCCACTGAGTATAAACATTGAAAACTCCATACTTGACGCAAATCATAATGAGTAATACTTGGTTTGCGCGATATCTATGTGTCTCTCTTCGAGGTTGTGACTCTATTCTACATCCCACAAGTGCTCTACTCTCCCCTACAGTCGAAAACCTCAAGGTTCACCTTCAAAGCCATTGATCACAGTTGAGAAATTGGATCAGAAAATTATTTCTACTCTTTCCTACTTAAATCAACATGCAGTTTATTTAATATATTCAATCTTTATCAAATAAAATGTTTTCCTATATTTAAACATTCCATAAAATATTTATGGCTTTTGGCTAAAGTTGTTCCTATTGAATTACACATTGTTGATGGCAATCACGGCAAACTAATTAACAATTCATTTGGGAATTTCCTCAAAATTTTGTCGGTAAATCGCAAGAATGTGTGATTCGGTGTGTTTTGCAAGATATCTTTTATGGCAGAATGTATGCAAATTCCACGTAAGTTGTGTGCTTTCTCATTTGATTCGAGAATTTTGTCGTATAAAGTGCATAGCGTGGCGTGGTTCAAGTGGCTTAACACAGTTTCCAGCAGAGAGTGCAAGAATTGGAGAGGAATCTGGATTAGTGTTGAATGTGGAGGAAAAGCAGTGAAATAGTTCTATTTTAATGAACATTGACTGAGTCTTTTGTACAGCCAGCAACGAGAGCCTCAACTTCCTTAGCCATGGTAAAGTGCGAGTAAACAGTTACAAGACAGTTAAATGTTGAATATAATTACATTATGGAATTTCGTAAGGCCTGAGTATATTGCTCATAATTCTCTTCACGCAATTCACAAATTATCCCTCTTGTCTCTTTTCACCTTCGAATTGTCTCCCGTTCGTCTCTCTTGTTCGGATTATATGCCAAATGTGATCGATTTAGAGTTGGTGGGCAATGCTAATGCTGTGTTGTGCGGCGTGAAAAAATTGTAAATGCAAAGGCACTGAAGGTGGAAAAGAAACTGAATTTATTTTGTAGGTGGAATTATTTGTTGGCGCAGGCAATAGATTTTTTTTCAATCAACTCGATACGAACTTCCTCGTCACTGATGTTGAGGCTGAGAGAATCTCACTAAAAATAATAGATGAGTAATGAGAAGAGATTCTCGGTCGCGCTGTGGAATGTGTTTGTGCTCCAGGGTCTCGTTTTTCCTTCATTGATATTGTTTTTTTTTTGCTCCCCAGAATGGGAAAAAGATCAACAAAGTTGTTTTCCATTTGCTGTATATAAAATTGTTTCGATGTCATTGAAATTGTTGCATCACAATTGAAGAATAATTGCGGGATGGACACTTCAATGGCTAGAGTGGCACCTGAAAATGGGAGAGAACATCTCGTGATCGCTCGTGATTTTTTTCCATGCGATCGCGAGGCGTGTTTTATATGGAGAAAGACAACGCGGCAAAAATGAGGCTTTTCTGTATTAATTGTACATATGAGTCAATACGGTGTGATTTTTCTACAACGCGAATCAATGGAGGATGAAGTTGTATTTCACATGGATTCAGCGTCTCCTCTTGCATCATCGCTCGTCTCATTGAAATTCTGTCCAAATTGTAATTGCAAATTGTGGACAAGAGTCGTCCATCGATGAATCAATCCATCACGAATTCGAGGAGATTGATTGAATAAGTGAAATTCTATATGGTTTATAGCAATTTCTTTTCAGTATAATCGCATTTAATGCACTATTCACGAAATAGATTGTCTCATTTTGTAACGCTTTTACATATTAGCACTCAATTTATTGAATTTAATTAGTTTGGAATGTAAATTATGTTATTTAAATGGTCCGGGAATGTGCTTAGAACAAATTTGTTCTCACGATATGTTGGCAAAATAGAAGTGAAAATACCATAATTTAACAAATTTGCATATTTGTATTAGAGTTCAGTCACTATAAAAGCCGTTCACAGTCATTAATCTTTGTGTTTTCAATGGTAATTGGGTGCAAAAGTTGTTAAACAATTTTTTGAGAGCAAAATCACAAGTATCTCTAGACGTACAGTCAGTAAAAATTTACTGAAACAGTATAAATTTCTAAGCAGTCCTACGTTTCTTCAACTGAGAGTATAATTATGTTTTAGAATACAACGCTATTTATGATCACTACTATATTGTAAAAGTGTCTAAAATATTGTGATGGCTATAAATGTTAAAAAAAAAAGAAATGGGATTTTAGCATATTTTGCTCATTTCACCTCATGTTTGTGGTGTTTTGAAATGATTAGAATTTTAAAGTAGAAATGCGGATGACTAAAGTGAATTTTATGACTTTCGATTCAGCTCTTTTCTATGTACGAGAGTGCGAGTATATAAAATAAATCCACGATTAGATAGCAGATGCGAAAGAGTTCTTCGAACTCGTTGATGGTTTCTGTTGGATGTCAATTGCAATTCGGGAGAAAATGGTGGATTGTCACCTGTTGCATTCCTCAGTCATTTAACTTTAATTATCCATTGTTAATTGTTCATCTTGCTTTCGTATATAAAAGTTGTGGGTAAAAGTTCATCAGCATCGCGCGGTGTTGTCTTCGGTTGTCCAACTGATTGAGACTCAACGCGGCTGGAAGTCTTTTTTCAGCTTCCTCCATGGCGTATTGTAACAATTTCCGCCACGGAGAGTGAGAGAAAGATATGCGGTGTGTGTGTGAAGGTAGATAAGGAACCTGTTTAATATATTTCAATATTGAGGTTTCGATGCTTTCCATCTATAAAAAGAAATCTCACCGCACGTCCAAAGGAGAGACAATGGAGCGAATATTTCGCAATGAGACCACACAAAGTACCCTAGAGAGTAAGAGTCATTAAGATTAATTCAGTATCGAATGGGAAATGTTCAAAATTGAGCGCGTCTCTCAGATTGGCACATCAATCAGCGAATAGAATACGTGGATTATTGAATGAATTGATTAAAATTCCACCCATAAGTCTTTCTGTGGTATTTCCTCTGGTCGATGTTCTCTGGCAATGGAGCGACAAAACAATCGAGACATGTTATTTATCCAGTGGGCAATTAAAAGAAGAAAATCCTTAATGATTTTCTCTCATAAACATCACATCGTTGTCTCTATTTTCTAATCATGCCTCATCGAATGACCATCATTGGAAAAATTGGAATAGCTCAAGACAAGTATTCTCGAAATGGCAATCAATCTTTGCTGGGGAGATGAAATTGACTTCTTTTACACCGAAACAAATTGTTACGTCGAGAACAACTTTTTCAGTCTGTTTTCAAGTGATTGATGTCTAGACGTAAATAAATATAGCACCAAGCGGAGTAATTTATTACTTATACCGTTGAAGTATGATAATAGAAAAACTTTCACCGAAACAATTATTATTTGACGAGCTGAGGGATCATTTAGACGGTATTGTGCAGAATTTACGTTGTTTGCAAACCATGAATTAGTGATGATTTTCTTCGTGAAAATTACTAATATTATTATTGGAAAATTGCCACACAGAGAAAAATCAGAGACTAAAATAAAGTAATTTTATACTTAATGTGGTAAAGATTTGGCGAGAAATTACTTAACAACTGAAAAATTGAAGAAATTTCAAACAATTCTCACTTTTTGATTTTCTTGAGTTTATTGGATTTAATTTAACTTAGTTCGAGGTGAGAAATTGGAGAAAAATAATCACAAGTTATGGGACAAGTTTGCTTAATAAATATCTGAAATATTGCCAATATTAATGATCATTTACACGTGAATTAAATTATGATCGCATTGAATTTCTTACGTGTCTTTTATTGAATATCCAAGTGATTTTCTATCATTGATCGGCTTGTTTAACACGTTGAGTGGATTGGTGTGGAGAAAAACAAGAATTCTCTCTTGAATGTGCGTCTGTGTGTTGTGCTCTCTGTTCAATACAAAATCCGCATACAGGTGGCTTGAAATGTGAATTCTTATTCTCCACCAACTGGTTTTCAAGAATTCCCATCTGATTGTGTCACATCAGAAGAAGAGAAGTGTGCGGTTCGGTGTACCTTTGGAGGATGCAATTATGCGGAAAATCATGGGGAATTATTTTCCGCCCGCGTGAATGAAGAATCAGTGGATGAGTTTTTGATTTCATTCATAAGAAAAAGAGATTTTGAGATAAATTTACTTTGAATTGAAGTCTCTTTTCGCATATTGTTGTGTGTACATTTGAGATGTGAGTGAATGTTGGTGTAGAAGAGAGAGAAATTGCTCATGTGAACCAGGCCTCGATGGAATGCGAAAAGAGAACGATACTCTTGGCTCTGTTGGGTGAAATCACACCTCATGATGTGCCTGAGGGCATCAGAAGATGGATTTTGGGTGGTTTGACATGATTTCACGGCGATGAGAAGGTCACTCCTCATGAGACGACGCATCCCTATGGTTGGCCTTCAGTCAACCAACAATGAAGAGTGACACCATTGCCAGGTGTATTCTTGAACTGAAAGGATGGGAATTTTCATTGAGAAGCAGCAAAGGCCTGTTATTTGCTCCCAAGAGATTTCCTATCAGCTTCTGTGCACTTCCTCTCCAATTACTTAACAATGCAATTCACTGTGTTTCTCTCTCTCTCTCTCTTTGCAGTTGAGATCTACTTATCACCTGTAGAGACACACTGTTCCAATATTGACTATTTCCCGAGCAACAATGAGGACAAAGTTGTGGCTCCAAATGACGATTCAATGGCGAGACTCCACCTGGCACGCTCCTGTATTGCACTCTTTATTCTCAGGTGAGTTCAAATGATCAATTTCACAGAGATTTTTTCCTCATTGCAGTGTAAAGCAGAAGAAAGGGAAATTCTGCAGACCATGAAAAAGACAAGGAGAATTGCAATTGCAGAAATTAAATATTCATCTACCACTTTTCCCTCCTCATCTCTGCATTTATATCGATTGCTGGAAGATTAGAGATCGTGAGGCTTTTCTATCCACCATAATTTCTTATGTTGCGATGAGAATGTCTTGGCTTGGGACGTGTCTAAAGCACAATCTTGTGAGAAGTGCCTTTTTTGCACACAATTTCCTGTTTATCATCAACACACAAAATTTATGGGCGATTTATGGTTTTAAATCATGCAAGAATTTCTTAGGGAATTTTTTTCGAGCTGAGAATTGATGTTTAAATTTAGATATGCTGATTGTTTTTTTCAGCGAAGGCCAAAGTGCAATTAAGAGACACAAGACAACAATACATTTGCTATTTAGTTTCATATTTCCAAGTTAAATGATTTCTCGTAAAATGTAATATAATTCAATTTAAAATTAAGGCAGAAACGATTCAGAAATGCTCAATTCTCCTGCTCAGAAGAAATCCTTGATAAGCACCTGAGATAAGGCGATTGTGTTTTCGATGGTATCTCAAGTACGAAATATGATATGCATTCACCCAGGAAAAAAGTCTTCACAACTCATAATTCCACGTCTCTTGCAAATTAATGCAGACTTTCGTGATGAGACGTGATGTTGAACATAATTTTGCATTGTGTCAGATTGTAAATCTAATTAGGAGAAGCGCTCTGGCGAACAGCTTTGCAAGTCTGAATGATATTCACTGTGAGGTCTGAACCGAGCTTATTTAGGCGGCGACAGCTTGGAGTTTAAACACAGCAGCGGTGATGTTTTAACGAGAAATTCACACTTGTTTTTATTTCTGCAGCTTCGTGGCGGTGTTTTGTGCCTTCTGGACGGGCTTGTCGGGATGCTGGAAGAGATCGGCAGGTGCGATCACGGCCACGGCAATTCTGATGCTGTGCGCGTGCCTCTTAGCAGCCGGCGCGATGGGACTGTGGCACACGGTGGAGTTCTTCGAGAAGGAGAAGGTCGTCGGGGAGGAGTTCTATCAGCAATGGAGCACTGTGAGTGCATTTACTGTGGGTTAAAGGCGAATGATATTAATGGTTGCGCGTGATTTCTTGTAGGTTTTGCGCGATAATACACGAATTTCCTACGATTGGTCGTATATTGTGGCCTGGGCTGGTGTGGCATCTAGTCTGGTGGCTGCCATTCTGCTGTCCGGCGCCACAGTGTGCCTCCGAAGCGAGCGAGAGAAGGAGGAGCAACTCAATTTGCAGTATTTGATGCCAGGTGAGAATTCTTTGCAGTGATACGTTGATGTGAGATGACAATACTGAGATAACATGTTGTTTTCTGCTTCTAGTGTACCCACAGAAGCAGCCGCCGTATCCGTACGGAGCAGGATACCCACAACCTCAGATTTATCCCGGACCATACTATCATGGCTCTCAATACGGACCGTACAACTACTGAAGATCACCCTGTTCTGCCTTGTAAATAATCTCTAACGTCTTCCATCGGCTTCTGTCGTCCGGGAGGCGCTCGATTGGGCCCCACATCCCTCCATTGACTACTTCAGCCTCTAACAAGCCACGACGCCACGTCTAGGGCGCGTGTATTACTTATTATCATCAGTACTCGTTAAGGAATATCAATTTAAAAGACGAACGACGCATAATTGTAAGACAGTTGCTAATATTCTACAGTAAAATTGTGTAGCTAGGGAAGTTTTAATTATAAACAGTGTAACGACGTAAAGTGAAGGATGTGAAAGGAATAAATTGGTGGCCTCAGAATACGTAAAGTGAAAGGATGAGAAAGGGTGTGAACTTCCAACTGAAATGGCTTTCCAAATTGTTCTGTAAATATTCAGCATTCACTGAGAGATATTTATAAATACATAGAGTTAAGTTTATGTCTTTTAGTTTATACATCTTTCGATCATTTCCCTGAAAGCCTTTCATAGTGACAAAATTACAATACGATCTTGACTTTATCGTACAAATTGCAATACAACAATTGAGACACATATGCATCAAATTAAAGACTGAATTGTTAAATTGACATGAAAATTCAGTATCTTTGATCCCCACTATTTATTGCGGTTATTAGTAGAACTTGTAGAATGAGTAGACCTCCTAGAGATGCTAAAAATATGTATTTGGACAATTTAAAGGCGAATAAATAATTTTTATATTAAAGACATTTCGTGTGTGGTTCGTTATAATTTGAAATCTGCATTTGGGAAGTTTTTCTTGGCGGGATGAGTGGTGTTGCCAGCGGTAATTTCCCTCACGCGGGCAACACTCGTCGAAGACGGCCATTGTAGTCTAAAATAATTACGAAGGAATCCAACTATTTGTACTCTGTGTTTTTCAGTGGATTTCCTGGAGAAAATCTCCACGGATTTGGTGAAAATTAGTGGAAATCGCTTGGAAAACCTCCGTCGCGATGTCCAAGGTGAGCAAAGTGCAGACTAGTGTGCTGTATTGGCAAGAAAGGCGAGTGTGAAAAGGAGACTTGACACTTGGTCTGATGATTTTTCATGTCTCGTCGCGCTTTTCCCATGCATTTTTCCACCCATGACGATCATTCATGATGCATTTTCTCTCTCCCCCATCTGCATTTCCAGCATTGCATTGTGTGGTTGAGTTGAGATTGAGGTAGAGAGAGCAATGGATGTGCCACATGATGAGGTTGAATCGGGGGTGGAACAAAGAAATTTGCATATGCGAAATTCCAGAGAGAATCACCATGTGAGCTCCGTCACGTCCCTCAGTGATGACTCTGGCTTCTCTGGACTGCCGCACACCAGCAGCTCCATCAGCAGTGGGGACAGCAGTCGCCTGGGGCCGTGCAAGTTTGAGTTCGAACTGGTGGAGAGTGACGGTGAGTTTGACTCCTTGGACAACTGCTCGGATGGCGGGATGAGTGCTGAGAACTTCAACACACTGAAGAAGGGACCGTTGGCACCAATCGATCCACCCCCTGAATTTCAGGATTCGCCACAGACCACACTATTGCGATCGCCTATCATTCAGGACTTTGCCAGCAGCCTCACAGAGGATATCATCACGGAAGCTGCTGTGGCGTGCTCCAGGCTGCAGCTGGAAGAGCCTCTAAGTGACTATTATGCTCAGTTCGACACGCTGAAAAAGCCTCTGCGGGTCCGAACACCGCAAATCTACGCCAGTGACACGGTTCTCAACACTTACGAGGACAACATCTACGACGAACCCAATACATCTGACCTGGAGACAGCCCAAGGGTATCTGCTGGTGCCCAACCGTCCCAGGACAGACTGTGGCAGTTGCTACCGTCGGCGGACGCCGCCCAAATCCACCTTGTACAGCCCACTGCATCATACAAGTGGCCAAAGACCCAATTCTCGAAATTCCCTCACCAGCCGCTTGTCCAGCAGCCACAACAGCCTCAGTATGAGTGCTTCCAAGGCGGATGACAGCAGCTTCATCACCCAAGCCATGTCCCACGACGCTCTCACTGGTCGTGAGATCTCTGACTTCTACAATGTGCCAATGGACTCGGACATGTACGCACTGCCCATCGACATGGTGCGTCCGGAGAAGACAGCAGCAGAGCCCAAGAGCGGTGGCAAGGGGCGCAATCGCCTGAAGTACATGCGGAATAACAAGAAACGCCGGAAAGGCGGAGAGGAGAAGGTGAGGAGTGCCTCAAAGGCCTCCAAAGCGACTGATAAGCGTCACAGTGTGCCCGAGAGCTGCATCCAGCCAGACTCAAAACGTCTCCTGCACAGTCTCTATGCCAATTCCAGTGACTCAAGTGAGACCACCACTCGAAGGCCTCGTGGCACGCCGTGGGGAAAGATGAAGTGTTCAGAAACGAGTGTTCAACTGTCAGGGCATTCTCAAGTCCTGGCTGGAAGTACAGCGACCAAGAATACTCCGCAAGCTAGCACAGCAAAGACAGTGGCAAAGAAAGCGAGCAGTGAGAATGTTCTGAATAACACTTTGAGCGGAAAGATGGGAAAATTCTCTACTCATCAGCACAAGAAAACACAATTCTCCATTCATTTGAATCTCAAGCAGAAGTTCTGTAGCATCTTCCGCTTCAGGAAGTCACAGCAGAAGCAGGCCAATCGCAGTGGCATCCACAATAATAATCACGGGGAGAATTGGGACTACGAAGCGCAATCTAATGGCACAGCGAAAGAGTCCAAGAAGATCATTCTGAGAGCACTGCCGCCACTTCCTGGTCGAGGTGAGTCCACATTTTACAGTATGAAAAAATTACCATAATTGATCAATTCGTATGCTTGACCGAAAATTGTGTGTCTTCAGACAAAACAGTGCCGTGCGAAAGAGTGGAATTTCATGATTTTCTGTTGCTTTTACATCTCAAAGTCACCCTTTTGTCATTCACATAGTAAATAAGAGTCTCAACTTCTTCCTCAATGTTTGATGAATATTGAAATGTTCATAGCTTTAGCAAGTGTGTGATTGAATTGAGAAAATTTATCTGTTAAGCCAGCTAATCACGTTTCCCGATATATAATTGCATTTGGGTTTCGTTAGATAAATTGAAACTTCACTGACCGATATAATTTCGCTGATTGTGCCACTTTTGTAGCATTATTCGCTCTTCTATAGACTTTTCATCGTCCACCAAAGAGATAAAGTAGTGTAAAAAATGCACATTTTTCCTACTGACATATTCGTATGGCTAATATTTCTTAGTGATGGATTTTATGCTGAGCGAACAATTAAGATACAGTTCGCTTTTTGCTGGTGAGATGAGAATGACTCATTGATTTTTTCTCTAAATGTTAATTAAAATGTCATATTGAGCGTGTGGTGAGTCAATTAAATGGACATTGAGTGGCTGGCGAAGCATCGTGCACTGTCTTGCAAAAATTACACGAGAACATGATGTAATTCACTGAATGTTTGCTTTGGGTGTTTTGCAGATTCAGCAGAAACAACAAATGCGGCCAATGAGACGGGAAATGTGAGTGAGGAGGAAAGTTCTGTGGACGATGGACTCGTGAAGATGGACTTTACCTCGAGCATTGAAAAGATAAAGCAGGTTTGTGGCCGAAAAAGAGAGTGGGAAGTTGAGTGTTTTGTATGTTCATGGTTAATCCTTGCAGTACGGCTGGTATTGGGGCCCAATTTCTAGTGAGGCGGCCGAGAGGATTCTGTCAAACGAACCGGATGGCAGTTTCATCGTAAGGGACAGTTCGGATGATCACTACATCTTCTCGCTCACGTTCAAGCTGAACCGATGCGTGAGACACGTGAGGATTGAACAGGATCAGGGCACTTTCTCCTTTGGCTCCTTCGCCAAGTTCAAATCGCGCACAATTGTGGAGTTTATCGAAAAGGCAGTGGAGCATTCACGGAGTGGAAGGTAACACATGACCATTTGTCACTGAAAGATTGAGATTTTAAAAGTGATAATTGCAGGTATCTTTTCTTCTTGCATCGAAGACCAGAACATGGACCAATGCGTGTGCAATTAACGAATCCCGTGTCTAGATTTAAGCATGTACAAAGTTTACAACACATGTGCAGGTAATGTTGATTTTTATCTCACAAATGCTGGATGAATTTGATTTGTTATGTTGATGTCTTTGCTGGGCAGATTTGTAATTCTAAAGGCTGTTGTAAGGAAGGACTTGATCCCAACTCTGCCTCTTCCTAGAAGGGTCATAGACTATTTGAGCTACAAGAATGTCTACTCGGAACAAGTTGAGAGCGATAGTTCGACGTCTCAGGTTAGTTTATCTGAAAATTTCAAATTTTGATGAACATTTCACTAACATTTCTCTCTTGTAGGCTTCAAATGGTCCATCGTGAAATTGCTCTGAATGAAGAATTATCGACAATTGATGAGGATAAATGGAAGCATAAAATTGCATGAAATCATTTTAGGTGCTACTTTTTAAATTGATGTTGATAAAGAGAGAATGTGAAGAAAAATCTGTAGAGAACTTCTCAAGAAGATCATTTGCAATACCAAAATGTTTCATTGGAATCATTGAAATGCTTTTAGTTGTAATGTTGTTGGTTTTTTCGTTTTAATGAGAATAAGAGAAATAATACTACATAATAATAGGCATAGACAAAAAAAAGGCATTTTAGGATGATAAAGAAATAATTGAAGTGCATCTTTTAAATGTAAATTTGATGTTTTTATTAACAGTAAATGTGTCGGTGTCTTTTGTACGAAATGATATTGAGATGAGGATTATGAGAAGGATACAGGAATTTATCATTGAATTATGTATATTCATATTGTACCTTTTCTCACTTTTATGATAGAGCAATCAAACCTCTTCGTGAAGGCAAAATTCTCATAGGAAAGCAAATCTTGCAACCATAATGCGTTTTTATACTTTTGTAATGTACTGTGAGTACCGAAATTTGGTGAACATCTCTAAAATGGGAAGGAAGAGTTTTTGAAATCTGATTGTGATAGTTGAGTATGTTAAATTCTATGCATATTTCTCAATCTACCGTCTCAAAGAATGAAGGGAAAATTCAGTGAAAATTTTGTAAATATTGATTATTTCAAATACTAGTCGGTCTGAGATGAATTCTCTCCATCCTTATTTTGCCCACTTTTCCCACTCAATGTGAGCAGAAAATGATGAAAATGGTCAATTTATGCAATTTACAGATATGAAATGCTTAGAAATCATTAATTTTGGCCCGAAAATCCTCAAAATATGCTAATAAAATTACGTACATTTCAAGAAGCGACATTTCTTTCTCATTCTACAGACAATGTGGACTTTTCTCACTTGTATCCACAGATTCAGTGTCTATAGGGCTTGTGTTTATATTGGAAAAGTGACATCGGCTTGTTTGGCTTAGCTTTTGTGGTAAAAGTGTGAAAACACTCTTTTTCAGTTGTGCAAGATGACTAAGAAGGACTCTGGCACATCCCAAGATAAGGGAAAAGTCACAACAATCACTGTGGCTCAGATAAATGCTGATCGGATAAATCAAGTAAAACTAACCTCAAATTTTGTAGCAAACGTTTTGTAATTCTCAGCTTTTCCGGTCTTTTTAGCTTGCCAATCAATACTGGGCACCTCATACAGCCAGCAGCCATGAATTATACAATCCTGACATCATTGAGGATATTTACTTCAAGGAGATTCGCGACACGCGGCACTCGGTCAGGAGGATCATGATGCTGGAGTTTTCACAGTATCTGGAGAACTATTTGTGGCCAAATTATCGGCAGGCAACAGCTTCTCATGCGCACATGATGTCCATTGTTTTTATGCTGAATGAGAAGTTTCGGGAACGCGTATCTGTGTGGCAATGTTTCGAGGAAGAGAGTTCAGAGTTTCCGGGATTCTTTCAGCAATGCCTTGAGGCTTGCTTGGAAGATAAGAAGCCATCGCCGACTTATATGCGTGAGCAAACAGCTCTGCTGCTCTTTCTAAACCATTGCTTCAATAGTATGGAGGTGGAATTGTGCAGAGAACAGGCGAAAAGACTGGTTTCCCTTACAATGTGGTCTTGTCTGCAACCTAAGCGCCGAGAGCAGGAACTTAAAGCAATCCCTGAGTGGAGAAAGTTCTGGAAGAAACTCCAGAAGAGGGATAAGCCAGATATGAAAGAGAAACTTGAGTGGGAGAGGCATTTTCTTCAGGTATGCTTTATAATGCTTATGATTGATGCAGGGTGAGTCAAAAGATGAGCTAACATTTGGTTATATTCATGTAGAAACTGATGATCAAATTCATGGGCATTCTGGATTCCGTATCAATGGATGGGGATGTCAATGAGGATGTTGTTCGCTACTGCGAGCGTTTCTTGGAACTCCTCATCGACTTGGAAGCACTCCTGCCTACACGGCGTTTCTTCAATACAGTCCTGGATGATTGTCACCTCGTCGTGAGATGCCATCTGTCCAACTTAGCTAGGCGAGAGGAGGGAAAACTCTTTACTCAGGTATGTTAAAAAGGCTTTCATTCGTCAATAATTTACATAAAAGCTCTCCATCGTAAGCTTCTTAAGTACAAAATGGGTCAGGGAGATTCGTGAATCCTCCTTGAGTATCGCATTGATGAGATTCTGGGATATTTGGGGGTGCTTAGTAGTCTCCGCCGTTCATGTACGTCATCTCGTCTCCCCAATCTGTGGCGCTGGGCGGTTCATTGTAGCAGCAGGACTTTTTCAGCAGGAATGTCACGTGTTTCTGTCGCAGGACACAAATGTAGAGCAGAAGTGGGGCTTGCAGGGCGTTCACTACGATGTGTGTGTAGAGGAAGACGTCGTACCGCACCCAAGAGAGCACCAAGAAGAGCCACGCCATGCTCATTACCGCGAACATGAGGGAGAACATCACAAAGCTGGATTTCAGTTTGTGATGAATTCTCCCATAAGTGTTCATGCGGTTGATGATCTTCTGCGTGGTGACGTAGAAGAAGATGTTGATGGAGATCAAGATGGCAATGGGGGTGAAGAACATGGCTATTCCCAGCCATCCCATGGTTTCCTGATCCTCGACTAGTGCGTGTTTCTTTGATTGGGCTGTGTCAAGGAAGACGTGGGCGAATGTCGCGAGGCCGGACATCACAATTGTGGCACCCCAGGCGTATCCTGAGTACCAGCAATACTTTCGACCGTCTGTAACGCGCAGGAAGACATTTCTGGACCGGAAGGTCTTCCAGATGTAGTAGCCCATACTGTTGAGCCAGAAGAAGGCCGCCATGAGGCTCAAGTAGTGAATGGTGTCGGCCACTAGGAAGCTAACGTGACTACTGAACTCTGTGAAGATCCTCACGAGATCTGCCGCCTGATTCACGATCAGGCACACAGTGATTGTGGTGACAATGTTGCCCACAAGATCTCTTAAGCTCGGCAGGACGAAGTAAATAATGGCGATGATCAGGAGAACAATCATAGACACACCGTGGAAGATTGGATTGATGATTTTGCGCAGCAGGAAGTCAGTATCCGTCCAGTGAGTCACCTTCTCGGGACTGCAGACAATGGCAAATTGGGCTTGCTTCTGAGCTCCCTTCGTCAAGATTACCTTGTCCATGCAATACTGTCCAGGCTCATAGTCGTAAAACAGCGGTTTGTCATCTGTCTCGGAGATATGCTTGTGAAAGTCATCAGCATCGTTGGTGTTCTTAATGAAGTGTCTCATCTTTCCATCCGGAAGGAGAACTAGCTTATCAGCGCTCGTGATGTAGTGATAAATAGGCCACATTTGCAGAGGCCCGCAATCTGGAAGGCCTATAACGTACCTCCAGTCGGCCACTTGAACATTCTCCTCTCCATGGTATCCGGTGAATATTGGTGCCCAGGCGCCTGAAAGAGAAAAGAAGTATAAAAAACCCGGCTTTGGACTTTGAATAGGGTGAGAGACAGACAATAAAGAGGGGAATTGCATTAAGCGGAAACCTCCAGCTGGCAGATTGAGAAGGGAATTTGAGCACACGCCAAGGAATCTATTCTGGCATTCAATCAACTGCTGCAGCAGTGCAATAAAAGCAAATTAATGTGTGATTAATTTGACGAGACAGTTCTAAAAATAGCGCGAATAGATGGATTCTTGAGAAGGCTACCAAATCCTCACCTGCTGATTCTGCTGCTGTGTCATTGAGACTCGAGCAGGCGGCATCGATGAGAAGCTCAAATTTCTCACAGCACTTGTTCACCCTGATGGCATTGGGATTGCCCTTCTGGGGCAGTCCAGTCGTGCAGACCACGACGCTGAGGGTGAGAAGCAGCGGAAACATCCTCGTGTTCATGTTTTGGCTTCTGGAAGACAAAATACGAGAGATATAAATTTGTCAACATTCCTTTTCTCACGAAAACACTTGAAGAGCATCTATTTTTAACACATCAAAGAATGTGATGAGGAAGCTAAAAGAAGAGGAAATTGGGATGATATGGTGAGATGTTGTGTGCGGTGTAGAAAATGTGAGGTAGTTTAATCCCGTTTTGTCATGGAAAAATGTGGTTTCATACTCAAAATTGCGGAAGTCTGTTTAGCGAGTGTAATATCTTTTTTCATAATTCTTAAAAATTTGTTTGTTTTTGTTAGAGAATACTGTAAACTTACATTTACCGCGCGAAATTGTAATTTAGAGACTAAATGAGACCGACAATTGCTCGTGTTGTAGAAGATTTCTTTTAGACGAAAATATTCCTATTTTTGGATTTAATGTTGTGACTCCAGGATAGACGCGTAAGAAATGCAACAAAAAGTCAAGAATGTGACTGTTGTTTTTCCAGCCAGAAGAGATAAAGGAATTCTACATTTAGGCTGCTCATGGGCATAATTTAATTTTACAGGGATTTTCCCTTAACTCTGAGTGTGGCTGAAGTGTGGGCGTTTAGAGGGGACGGCGATAGAGTTAATTGAGTTGAAATGGAGCCTCGGAAGGGCGCAGTGAATCAATTGCTTGCGTTGCCAATTGACATGGAATTACAGACTTCCTTTTGAGGAGAGAACATCGCGCACAGTGTGTGTCTGTCAAGAGTGGAGATGAGAGGCGGCATTCATGAACTCTGGAGCGAATTAATGCGATCTCCTCACGTCATTTACAACGACGGGGAGCCATTGAACTTGGGGAAAGGCCTGATATTGTCTTTGTCCCGAATTAATGTGGATCACGATGATGTGATTCATCTTGGATTTTCGCGTTATACACAGAGGGTAATTTGACCCTCAAAAGCAACTTGGGTTTCACGGTTGGAGTTTCACGCATTGCTAAGTCACATTTTCTGCGATAGCAAAGAGTGAAAAATACGATGAAAAAGTCACATAATGAGAGTGAGAAAAATACATACAGGGAAATATTGTCAAAAGGAACGATAGTTTTTGAAAAGTTGTGTGTTTGAAGGTGAGGAAAACTTTGTGTAGAAATGCGTGTGTTTGTGAGCGTTGAAATCCAATGAGATTCACGTTAAGTCATTCTTACCTGGCGTCATAATCATTCGAACTGCGTCACATGAAATGTAGATGGCGGGGAAAAGGCTCGTGATGGGTCACTTATAGTGATTTGATTGGCAATATTCAGTGGTTCACGATTGTATCCATTTGACGATGAGGGAAAAACGTTATGCAATGTACACTTTTTTCCGTTGGGACGGAAGAGAAGTCCAGACACTGAACAGAGTATACAAATTGTTCTGCAAACCTCGTGGGATATGTGAGGAAGTCTGAGAAAGACAAAGGAGATATTGGATATGGGATTTTCAAAGGGAAATTCACGAATGGAAAAGTATTTCGTGCGAGGAATGGATTTTTAAGGTGAAACTATACACTGTGAGTGGTGTGAGGAGAGACACAGAACAACACCAACCACACTGGAAGCGACACGAACACAAACTAGTCCGGGTCGTTTGGCTGGGGCGACTTGTCCAATGTGGCTGGAAAGGCAGTGTCTGAGAGAGTGTTGGTTGCCCGCTGGAATTCAACGATCTCTGGCTTCCCCTCCTTTTGGCTTGTGACTCACACAGAGATTCGAGGAAAGCCGGCTGTGTTGACTGCCGCGAGAGACACCATGGACGACTATGGTTGCCATGGGCCAGGTGATTTCCCAGACACCCGAACCCACTGACCGTAACTCCCTGGCCTCCCCCGAAACGCCGACCAAATTACGTGAGAGCGCGAGATAATGGATTATGTGAAGACAAAACGTCGCTTAGAGACAAATATTTTAATCTATGTAACGTTTTAAGATTACAAATTGACTTAATCTAGTAGTATACATTTCTTTTCTTACATTATTCAGTGAAATTATTTATTCCTACAAATGCTTTAGAACCAGAAATTTGTACAGTGGAGAGCAGAACAGTATATGCCATAGCAGAATGTCTATAGGAAAGTAAATCCCCTATTTTCATGTTTAGAAAACATGCTTGTTTTGCAATATTCTTGCAAGAAATCCAATAAGTTTTCTCTGCAAAAGTTACGACAATATTTCCAAACAACACAGCAGTGTGTGAAATACAATTAATGAAAGTGCGTGAAATTGATTCACTTTCAGACGCATGAGGGAATCATTGATCGTGACATTTTGCACAGCCACTGTATTTTAAATTATTATTATAATTGACTGTACCTATAGAAATTAAAGGGAGCATTTTTGTTCGTTTTGCCACTTGGGTGGATTAATGTTTCAAATGTTCCAAGGTATAAAGTAAATAAAAATGCTCATCGAAACTTCAAGAGGAGTAAATCTTTGAGAAGTCTATCTACGCTGCAATTCCTGTTCATACTGCGCTCATTAAAAGGCTTCACCAACAGGATTATCTTGGATTTCTCATTGCGTAAATATTTATACGCATTACTAACACAACAAATGTATTTAGATGACATTTCTCAATGAATTCATCTTTGCAGTTTGAGTAAATTTGCACATCAGTTAACACAATAATTTGCTGGTAAAGTGGTAATTTCTCTTTCTGCAAAGAACCAAGAATACAATTAATGCAATATTAAATATGGTTAGAAACAGAGGCTTTATTTGCTATTGAGTGTCTCATAAAGTAATTTCATATCACGCAAGTGGTTCTTGGAAAAGTGTACTAAAGGTGTGTGATGTTTAGACTCATATATTTTGAGTAACTGTAGCTTTATATGATGGATAAAAGGAAATGATGATTGGTTGCTTTCCAGACAAGTTGTTTGTATGAAAGGAAGATGATTTGGAAAGGAGGGAAATTCATAGGAAATTAGAAGTATCGAATGTGCATTTAGTCAGCCTGTCCATTAACTATGAAACACCGGAAAATTAACTCACTTCTTTTCCGTTGTTGCAAATTACGTGATGTGAATGCGAGAAATCCAAGACGTTTGATGAATCTGCGGTGAAATGATGCAAAACATGCTTTGCACTTTTGAATTAAATATGCAAATTTGTTAATCTCATCAGTAGAATATTTTATTAAGTCCATGTAATGTGACCTCTTATTCTCTAAATTATGTGCGTAAAAAAAAGAGTTAAGAAGAGTCGTCATGCTTAAATCTCATACTTGCAATCACTGCCTGTAAGAAAGAAGATAGAGAAAATGGGAATGCACGATTAGAGAATCAAATTTAAGTGTACAAAAGTGATACATAGAAAGTATGATAAGCAAAAATGATATGGCACTCACAGGATAACGCTTACAAATGGCACAAATTGACACATTGGGGACGACAGACACTTGTGGAATTTATTTGGTAACGGCTGTAACGTCAGTGACAGTGTTGGGAGTTGTGGTGGCAGTTGTGATGATTTGACTACCTTCTTCCTCATTGAGTCGCTCGTGCTCAGCATCCTCGCCATACTGCCATGAGTCTGGAGCGCGAACGCAACAAATTTTCCTTCCGGCCAACTCCTTTCGGATCCGCTGACGCCACACCACAAGAATGAGGAAGATGAGCAGCCCGTGGAGACTGTTAATGATGTCCACGACGATCCAGAACCAGGAGTTGTCACCATATGAGTAGGAAAACACTTCGAAGATCCATGTGAGACCGACGAGGAGGAAGAGCTTGAGGTACAGCATGCATTTGTACTGCAGGGCGCGTCGTCGGTCGGGGCTGATGTGGACATTGCTGATCTGCAGTACCCAGCAAGTCCATACGAACAAGACGATGTTGATGGTGAGCATGATGCAGATGGGAATGTAGATGTAGATCCACATTTCGCGGGAGCCGGCGAACCAGCATGAAGCATGTCCGATCCGGGGATTCCATGAACTGGCTGTTACATGAGCTACGATCATAATGGTCTCCAGGATGATGGGAATGCTCCAGGCGTACATGTGGCAGAGGGTGTACCAAGTCCTCTCGTGAATACGCCATCGTGGCACGACTGTAGTCTTCCACACATTCACCATGACCACGTTCAGCCAGGAGAAGTATGCAATGATGCAGAAGTAGAGAGTGAAAGCTACAAAATCCACACAATTATTATCCATCAAATACTGGGAATGAGTATTAAATTTATCTACTGACCTAATGGCACGCAAACACTGTTAACGATGAGGTTTTCCGGTGTAAAGATCTGCACGAGACCGAGGAGGAAGAAGAACAACGCCAGGCAGATTAGACAGAAGCATGTGACTTTGTCCTGTGTGTCTCGCAATCCGGGGATTATCCAGTAGATGTAGAGTGTGATGAGGATGAAGAAGACTGAGATGAGAGTAAGGACGCCTTTGATGAGGTACAATGACACCGAGCCGTCGTTGTACGTGAAACAGACAAGAGCCACGCGACGTGAATCATTGCCGAGAGATCGGTAGTTTGTCACACAAAATCTACAAGGCGAAATCTCATTAGAATTTCTCGGTGAATATTTAGTAAATTATATTATCTTGTATTCAGATTAGATTAAATACTCACTCTCCCTGTTCGACGATGTGATCCCCTTCTTGTAGGCTGAGATCTCCATCTTCGTTAATTTCAAACTCATCGTCTGGTGTGACGAAGGGGTCCACCATGAACTTTCCGTGCGGACACGTGAGAAGGGTGTCTGTGCGATTGGGGCAGGAGTCGGGGAAAATGTTCTCCCCTGGGCAGCATGGTGAATCTGCCAGAATGACGTGAGTGAAGATGACAAGACACAGAATCACTTTTACTGATAGCATCTTGACTGTGGGGCTTCCTTGGATCACGTTCAATTAGGCAATGAATTGAGGCAGGAGAATCGCACAATTGACTCACTGATACTCTTGCTTATCTGGCATTTTCTCTACTGTTTTCTCTTCTGCACTCTTCTGCTGAGACACTGATTTCGCTGGGAGTTTTTTTTATGTATTTCTCTAATTGTTACACTCGCACTTGTCTTATTTCGGCAACTGAATCGAATATAGTATGATTTCTCGTTTAGATGATTAACAGTAAAGTGATAAGAAGTCGGGTATACAAGTGCATCGTATACCCAACAAGCACATGCTTATCTTATCAGAGTCAAAACAAATACGCGGCTCAGGTATTTACTTCTCATCTTATCGGCACATACACGTTTCGTGGGGCATTGAAGGGAAGAGTTTATCTCTTATGTACAAAATCTGCAAAATAGCTTTCGGCCTGTTTTTCTGTGATATGTGTGAGATTATTTGTTAATTATTCTGTGGATTATATCGAGAGTATTCATTCTTTTGCAAATTACGAAATGTTATGAATTTTTTTCAAGTCTATCTCCAGTTTATTCTCGTGCAGATAGCTTATTTACCAAAGCATATTTACAAGTCGTAATTAATTGACCATAAAAACTCCCCTAAAATGTGTGAAATATTTCATTATAAATTGCATGGAGTTATTTATCTCTGGCGTGATGTTATTTCGAGCGAGCGTCTTCGCATCAAATGCATTTTGTTAGATTATTTTTGCGAATGTAGAAAAATAACTTTTCATCCATATTACTATAAAAATATCACGAGTTATTCACAATAGTTCAATTTATTGACTAAATGGGATTTTATCACGAATTTATTGTACGCTTGGCTGCAAGATGGACTTTTCGCTCTCTTTTTTTTTTGGCTAAATGGATTATCTTTGTGACATGATTAATGGAGTGTGTTTATTTATTCAATTTACAAGCCTCCAGAAATAACTTTACGCTCAATTATGTCTGAATGGAAAGTCCACAATATGTAGAATTGTTACGATATAGGAACACTGTGACATTGTGTATGCAATTATTCATGAAAGGAAGAGAGTTATTAAGTTTCAGTCTTTCAGCATAAAAATTGCAGAAACGAGTGTTGCTAATTTAATTAAATATGTTCATATAAAATACTTGATAATGGAGAGCGCATAAATTTAGCAAAACTGGCGCAATGTTGCCCACAAAAATGGTCTTGAGGTTTTTGTTAGCAGGAAGTGGGGAATAATAAGTAGGGAATATACAATTTATTCCGGAAATCTCCAGTCAATTGCCGACAGTGATTTACTGTGATGTTATTTTGAACTTTTGGCTTCTCTCTAGGCACCAAACGCGACACCCCAAAGTTGTTGATATGTTCATATTCAATTAATTTTTACGCCATGCTTAAGTGCTAACGCAATAGAATGTTGGATTATCTTACAAATTTTAATCGCACATTCTATGCCATAAATTGTGAATTTCTGTCATGTTTGGAATACCACACCATATGTTGATATGAGCAAAATTGCCAATAAAGTCATGTGGGCCACCATTAGGAATTAATTTGGGATTGTGTCTGTTCTCTCGAAATGGGTAAATATTGTGAAAATACAAACTGCCTATACTCTGTACGTCATTGAGTTGAGAGGCAGTTTTTTTTTGGTTAATTGCAATACCATTTTTGGGGAACTGTGTGAATCACATAATTGTCTTATTTATTTGAAAGAAATATGTGCGTGGAGAAGAACTTGTCTTATTAGTTTCTGTGGTTTCCGGTCGGGAGGGAAAAGCCCAAACGGCTTTTCACAAATGTTTCATTAAAATTAAATTGTATTTTACACAATTCAACACAACATTTCTTATACACTGAGAACACCGACTACTTTATTAATGAATGGAGAATGCATTTCGCGAGAAGAACTAATTTAAGGATATGTGTTGATCGAATCTTATCTGACAGATGTCATACAATTTATCTGATGGACAGTATTTTTACTTTATTCAGTTGTTCTTTATTCTTGCACATATTTGTGTTAAAAAAAATTATTTTTCGGACACATAAGGTCATGTCTACTTGAATTTTTCTCAGTGCAGAGAGAGAAGCACATAAATAAACTTGTATGCTGAAGTTCTTAACAATATTCTTATTGTCGCACAGAGGGAGAACTCGTTTACGCCACAAAAATACACATTTAAGAAGAAGAGTGCAAAATGAAGTGAAAATAAAATTGCAAAAAAATGCACACAGGCGAACTCAGTTCAGTAAGACATGAAAATAAAGACTCCGTTCGCTGCACTTTGAAGCGCGCTAACAGGAAGAATTTGCATTATGTCGCTTGCGATTTTCTGCCCACCTTTGATAGAATTCACATCACAACTCAGGGCAATATTGGAGATCTTCTGTTATAATCTGCACAGCACTTCTTGCAATGGAGTGGTGTTTTGAGGTCGTCTCGTGTTCGACGTGTGATGGTTTAACGGGTGTTTTTCTGGCGTGCCATTAGTGTGACTGGAGAGGGTCTGAAGTGGGTACTTTCTAAATGGGATCACATCCAGATGGGAGAGTGAAGAAGCGTCTCTCTAAGCAATAGCATATGGGATGTATCGGAAGGGCGCATATCACAGAAAATTGACTTAAATGCTGGCGCAGATGAACACTCAAGTTTGAAATTGTGTGTCTTGAGTCAACAAACAGAGATATTCAATATGTTTTCCTTTAATCAACCATCCGAAGAATGATTCTTGGCTAATAAACTGCGCTTCGCATGTCAAGGTGAAATTGTTTCGGTAGTGAAATTCACAATAATATAAACTGAATTTGTACGTCATTTGAGGATTATTTTGTGCTTATATTACGCTCTTTTTACTGATTTAATACTCTCAATGAAGTATTTGGTATTGTTTCACTTTACATAATGTACAATTACAATAGAATATCAATATTGTCCACAGTCACAGTATAATTGTACTGCCACGGAATGTTACTATCAGAGGACCGTCTCGTCGCTTTGAGTGTTGTGAGTCGACTGACTCTGCCGTTCAGGCAGTCATCATGTGTATGTTATGAGCGTAAAATTTCCCCATGGGCTTCACTGAAGACGGCCAATAATCTCATGACTATACATTTAAGAAATCCCCAACTGTGCAACACTGTTCGAGAGATAAGACAGAGAGAGCGAAACTCTCGTCTTCTTGTCCACTATTTCTCCTTAACAATAATAAAAAAAAAAATTTCCCATACTGAGGACAAGAAGTAAAAAGCTTCTGGAAAAATACACCCAAGAGTTTTATCTTGAAGAGCGGGGTGGGGTGGGGGGATGTAATTTCTCTGCTGATAATGTTCTTGCCTCTACGTACATTTTTCCCACTATCTGACACATATAATCTGATATCACGACTTTTCCATTTAATTCTTTGCCTTCTTGTGCCTATTGGCTACAGTCGTATTTTATCAGTTCTCATAGTCTTGATAATGATGATAAACTCACGCAATTTTTTATTCAGTGAGATTGCAAGGTAGCGTCAGGAAACCTCGTGATAAGCGCTTAACTAGGAAAGGGTAAAGATTCTTAAGTATTAAGTATTATCCTCATGTACAGATTACAAATGTCGCCGAGGTTACTTTAATATTGACTTCTGTATACTCCGAGAGATTTCCATTTCTATTCTATTCTCATTCAATGTTCTAATACAGACTGCTGAATTTGTCGAGAAGAAGATGCTATTAGATTATTAAGTCTTATTCGTAAAGTCACATTGACTTTGTTCTGCTATTTGGGTGTGATAGCAGACTTTAAAGTGCATGAATTCTTGTACACCCTTTTTATACTATCAGCTTTATATAATTTGACGAACCCATTTCGGCAACGTTAACATGCGAGAGAGACATGCTAATGGACAAAGACCCAAGCCAATAACTTTACAATGTGCTTTCGGTCTTTAAACTTCTGCGACATTGAACTGTGAGTGTTTCGGCAATAAATTGTATATAAAATTGTACAGCTATAAAAATCTTCAAGAGCTTCTTTCTGTCAATGAATAACCGAAATCAATATTCTCTGCAGTTCTCTGAGATTTACCAAAGTGACCTAATCTCGAAGCGGTAAAATTTCAAGTGCATAAAAGCAATTGCATTTTGAAGTGTTTTTGGTTAAAATGTCGATAAGATTAGCTGAATAGTTTGAACTGTTTTCTCAATAGTACTATGGCCTTTTCAGCTGCTGGATATGTTGAAATTCTATGCAAGATTTGAGATCAATGATGAAACGGGCGATGCTTTAACTGACCACGATATGACGCTGCTGCACTACTCCAAAATCACTTCCCTTCAGCGAGCGGCTTTTGCTAAGTTTCCGGACTTGAGGATGTTTTCGCTGGCGAATGTGGCCAGTGTGGATACGAGAGAGTCACTGAAAGAGCACTTCGGCGCTCTGGATGCGCAGAGCTTGAAGAACATCGCGTGCTATTTGAATTTGGTGCCGGAGAAACTCGAGCCACCGTTTGAGTGGCACAGACTCGATGAGGAATTCCTGCGTGAGCTTCTGGTAATTGTTAATCTTGGCATTTTTTCTAAACACTTGTGATATTGATGTTTCTTCTGATTGATAGATTTCACGTCACGAGAGAAGAGTGTCTCAATTGGAGGCTCTCAATGAAATGCCACTGTATCCGACTGAGTCGATTATCTGGGATGAGAATATCGTACCGACGGAGTATTTCTCTGGTGAGGGTTGCCTCGCCTTGCCGAAATTGAATCTGCAATTTCTGACTCTTCACGACTACTTGCTGAGGAACTTTAATCTCTTTAGGCTGGAATCTACATGTAAGTCATGTGGCCCTTTTTAGAATTTACCGTCTAATTGCTTCTCTTTCGATTGTAGATGAGATTCGCCAGGATATTGAGGATGCTGTGAGTCGTATGCTGCCGTGGGTGTCCGAGGAGGGTGAAATAGTCTATGGCGGATGGGCTCGAATGGCTCTTCCGATAACTTCCTTCGCCGTCGTGGACGTTTCTAAGCCTCACATTGGCGAGAGAAAGCCGTCAAGGGTGCGTGCTGATGTCGCTGTAACTCTGAGTGTCCGGAAAGAGATTCAGGATGAATGGGAAAACCTGAGGAAGCACGATGTGTGTTTCCTTATAACAGTACACCCGAAGAATGCGATTGGCACTCGTTATAATCACCGAGAGCCCTTCATTCCCCAAGTGGGCCTCGTAAATGTGCGTGGCTGTGAAATTGAAGGGATGCTGGATGAGAATGGGAAACTAATAGAGGATGGGCCGGATCCAAGGCCTATTTTGCCGGGTGAGAAACGCACATTCCGCGTGTGGTTGGACTGTAATCAATATCGCCAAGATATGGAAGCTCTGCAGCATGGCAGTGACGATGTCTACGAGGGATTCAGTATTATAATGAGGAGGAAGCCGAAAGAGAACAATTTCAAGGCTGTATTGGAGACAATCCGCCATCTAATGAATACTGAGTGTGTCGTACCGCCTTGGTTGCATGACATCCTCCTAGGATATGGTGATCCTGGAGCGGCTCACTACTCGAGAATGAAGAACCAAGCAAGATCCCTGGATTTTAACGATACTTTCCTTGAAATTGAGCACTTGAAGGAGAGTTTTCCGGGTTATGACATCAATCTCAAGGGAGAGAAACTCATTCGTCCCTTCAGGATAACCTTTGAAAATGTCCCAGAAGAGTCTGAGGATGATGATGAGAAAATGCAAGATGATTCTGGAGATTTATCAAAGACAATCACCGTGGAATCTTATGTGATTCCCAGCAGAGGACCATATGTTTATAATGAACCGAAGAAGAATACCATTCGCTTTACACCAACACAAATTGAAGCTATTAGATCGGGAATGCAGCCGGGATTGACACTGGTTGTTGGTCCTCCAGGAACTGGTAAAACTGATGTGGCTGTCCAAATCATCTCCAATTTGTATCATAATCATCCGAACCAACGAACTTTGATAGTGACACACTCAAATCAGGCGTTAAATCAGTTGTTTGAGAAGATTATGGCCCTGGACATTGATGAGAGACACTTACTACGTCTGGGTCATGGAGAAGAGGCGTTGGAGACTGAGAAGGACTTTAGTCGCTATGGTAGAGTGAATTATGTCCTCGGAAAGCGTCTGGATTTACTGACAAAAGTGCAGAGACTGCAGGAGAGTCTCGGAGTGGCTGGAGATGTTGCGTATACTTGTGAGACTGCAGGGTATTTCTACTTGTATCAGATTGTTGCGCGATGGGAGAAGTTTTCGAATCGCGTTCAGCAAGTGGAGGACTCAGAAAATTGGGCTCAAGTGTTTGCTGCGGAGTTTCCCTTCGCTCGTTTCTTTAGTGATGCTCCACAGCCACTCTTCAAGGGAGTGTCTTTTGCTGAGGACAATGAAGTAGCGAATTCCTGCTTTCGTTACATTTCGAGGATGTTCAGTGAATTGGAGGAGTTCAGAGCATTTGAGTTGTTGAGGAGTGGACTGGATCGATCGAAATACTTACTGGTGAAAGAGGCAAAGATCATCGCTATGACTTGCACTCATGCTGCGTTGAAGAGGAAGGAATTGGTGAATATGGGCTTCAAGTATGACAACATCCTAATGGAAGAAGCAGCACAGATCCTGGAGATAGAAACCTTTATTCCGCTTTTACTACAGAATCCAATGGATGGATTTAATCGCCTGAAGAGATGGATTATGATTGGAGATCACCATCAATTGCCACCCGTTATCAAGAATATGGCATTCCAGAAGTACTCGAATATGGAACAATCGTTGTTCACAAGGCTTGTGAGGCTGGGAGTGCCGACGGTGGATCTTGATGGCCAGGGAAGAGCGCGATCTAGTATCTGTGAGCTGTACAAATGGCGATACAAGCAACTAGGCGATCTGGCTCATATTCAACAATGGGCAGAGTACAGGAAAGCCAATGCGGGATTTGCCTTTGACTTCCAGATGATCAATGTAGAGGACTTTAATGGTGTGGGAGAGACTGAACCAAATCCGTTTTTCTATCAGAATCTTGCTGAAGCAGAATACATTGTGGCAGTGTACATGTACATGAGACTTTTGGGTTATCCGGCAGAGAAGATCTCTATTTTGACGACTTACAATGGTCAGAAGCATCTCATCAGGGATGTTATTAATACGCGTTGTGGAGAGAATCCACTGATTGGCAGGCCATACAAGGTAACAACTGTGGATAAGTACCAAGGTCAGCAGAATGACTACATCCTGGTGTCACTGGTGCGAAGCAAGGCGGTGGGACACTTGAGAGATGTCCGACGTCTTGTCGTGGCCGTCAGTCGAGCACGGCTGGGACTTTACATGTTCGGGCGAGTGTCTCTATTCAGAAACTGCCTTGAATTGCAACCAGCGTTTAAGATTCTTCTCAATCGTCCACTGGATTTGCAAATTCTCCCTCATGAAACGTTTCCATGCGAAAGGACAGTGAGTGATCCGTTGCCAGGAAGTGTTCTCACTGTTACACACATGACACAAATGGCAGAGTATGTTTACCAATTCTACATGCACAAAGTAAATGAGATGAAAGTGGCCATGGAGACGATGCAACAGATGTATGCGAAAACACCTGAAGACATATTGAAAGAACATCAAGAAATCGACCCAGCGGCTCCTGGCCAGGAGAAGAAGGGCGGGGAATTGGACAAGAACGAGGAGGCGAAATTTACAGCCGCTCCAATCCTGAATGAAGTGGAGGATGTTGATACCACAGCGATGGAGATGAAGGTGGATGAGAAAGAAGAAGGAAATGTTGATGAAGAAATGCCTGAAGACAACAATTAATGCATAGGAATGGAGAAGGAGGGTTTCCAGGCGAATAGTTCGATTCAACAATTATCATGGCAACGAAAATATTTTCACATAGCTTTTAAGTTTATTAGAATTTTTCAAGTTTTGTAGAATTAAGGAATGGCTGAAGGTGGAACTGAGAGTCTCCCTACGGGGAATACTTTGGTGAAGTACAACAATCCTGTGCTTGTGGTGACACATGCTGAGAAGAGACCAGCTACTGCGGGTCCCATGGGGAGTCCCACAAGTGCTGAGCTGTCACCGAGGAGTAAAAGTAGCCCAGGAGCGGTGGCAGAGAGCCGGAAGGAGGCTGAAGAGATCCTTAACTCAGTGCTGCCGCCAAGATGCTGGGAAGAGGACGGACAAATGTGGATGCAGACGGTGTCTAGCACTCCAGCTACACGCCAAGACGTGATAAATCTTCAAGAGATGTTGGATACGAGACTGCAGCAGACGCAAGCGAGAGAAACGGGCATTTGTCCAGTCCGCAGAGAGCTCTACATGCAATGTTTTGATGAATTAATTCGTCAGGTGACAATCAATTGCACAGAAAGGGGTCTTTTGCTGCTCCGCGTGAGAGATGAGATCGCCATGTCGATGGAAGCCTATGAGACTTTGTATTGCAGTTCGGTGGCATTTGGCATGAGAAAGGCTCTGCAAGCTCAGGAAGGCAAGGAAAGTCTACAATCTCTGGTTACCGTGCTGCAAGCGGAGAAGAAGGTTCTGGAGAACACCATCAGTGACATGAAGATTAAGGCGGATCAAGTGGAGAGGCGAAATGCTGAATTGAGAGCATCTGAGGAGAAAAAGCATGCAGAAGAGATAGCCTTCTTGAAGAAAACAAGCGCGCAATTAAAGGTAAATAAGACGGATATGCAATTGGAATAGGTGATTGATTGTTAATTTTTAACTTTCAGGCTCAATTAGAGGGTATCATTGCTCCGAAGAAGTAAGGATGGTGATCTTCAGAGTATTCACTCTTCGTGGGATGAAATGGTGAGACAATGCTTGTGTACTTTTCATTGTCACGATGGTGATAAGTCAATTACTAAAGTAAGTTCCAAAGCTCAGCCAATCATCCCACAAAACCAGGCAAGAAACACTGAAAACGTTAATAAATTTATATATTTGACTAAGATTATGTAAATTAGATAATAAATATAACGAAAGGGACATGGTTAAATTTCATTTTATATGCACGGGGGAGGGAAAATCTCTTTTCGATAGGAATGTTGCGAATAAAAATAGACCGAGATTGCTAGTTTCATAAAAATAGAGAGAAAGTTCACGAGATTGGGATTTTAAGATACATCGCCGGTTCCAATGATTGCCAGCAACTTCTGTCGTGTCTTCTTGTCATTATTGCAAGTGCACATGACGAGCCCGACGAGCTGCTTCTCTGAGTACTCCGTTGTGTCTTTCTGCTCGCGGATCCACTCCTCCAGGAGATCCTTTGGCAAGTAGAACGCCTTCACGTAGGCGTCTACGTATGCCTGGTGGACGGTGTACTTGAGGCCCGAAATTAACTCCAGCAGCGAGATGAAGTGCGTGAAGTCCAGTTGCATCAGTGCTCGACCACCTGTTGAGCACTTTTTGGCATTGGAAAAACCCTCAACCAGGGTGTGAGTCAGCACATGAGCCATACTGTCCCATACGAAGCCCTTGGGCACGCAAGTCTGCTTGGACAACTCCTCAAGGCGCATCGCAAATGTCTGAATGGCCTGCAATTACATTGATTGTATTCAGAAGTCGTAACGACAATGCTGAAGAAGCACGTTCGAGAATAATCATTATTATGCTAATTTAACTACATCATCAATGATTGTATTTATAGAAAACAGTTTGTAGCAGATGTGATTTTATTATAAAAACTACCGATACTTGTTGATTCAATCGATTCAATGAATACAAATTGGCTGACTACAGTTAAAAAAGGATTTGGAATAGAGATTTGCGCATGCTATTTCCAGAAGTGTTCTATTTAGCGTCACAAAGTTAGTTTTTGAGAAGACGAGGCTAATTTTACAATTTACTTGATGATACTGTTAAATTGCAAATCAAATTCTAAACTTCAACAATAATTTGTTTAGACTCACTCTATTAATACTGTCGATGTAGGGTGAATGCTGAACTGTGACGTGGTTGATATCCCACTTGACCTTGCCCATGGCCTGGAGGATGCTGTGCATGTCTGCCAGTCTGGCGGTAGCGCACATATAAACGGGCTTTCTTAAGTCACTCACATACGCGGAATTGGAAAAGTACTCTTCCAGTGGTTTTCGCTCATTTGGTGGCAACAAATGTAGCATGTATCCCTGCAATTGCTCAAATTGCTCCACCAGACAGCAGGAACTCTCCACGCCGACAATCCTCTTGGCCAGCCCAAACATTTCGTCGCCCTGCTGCAGATCTGTGCCGATCATCATCTTGGATGGTGGCCAATTTCTAACTTTTGGGATAATTTGATCAGAGATTCGCTGGAGATTCACGGTTAAGCGTGTGCTATAAAGATTGTTGCTGGCCACTGGGAGATCCTTGGCAAAGAACTCATGCACTACAAAGATGTAGAAATCTATCAATTCTGTCATTGAAGACACTATTTGGGGTGCGATTGAGTGCAGAAGGCGACACATTTGCAAGTAGCGACCAATGCAGCGAAGCACTGTAAGGGATGTGTTGTTAACAATAAGAGATTGGCCAGGAGTGTCGGTTTCGTTGATCCCCGGGATGTTATCATCGTCACTCTCTTCTGAGAAGTAGCATGAAGTTTCGTCGGCAATGCCAGCGAGAATGTCTTCCTGCAGCATAGATTCGTCAAAACCACCGTCAAAAGGGCTGCTTTTCTCGGAGAAACGCAGAAAGTAGCCACAGAAAGCGTAGATTGAGCTGCCACCGTCCTGGGAGTGTACAGAGGAGTCATTGTCCGGAAGTCTGGGGGTCGGTGGTTTCACAGAATCCACTGTTTGACCAGCAGCGTGACGCTGAAGAGCCTTCTTCACAGATTTGAACTCCTGCAATTGACTCACACTGCTGAATGAGTTCACGCTCACCCACGCCTCGTTATCCAGAAAGAGGCTGATCTCCTCCAGACAGGATGAGTGGTAACGCTTGAAAAATTCCATGCTCTGACTTCGCATGCCATCCATCAGCTTGGCTGAGGAGTCTCCACAGAATTCCATTCCCACCTTCTTTAGGCGCTGAATGATACAGAGAACCTGGATAAATTGCTCAAACTTGAGCTGGTGCAGTCGAGGACTGGTGAGATACACGCACACCTTCGCCTGAATATCATTCCAAATCCTCACTTGACCATTCTTAAGCTTCTCCTGGATGTACTCGTCCGCCTCGGCATCTACGTTAAAGTTTTGATGCCACAGTGTGACCTGATAGTAGCAGGAGAGGATGCCCCAGAAGGAACGACAGAGATTTATCAGGCACGAGATGTACTTATCAGAGGCCACAGACTCGCAGAGTGTCTCAAAGAGTTGCTTGGTTTTCTCATCATCGGAAACACTGCTCCGCACGACCGTGAACGCGGCCGTGTGGATGGTGGAAATGAAGCTGATGTGCAGCTGATCCATCGCCATAAGTGTCTTGCTCAGCAATCTGTAGGCTTCCTGAAGTTTTGTGTACTTGGCCGTGTCGAATTGTTGGGTCATTTCATTAAGTACACTGTCCAATTGCACTTCGGTCATAAGTAGTGTGTCCTGGAGCTTCTGCGACAGAGACTCCACACACTTATACTGGCTGTAGCGCTCAGCCGCTTTCCGGCACTCCAGAAGCGTGGCAATGGCTCCTGAGTAATCCCCACCGGAAACCAATTCCTGCAGCTGCGTGTCGGTCGTTTTCTGTAAAGGTAAATAATGAGTGTTCCTATTTGAGTTCAGTCACTGTACGTGTCCTTGGGGTAGTATAATAGACAAAGAATGAATGGAATTGGCCATAAACATTGATTAGCGGAAAAATACTCTTCCGCTCTCAATATACCTCCCTTTCAATCCTCTTTTTTTTTAAATCTTATAAGGTATTGTCAAGCTACTCACAATTCTCTTTATGGTCTTCAACGTCTTCAGAAGTTCCATGAGCACTTCCCTTTTCTTATACGTGGCGAGAATCTCTAGGCTCGTCGTGGTGAGATTCTTTTTGGCAAAGTTCAAGTAGCTCCGACCCTTTTTACACACCCAAATCGCTTCGCAAAGCATCTTCTCTGTCTCCTCAATGCGGGAGAACTCCTCATTGCATGAAGAGCGGTTGTCCAGGATCAGTTGAAGCACTTTCTTGGAGATCACTTTATGTTGTTGCTTCAAGACGCCCATCTGTCTAGATATGCCCTCGAGGTCACAATTCTCACTGAACTTCTCAAGCTCATAGCAGGACGTGTTTGCACCATCCTCGAAATAAATACTCTCCGTGCTCTCGAGAATCTCCTGGTCAGACAGGCGAGTCTCAGAGTCGTCTGGAGAAGCAGATTTTGTGGACGGAACTGTCTGGATTGAGGACGCCTGGACGTTTTGAATGAAGTAATCGGAGAAGCCCATCGCGGGTATCTTTATATTCTTATTTTGCTGCAACAGTAACAAACACTGAGTAATTGGCAATACTTTGGGATGCTCTCTGCTCACCTGTTTGTGGATTAAATCCAAAAATTTGCTCTTAATCTCGTCCATCCCGTCAACATTCACTGGATCCGTGACGTCATGTGTTTGACAGCCGCGCTTGAAAGGTTTCTTCTTCGGCTCTCTTCGTGGAAAACAGCTGGAATGATGTCGGAGAGTGAGGTTGAGGTTCTCATCTTGTTTGAGGGATTTTCCGAGGTGAAAACTGTGGAAAATGAGGAAGTCATGCTGGCAAATTGCACTTGCACTCTCATCAAGAGTCGGGGTGTCAATATACTAGTGGACAGTTTGACTCCGTGGGATTCCGAGCGACTTGTGTGCGGTAAGAGTACCGGCATATTTCCCTTTCCAGCTTCAATGTGCAATCTGGAAAATCTCTATTTCTTGTCTCCACAGCACTGCAGAAGCATCAAGTGACTCCTAAAGACATTACTTATGTCGTTTCTACTCATGGACACTCTGATCATGTGGGGAACAACAACCTCTTCCTAGAGGCGAGGCGTCACATCGTGGGGAATAATATTTCCTATCGGGAAACATATTATCTTCACGACTGGAAGACTCCGTATGTCATCAATGAGGATGTCGAAATTATCAGGACACCCGGACACACTCCAGACTGTGTATCTATTATTGTGAAGAGGAGCAATTTGGGAGCCAAAGTGGCAATTACTGGAGATTTGTTCGAGAAAGAAGAAGATATTGTGGATGATAGTTTCTGGAGAGACGCTGGAAGCTACAATGAGGATGTCCAGAGATGGAATAGAGCCGAAGTAGCTTCAACAGCTGATGTCATCATTCCTGGGCACGGTCCAGCATTTGCAGTCACAGAAGAAATGAGAAGAGAGCTGAAAAGGCAGGTTCACAATAACTCTGCTGAATCAGGAGAAAAATTATGAGACGTTCTGAAAAGATGAAAAAAGATATTGGATAATATTGAGGAAGATGCCACAAAAAGAACTTTAGGAGGCCAATGTCACTGAAAGTGCATAAATTTGCAGGCGATATTCTGCATTGTAAACGCTGAAGGCAGAGAGAGAGAAAATCTGTGGGCAGTTGGAAATGTCAATTCTCCAACAGCGACAGGGGATAAATTTACTCGAAGAGTGAAAGTGATCATCAGTCAAAACAACCTTCTTGTGTGGACTGGACGCACTTTAGTGCTAAAGGTAACAATCCCTGGCCTGATAACAGGTTGTCTATTGGCTCATTTGGCCAGTGAATTTATCGCTCTGGGATTTTACGAGTGAAACAATGTCAAGGAAATTTAATCGGCCCCAATTCAGCGGTCTTTCTCTCCACAGTGACACACAGCACAATGGGCAGTTGGGTGGAACAGACGGTGAGCAGATTTCGGGGATTGGATTTGCAACGCCTCAGCATCGATGAGGCCTTTGTCAACGTGTCCTCGCGCCTCCAGACGCCCGTCTGGATGTACTCCCTGTCCGACGAATGCCATCGCTGCCCGTACAGTCGCGTCCAGGAGATCCGCCGTCAGCATGTTCTGCGCGTGTCCACGAAGTATGGTGTGAACTGGAGGTTCTTTGACAAGGACGTGGGGCCTTACACACTGGAGGCGTCCACGGAGGCGCGTGTTGTGTGCGATCTGCGACCGGATATGGGGGAGTTTGGCGTGTATGATGTGCTCATTGATGACACGGAGAAGTGCGCTGTGACCACTGCTCTCGAGCCAGTCAACATTTATTTGCGTAAGTGTGATTTTTATCTCTGTAAATCTAGTGTGCCCGAGCAAATAGTTGTATTTGTTCAGCGCGAAATTCCCGACCAAGCGAAATCTCTGGATGAGCAGGGCAACTGTTTAATTTTCACAATTGATCATTTGAGACTATCGATAGAGTGCGCAGTGGCATGCCGTGGGGTTTTGATAATCTGGCGAAGATTCGATGAATCTTAATTTTTGATTGAGATTTAAATATGCTGCTTATACCATTTATACAAAAATAAAGACAAAGAATCGCTACGCCACTGATTTTCTCTCAGATTACTGATAAAATGATTGATAAAATATTGTATGTGGTTATGAATTTTACTAACTCAAATAATTATTTACACAGCCTTCGTAGTCTTCATCATTATTCTACTGTGTTTGATTATCTCAATCCGAGGCATTTGCATCGCCAAGCACTACTATCGTCGAAGATCAGAGGAAAATGCCGAGGAGGAACAACAGGCAAGCAGCGAAATACCAGCCAGAAGGAGACTGCGAAGTCTGGACACATTCCGTGGTCTGTGCATAGTGTTGATGGTGTTCGTCAACAGCGGAGCCGGTGGATATACACAATTGGAGCACGCCACATGGAATGGTATCCACTTTGCTGACGTCATCTTTCCCTGGTTTCTCTGGATCATGGGTGTTTGCATTCCGATGTCAGTGAAATCTCAGCTGGTGCGCAATGCCACGAAGAAGGATATGTTGCTGAATGTGCTCAGGGTGAGTGTTTTTCAGTTACATTTGTATGATGTTGATTGTGATTCGATGAGTATTTTTTAGAGATCTATTACTCTCTTCGCCATTGGTGTGTGCCTGAACACAATTTGGGGAGCACAACTGGAGAATTTGCGCATATTTGGAGTACTGCAGAGATTTGGCGTGGCGTATTTCGTCGTGGCCAGTCTTCACATTATCTTCAGGAAAATCGGAAGTCTTCCGCCGCAGAATGCGATTGCGAGAGCGGTTTATGATATCAGATTACTACTAGCTGAGTGGGGAGTGATGTTGCTCATTGTAGCTGTGCATCTGATCCTTGCCTTTGGCTTGTCGGTGCCTGGGTGTGGACGTGGATATCTGGGTCCAGGAGGAATGCATGAAATGCTGAGATACAATCACTGCATCGGGGGAGCAACGGGATACATTGATAGGCTGATATTGACCACAAGTCATATTTATCAGCATCCGACTGCGGTGAAGGTGTACGGATCGAGTGCATTTGATCCAGAAGGGGCTTTCGGATGTCTCCTGACAATCTTCCAAGTATTTCTGGGCGTGCAGTGTGGCGCAATCTTGCTGGTGCACTCGGATTGGCGATCAAGGGTGAAGCGCTGGACAGTGTGGGGTGCTGTGCTGGGAATTGTCGGTGCGGCGCTGTGTGAATTCAAGAAAGAGGACGGACTGATTCCGATCAACAAGAATATGTGGTCATTGTCATTCGTGCTTGTGACCTCAGGACTAGCTTTCATCCTTCTGGCCGCCATGTATGTGGTAGTGGACGTGAGAGCGATCTGGCGAGGAGCTCCGCTGGTGTATGCAGGAATGAACGCCATCGCAATCTATGTGGGGCACCAGGTGTTCCACAAGATGCTACCTTGGCACTGGAGCATCGGCGCCATGAATACCCACTTCGTGCGTCTGTTGGAAAGTGGCTGGACGACGGCGCTGTGGGTGGGAATTGCATATTATCTGTACAAGCGAAAACTCTTCTACAGCGTGTGAAACCGCAGTATTTCTCTCTCTTACCTTCTCGTAAGCTACCCAAGTAGAAAGCTCCTTTTGTTGCAATTCTTTTTCAATACAATATCTTTTTTTGTACATGGGTAATTCCACATTAGTTTCACTTGGACGTTGAGTGTTGAAACATCCCATTTGGCTGCCAAGTGCACAGAGGAAAGGTTGCATTTTGTGTGGATCGTCCATTTAATTATAGTCTAGATAGAGTAATTAGTGAGTGCCGTCCAGTGTCGATGAGAAGCTGTAATAATCTCACGGAGAATGAGGCTCACGTGGCTTGAGGAGACGCAGGAGGAGTTCAGGGACCTTGATCTCACGCAGCTGAACGTGGATCAGGCGCTGGTCAATATTACGTCCAAATTTCCCGTCCCTCTTTGGTCATACACTGCTTCTGCTGAGTGCCATCGGTGCCACTTCGCCAGGAATCAGGAGATCTTCCGCAACGACGAACTCCTGCTGGAGGTGGACACGAAGTTCCACCTGCTATGGCGATTTTATAAGCGCAACCTGGGCAGATACACGGATAGCACCAACGCCAGTGACTTTATCTGCCAAGTGTCACCGGACGTGGGGGAATTCGGCGTGTATGACATTGTGATCGACTCCGCGGGCAACTGCAACGTCCATACGGCGCATGAGCCCGTCAACATCTACTGGCGTGAGTAGTGATCTCGCGGCCTAATGATTTGTGCTCTGATTTGTCGAAATCACTTTCAGCTCTGCTGCTCTACATGTTCATCATCATCAACCTGCTGGTGATCTTCATGGGCGCACGCTGGGGTTACAAGAGATTCTGCACGAAACGACCACCACCCCGTCCAGCCAGCAGCAGTTGCTCAACGGAAGCGAGGGGAAAGCGCCATCGGCATCGATTGCGGAGTCTCGACACTTTTCGAGGGTGAGTATATCACACCACACTTTCATTAATTGTTGAACGACAAGTGAGACGCGTTATGCCTTGATCATGCTTTCGCGGGAAGTGCGTACGATCATGAGGCCAGTGATGCGTTGAATTCAACTACAGTGTAATTCCCAGAAAACACACGCGGTTTAGAAATAGAGATTAACAATGTTAGGCAGTTAAGAAACTGGATATGTTCACAATAATTTATGGATTCTTGCTGGTTAAGTACAAAGAACAGTCCGTGGCCCAATTAACAATTCACTCTCTCGATTGATTTATATAAATTTTGTGGTGGTGCTTTTAAAACTACACCTGGCACTGTAGTTCAATATTTAATTGTTGTGCATTTGAAAATAACAATAAGGAGGCGGTAAGCGATGTGAATTTATCACTATTCTCGTGTATGCTTCAGTTTAATTGAAAGTTTTGCTCACTAATTAAGTGGAATGTCATGAACTTGATACTCCCACTTATTTGCATCTGAAATGTGATATTTCATATTCCTTTTCCCGACTATGCAATTTTCTGCCGAAATGCAAGGCAGCACGAATTTAGAGTTTGCCTAAAGCACAGCTCTCTTTAGTGATCGTGCAGAAAAATTGGCAAATTTAGCGACGAAGAGAGGTTGATGTTTTATAAAATACTGTAAATCTTCTACACAATAGATATCTGTATGATTCAGCTAAGCTTATTTTTTACTGAAAGTCGATGACGATTTAAATTTTCATGAGCGGACATAATCGATTTCTTCCGTTTGTCACGCGGTTGCTCATCACGTGCTTTTCATGCTTCTCGTCTCCAGGAACAATTATTTATTATCTCAATAAAGACTAGAATTAATGTCTGAGGATAGGAAGCAATTTCAAGCCAGTAATTTTAATAGTCTGAGGTTTGAAAAAGAGTTCAACAAATTGCTGTGGTTGATGTATCTTTTTGTTGTTGCCACAGAAGAAAAACCCGCGGTAACACGCAAATAATTGAGTCTTTTTTTTCTATTGAATATCATTGCATTGACCTCGACTGCAAGGGTTGCAAGAGAAAGTGAATTCCACAAACGTCGATGTTTTCTTTCAGGATTATCACTGTGGTAATGATATTCGTAAATAATGGTGGGGGATCCTATTGGTTTATGGAACACTCTATCTGGAATGGATTATTAGTGCCTGATCTGATCTTCCCGTCCTTCCTATGGATCATGGGCGTGTCTATTGCTCTTTCTGTGAACAGTCTCATCACTCAGAAAGTATCCAAAGCGAATATCTTGCTGCAGATCCTCAAGGTGAGATGATAAATAATCGTATTTTCCAATGGGTATGATTAAACACTTTGATGCTTTTCTTTTCAGAGATCCATGATTATGTTCTTTCTGGGATTATTTCTGAATACAATTTATGGCGCTCAGTTCAAGACTTTAAGGATTATGGGGATTCTGCAGCGTCTCGGAATCTGCTATTTGATCGTGGCTTCACTGCACACAATCTTCCGTCGATCAGATATCGTTACTCCACCGAATCCCCTGCGAGGACCATATCAGGATATGTTACTTCTGCTGCCGGAGTGGTGCATTATGCTAACTCTGGTCATTCTCTATCTAGCCGTATCGTTCTTCTTGCCCGTGCCTGGCTGTGGAAGTGGTTATCTCGGTCCTGGAGGTCGGCATGATTATGGAAAGTTCCGTGATTGTCCAGGAGGAGCAACAGGATATATTGATAAATTGATTCTCGGTGAAAATCACATCTCTGAGTACGCCTCCACAACAGCTGTATACGAATCTAAGCCCATAGATTCTGAGAATCTCTTCGGAACAGTGCTGAGTGTCGTGCACGCCTTCCTGGGTGTACAGTGTGGCATGACTCTGCTAGTGTACAACCACTGGAGGGCAAAGGTACAAAGATGGATGCTCTGGGGAGTTACGGCGGGCTTACTTGGAGGTCTCCTCTGTGGCTTCTCCCGAGACGAAGGCTGGATTCCCATCAATCAAGTCATGTGGTGAGTACTTATTGCCTTTATTGTGAATGCAAGAATTCACGTGATGATCTCTAGGTCCCTCTCGTACGTCCTCGTGACCACATCATTCGCCTACCTGACCTTCTCTCTTCTCTACGTCCTCGTTGACGTGCCCGTAGTGGCTAAACGGCTGGGCTGGGGCGGAGGTCCTTTCTATTTTGTTGGCATGAACACGATTCTCATCTTCATTGGCGATGAAATATGCCACAGTATGTTACCATTTCACTGGCGACTCGGCCGGATGAACACGCACTTTATGCTCCTATTGGAGAATGGATGGACAACCTTCATCTGGATTCTCATAGCCCTGATCCTCTACCGCAAGAAGTGGTTCTTTATCGTCTGACCAAAGCGTATTATTTTTGTTCTCAAATTTTTATAAATAAAATAGTTTTATTGCAAATTCTATTCCATTAGTTTTATATACCACATGATGCAATTAAATACGAAAGTTTACTTTCTGGGTTGTATATAAAATTATAAAAAATATATAATTTATCAAATTCCCCACTTCACATTATTGTTGTTTTGATTATACACTTGCTATATATTTTGTTTGTTTATTTTTGTGTTGTAAATGCACAAAGTACGAGGAGATTTTCTCTTTGCCTTAAGTGTCTAAGAAAAATAAATTCTGATTACGTCTCATTCCCTTTCGTCTTTTTTTCCTTTTTTTGTACACAAATACTGAAATACTTGGAATGTTAACCTCGAATGCCTTTTGCTCTAATTTTACATCTTCACGCACGTTCAGATTTCCAATCTGCCATTTATACGAAAAATAAGTTAAGATGATTGAGAAGAAGATCGATCCCTTCAAGAAATTGTACATTCACAGCACATGAGCGTATAGTAGAGACACGTGACGCATTTTTCATTCGGCTCCTTGCACTCCTCGTTCTCCTTGCACTTCTTTTTCTTCTTGCTCTTACGCTTACTTGGCACTGCTGGATACAGAATTCCATCCGTCAGATCATTCAGGGACTTCTTTGTCCCTTCGGCTTCACTGAGATTCTCAATTGTGTCCAGATCGTCCTGCAAAAGGCACACAAAAATAGACTATTATTGATCTTAAAATTTATAAAGAACTTTTTCGACTAAAATGTGTACAATACTGACTGTTATTATTGTAAATTACCATCCAAGCTAAGAGAAAGGTGCAATAAATTGCACTTTTCAGTTAGCGCTGTCATCGCTATAGCAAATTTAGTGGTTTCATGTAAATTAAATGCGAAATTTTGCTTTCTAACATTAACAAAACAGATCGTGATCAAAATTTATTGGTGAATGATGTGATTTCCGCCAAAATTATTCAGAATCATTGACAGGCGATTAAATTCATTGAGGCTTGTAAAAGTCATCACAGTGGATAAATGGTACAATTAACACTGTAATTGAATCACGCCATTGATTGCATAAGCAAGGAAACATCAGATAAGAGAAAGCTTGCATGAAATTCACATGATTTTCATCAGTGTTGTTGATAGTCTGGGATTGTTCTTAAGCAAAGCGAAAGCATTTGTCATCTATTTAATCACGAAATCTGTGCTTTTGTGATAACGTTTTACACTGCTAAAGCACACACGGGTTATATTATTATTCTTGTCACGGCTCTGTGTATAAATATAAACATCTTTTTATGATCTGATTTCATCACACACAAGCAGAATTTTCCAATGAATGGTTTTTGTTGAATAATGTATTGAATTCCATTATAATTATTCAACAAAGCCAATAAAGTCACATACCGCCTTATCATTGTCTTCATTATTGCCCTTTGCAGTATTTCTTTTTCGGCAATGCCGTGATATCTAATCATAAAAAAAAACGACGCGAATAGCGATATAAAATCACGGCACTGCTATTTGCTTTATGAGCCCAATGAGCGAGTGAGATTATTAACAAAACTAATTGCTGAGTCTCTAATTTTGGGTATGAGATGAGGTAAGTGTTAATGCGCTAAATCAACGGCTAATTATGTAACTTACGTTGGAGACGCAACTGCCATTCTTGCGATCCTTGAGCCTCAGTGTTCTCGTGTTGCTTCCGCCCTCGGGAAATCCGTGCTCACGGTCATCCTCCTCTTTGACAGTCTCCAGCTTGTCCGGTGCGTCGCCGCTGGATGTGAGGGCATAGGTTGTGGGCAGCATCGCGACGCTAGGCACATCCGAAGTGCCTGGCATGTCTCTGCAACAGAATAGCATGTGGTTAATCAAGGGAATAGCAATGAACTGGACGGTGGAATGCAATGCCTCTCGGACTCCAGCGACTCCGTGAAGAAATCAGAGCTCCCTTCACTAGCCATCGTTCTGACTGACTGACTCCCCGAGACGACAACGAAGAAACAGAGAGAATTGTCTCTAGTCACTTCCGGAGAAGTGTTTTTTGTTTAGCAAACTTTTAGCGAAAAGATCAATTTTCACGAGAATTGCGGGAATGTGGCCGATCTTACCTCCGCCCGTATTTAACGTACAGCATGCTTAATCGCTTAGCTAAACACTCGCACCAGAACTGATGGATTTGGACCGTGGGGCACATCGAGGATGCGCCCCACCGATAAATGAATGAATGTGGGAGACTCAGCCGCAACCTTATTAGTTAAGAGATGCGACATGCTAATTAATGGTCAGTGCCGCCCAAGTCCCTCTTGATGGTGTGCTTCTAATTAGTGCCAATGAGTGGTGATGGGAGTGTGGCCACTGTATGTCCAGCAGACTTACGGATTTATCAAGTCTCGCTGCCCTTTGCTTCCGCCCAGGGACCAGGGCTCAATCTTTTTTGTGTGCTGACCGTGCGACTGCCCTTTGTTGGTGGGCTCATAACGACCCTTGTAGTTGTGCTTCTTCCTGCCGGGAATCCAGAGGATCCTCACTCCGGAGGAGCCCTTCTTCTGCTTTCCCGACGATGACATCTACCCAGCTCCACCTTGGCTGCACGGAGAAAAGACACCACTTCAAAGATTGCTTACAAATCACGCTTCAAATGGAAATTCCTCCAGTGAAATTCCCAGAATCCCTCCAGGGACAACCAGACACTCAAGGCTTCACGACAAAAAAAAGGCAGTAGTTGCTTCATAAATATCACGGATTGCTACTCAATTGAACACCATGCTAATCCATCAGAGACATTCTACAGGTAATTGGACAGGTGATAAGGGTATAACTACCTCTGTCTTGGCGTGTAATCCCACGAAATTCCTGATAAAAAGAGAGGCACCCAAAAAAATCCACTGACAGTCGTTTGGCAACTACTGGAATTCCGCACACCAGCCAACGAGAGGCGCTACAGTCGTGAAGAGGTCTGAAGAAATTTGTGAAGCCGTGCAAATTCAGTGAGACAAATTTACGTGAATTCCAAGGAAAAGCAGCATCGCACATCATGTCAGATGATTACTTGAGCAAACCTCTGTCCTTTGGCGTGCCTACAGGTAATTGAATCACAGAGAAAAGGGTGGAGTCCCCGAAAAATGCACTATTACATCATGCCTAACCTTAAAATGCTTGTGTCTCATGCTGTTCCGGGGTGCTGCTGTTTCCAGAATCTCCAACCCCAAGCAGAAAACAGGCCACACAATCACTCTCGCCCTACCTCAACTATGACCCACGCTTCCTGCAGAGTGCCCAGCCAGAATTCATATTTCCCGAGGGGGCATCAAAGCAGCGGGGGCGCTTTGAGTTGGCATTCTCCCAGATTGGATCATCTGTGATGACGGGAGCCGCAGTGGGTGGCGTCGCGGGTCTGTACAACGGCATCAAGGCGACAAATTTAGCGAATCAGACGGGAAAACTGCGGAGAACACAGTGAGTGGCAAAAGGGACAAATTAGAATTGAGAGCTTTTATGCATAATAATTTATTCAATAACGAATCTTGGTCACAATTCAGGATACAATTTACCCACCAAGAATGGTCAAATTGAGGGTGTATTAAACACGCAAATCCTTTAAAATGTTAAAGCTATTGATTCTTCTATATTGCTCAAGCTCACTTGGCTGTCTCTGGACAAGAGCAACACTAAATCGATTTTATCCTTGGGCGTATTAGAAAAGCCACTGATCTACTTATTGGGGGGTAATAAATTGTAAAAATACAATGGTCAAATGCTTGCAAAATCAGCGAATTTGGTTGATTAGCAAGGCGATCTGACAATTATTCTTTAAAAGAGATTGAATTGAAAAAACGGCTATACACGTGCCAGTAATTTATGTACAAACATTGGAATTTTAAAATTTGATTAAATATTGAGGAATTATCACAATGCCATCATCAAAATTTGTTAATCTTGAATATATATTTATTTTTATAAAATTGTTGTGTCAAATGCCAAAATGCTCAGTTAATCGATGCGGTAACTATTGTTTTTCATTCAAACTCCCCAAAGTTGCAAGAATGCAAATTCACCATTTTCTTTAACACTAAATAAGCAACAAGTTTGCGATTCTGCAAAATATAACTGTTATTCAATGGGCATTCTAATTATGCCTGCAAAAGCCCTGGATAACCACAAAATGCTATCACACCTACGATAAAGTTTTCTTTTCACAATTCTGAGCATCTTCTGAGGAACAAGGAATCCCGTTTTTGTCTTACAAACTAAACGCTTCTGACTTGTGCAAAGATCTTTAGGAGAGGATGAAGATTGTTCATAGTATTGTTAACTCTTTGGGGCCGAATAGGATACATTTGGCTCATAAAAGCTAGGTTTTCTCAAAAATTCCATTTCAAATTTGTTTGTGGAATTGTAAGGAAAATATTCATACAGCTTTCAATCTGAGCATCCAATATTGGAGAATATACATACACAATTGGTAATCATGCTAAATTCTTTGCTCATATTTTTATAGTTGGCCTCAAAGGGTTAAAGTTATGTTTTTGGATAATGTTTACTAGTTTTTATGTGACATTTGAGCTTAAGATATTTTTAAAAAGTCTACAAACGACTACAGATAGAGACTTGTCTTCACAGTAAAATGTTGGTTTTTAGCTTATATAAATAGACTATAGGAAGAGAGAAATAGAGAGAAAAGTGTTATATACCATTTTAAGAGATTGATTTTTCCCAAAAATCTAACTAAATATGATCCCCATATAACTTTTGATTGAGACTGTTAGTTGTTTTTGTTAAAAGCTATAGAGAGGTGCACAAAATGTCCGTTGGCTTATCAATTCTCATGCTACTTGTGAGGTTCATCATCCGCGATGGGATTTTTGCTCGTTGTGGGCAGATCTTCCTTAACAGACGGCAGTAGATTATCGCTGGAGGGTTGCCTATGGCTGAGAGATGTAGTATAGTCATGTGGATATGGGTGTAAATATAAGCAATGCCTCACCTTTCATAGGAACGGCTCGTGCCTGGGGCTGAATTTGAGCGTCCGGCACGCGTAAACCTCTCCAGTCGTGATCCACCTCTTTGTGAGATTCGGCCCGCGAGGGGCATCACAGTGAAAGGATTTTGGAAGGACTGTTTCTTAAGCATTGACTTAATAAGTATAACTGTGTCTAACTTTGGAATGCTCTTCACGACACTCTTCATATCTTCTTCGCTGATTTGTATAAGGCGACAGTTATCTTCCTCGGACGGAAGGGGATGGGCCCCATTGGCGGTCACCCAGTTGTGAACCTGCGAAAGATTTATTGATAGTAATTGAATTTGGATGTATAGTTAATATCGTACCTTGATTTCTGGGAGTGTTAATCGCAATTCTGGATCTTTTTGCAGTATCCTAGTGAGTAGATCTTTGAGATTTGGGGTGATTTTTGGTACAGATGGATAAACAATTTCGTCGTTCTTGATTTTCTCATAGACAGCAGGAATTGATTTGGCCACGAAGGGAACATTGCCGTAAACTATAGCGTACAAAGTTGTTCCAAGTGCCCAAACATCTGAAGCTTTGCCATTGTAGGAATATTGTCCCATACGAAGGGTTTCTGGAGCCCTGAAAGCGGGTGTTCCTGCAGTTGATCCAATGCTCATGGCCGCATCTTCACCCAGAAACTCATTGCAAACACCCAAGTCGGCTATTTTTACTCGTCCACCCTCACCGAGGAGGAGGTTTCCTGGCTTTATGTCCCCGTGTATTATTTTTAGATAGTGCACTGGAAGGGAGATTTGTATGTTTATATGTTCAGCAGAGAATTAAAACTTGTACTCACAGTATTCTAAACCGAGGAGACAATCTCTGAAAACACTCCAGGAACGTTCTTCGCGCAGTGGCTGATCTGTGGGTATGCTGAGAATTTCGCCCTGCTGCACGAGTTCGAACACGAGATATAGAGAATCCTCCAGAGGATCATCTAGCACTTCAATAAGTCTAACAACATTGGGATGGTCGAGCTTCTTGAGCACCGCGATCTCCTTATATACGCGATCGAGTGGAGAAGTGGGCTTTCGAGGGCCTCGCGAAAAGAGTCCGGCTTTCTTGAGGAGCTTTCGCTTCGATAGAATCTTCATGGCGTAATGCGTTGAGTCTTCCTCCGAGTAAGCCAGCTTCACGAGTCCATAAGAGCCCTGAAGATGCGGAAATAAGTGTTTATTTACACGTGAATTGTTATGAATAGTCGTGGCTCACCTGGCCAATTTGTTCAAGTAATTTGTATTGATTCAGCTGAACAAAGCTGCCAGATTGCTCAATGGAGATTCTCGCGGATTCCCGGAGTGGTGCTCGTCTTCGTCCTGGGCTGGGGCTTCCATATGGGCTGCCATAGGGACTGTAAGGAAGATTGGGATAGATTGGGCGTGATTCCTCGAGTGAATTGGGTTCAATTGAGCCACAATTGTCTTCAACATCCAGTGATTGTGCCTTGGCAAAAATTCTCCCTTCGGTGGCTACAGCCTGTCGCTGTGTTGGCACATCGAGGGATTTACTCATCTCAATGCCACGTCCTGGCGAAGGATGCCTCCTCAAGGGAGGATCGATACGCGAGTTTCCTAAAATAGACGTTGAATCATGAGGACTTTCCAGTTCAATTGGCATCTGATGCTACTGTAAATCCGCATCTAACGTACCTCGTTCACTTGACGTGCCTGATTGAACATCATCACTGTTTTTCTTCTCTGCAACGCTGTTTATTGCCTTCACACTCGCGGACAATGTGTTTTCACTATGGTCGAAGTTGTGGGAAATTTCAGACTTTATCGTTTTTTCCATCTCCATTGTCTTATTCCTGTAATCACACAGAATCTCCGGTCAGCAAAAGTGAGATTGGATGTAAAATCCTTCACAGCAAAACATGTACTGTAATCACGTCAAAGAGAAATCAAACACCAAACAGTTACCTTTTAAGCAAGTTAGTATCTGTCACCATTTGGATTTAAGATGCCACTAAAACGCCACAGATTTCAGGCACGAATGGGAGTGTAGAGAAGAGCTTTTCCTCTCTGCGTACTTGAGAAAACGTCAAAAGGCATATTTTTATCCCAAAAAATGTATTCCGATTATTCCGAGGATGGGCGGCTTACACACGCGTGCGCAATTGAAGTGATGTCAAAGTTAATTTCCTTATCGCCACTAGAGAGACTGCATGGGTCAATAATATTGTTATCAAAGTTGGATTCCTTCTTTTTTTCGCGCAATTAATTCACACAGGGTCACACGCAAATCTCCCTCAACACCGAAATCAATGCGACGAAGTTACAGTTTGTTATGCGGGAAATGATTTGTTGAGAGTATCGTCAAGTTATTTGAGCAATTTTTATGTGGAATGTCGAGAGAACATGCTAAAGATTAAAGCAAAGAGAGTGAGAGCTAATGAGTTATTTATGATGTGATTTGTACATGCGTCTCCAGAGATTTTTGCGTCGCCAATGCCAAATGGTGGTGGTGTTTTTTTTTCTCGGGTCTGAGCAAAAATTGGAGGGAGTTTATTGTCCTTTGGCAAGCAAAAAAGAGGCGGACCTTGATTTGACCGATTAATCATATAATAAGTACTGTGCTGTTGTAGCTGAGATTTTAGGCAATTTGTTAGTTCCTATTTAATTTGCTTAGAAGCTTATATGCCTATTTCGGAAGAGTCGGATAATTTTATGTACAGCAGTAAAATATTTATAGTCATTTCTTGTGACCTTTTCAAGACTATTCTCAGCTGTCTTGAGATTTCATTACGTAATTATTCAACATTAATTGCCTGGAATGGCTCTTGGAAGGGTTGTTCTTTGTTGTGACTATTTCTGTTTTTGATTTTATTTACACAGTAAATAGAGGAATAATCCATTGAAGATGATTTAAATCGAAAGCGAACTAGGAGATTTTTATTAACACAAGAAAATATTTATTTTATTTGAGAAATAGTAATGAAATTGACCTAATTTTGATGTCAAGAACTGGAACATAATTTCATGAGATGTTTTTGAGATTCAATTCAATGAAACTTTTTCACAATATGATTTATGTATCCTCTTAATGTTTTACTAGGGAACAATAACAGCAGCTGAAAAGATAAATTAAATTAAATAATCATGAATGTTTTATTCGTGAATCGCTTAGTTAATGAAACAATTGCTTAGAACATATATTAAGCTCTCGCTTGTTAGATGTTTTATCCTTCAGTGTGTGAGACAACATGTCAGTTCAACGATACAGCCCTGTGCGGTGTATAATTTAAAAATTTATGAATCTCATTAAGTTTGCTGGTAGTACTCCTCTTGATAATCACGCAAACGGTGTCTAGCAATTAAATTGTTGCAAAATTTATTTGTGCTGAGTTTTATATTCACTTTTTGCTATCGTGTCGTCTGTGTCACGCTTTCGACGGCACTTTATTTGGAGACTCTTGATTTTTTTTTCTTTTATTAATAGTGTATCGTCTTCGGATAGAATTGTAAGGACTACTGTTGGTGCAGAGAATGAGAATGTGTATATTTTTCTATGTCTATTGAATTCCTTATAAATAATACATGCGATTAGTTGAGTGACATGGGAATTATATAAGTATTATTTGTTAGAGAGAAAATATTGCACATTAGCATTACTAATGATGGCTCTCTGATCTTTGCAGGCTCCTGAACCATGTGATGAAGCAGGGCAGCGCCACGGCCAACACGTTGGGCACCATCGCCGTGATGTACTCGGGCTTTGGTGTGCTGCTACAGTGGGCACGTGGAGAGGATGATGAGATCAACACGGTGCTGGCGGGCGCGGGCACGGGTCTGCTGTACAAATCCACGGCGGGCTTGAGGAAGTGTGCCATCGGTGGCGGTGTGGGCTTCACGCTGGCCGCGCTGTACTGTCTGTGGGGCATTTCGCGAGGCAAATCCAGCAAATTCAGTGACTTTAAGCAGTACATGTAAACGTATGAAGAGAAGGGAGGAAAGACACCAAAATATACCATAGCCAAGTTAGTGGAAGCCTCATGTTCTCAGGTATTTTTTTTGCCAACACTGTGTGCGAGAAGAATATGGTTAGTCACACGATTGAATTGTTACCTTCACGAAAATAATTTTTATCTAATCTCACTAACGCACACACGGGAGAGATTTCGCGTCGATTTCACAGTTCTTCCATGGCGATTCCCGCAAAGGGCTGCACTTTCACTCGGTTTTGGCTTCGGAGCTTCATCTTGGCCGCGAAAGTTGGGAGTTTTGAATGAGAAGTGTGTGTGGCATCCAGAGATCGCGGCGTGTGTTGATGAAAGTCATCGCGCTGAGCTGACCACTACAGAGTGAGGAAAAGAGTGTGGCACGTAGTGGGAAACATAATAGCACTCACACAAGTGCCGTACAGTCGCAACAACAACCAGTTTCAATTTACCTGCCCGCGACACGCCTATTGTTGTGTGTTATTTTACATAAGCCAAGCGTGGAATTCTGTGTGTCTCAAGAAAGTTCTCTGTTCAGGGTGGAAAATCGGTGAGTGTGACGCCCTATTTTCATCTCTAAACACCAGTGCACACTGCAGCTCGAGTCTCATCCACTTTTCCAACTTGCATTCCGCAGATTCCAGCACGAAAGCGAGAGCAAAATGGACGAGTACACCTTAGAGAGACTCTTGGCGTGGTTTTATCCACTCATAGCCGCCTTCTCTCTCGTCGCCACTGTCACATTTGCCGTTGCGTGGAATCACTGGAAATATGTCCTGGACACCTGTGATCCCAGACTCTTCTGTGGATGCATCTTCAATGCCAGATCCACTCCGACTTACTTTGTGGGATCGCATGTTGGTAAGTGGTTTCAATGTCTGAAGGGAGCTTCTGCATTGATTGGCCTATTTATTATTAATTCCCACTTTCAATTGCAGCGTACTGCTACTGGGCGACTGTTGGGCCCCTCCTTGGAGCCGCCGTGGCCGTATTCTTTGGAACCTACCATGTCTGGCGGTGAGTTTTTACAGACAAAGAGGGAGAGAGTTCATGAACTTCGAGGGTTGCTAATGTGTTGTTTGTTTGCCCTACTTACAGTGTGTGCATGGGAAAAGGGCGCTCCAGGACGGGAACGACCACTGTAAAACAGAGGTGAGAACTTATAGGGAATCATGCATGATTAATACGATGTGGGTGACTCAAAAGGGCATTCATGAGGGGAATTGAATACACATAGAAGAAGAGTGCGCCCAAAAGCGAATCATCTAATTAATCCCATTAATTAACCACAATTGTCTCGTCTTTGGGGAGAGAAGTTTAATCCGAATATGGTTATTTTTTAGATCTGGCGATGTGATTGTGATGACGACACGAACTGAGCTCACGGATGACTCAATCTCGCCATATTGGTGGGTTCCCAGCAGCATTGCCGCCTGTTTCATGACTCTGTACACGCTCACGCACGCTGCCATGGCCCTGGATGGGTTCCTGTACGCCTGTCGCCAGTACAGAATCGAGCTGACCAAGTACATGCGCGCCACAGGGCCTCTGGTCGAAAGCATCCAGGGGCGCATCTCCTGCGCTGCTGTTTTTGACTTCATGGACTACATTCATCCGGACGTGTCCTACGATCGCAGGAGAATCGATCGCATCAACACACCAGCTGCTCTAATCACTGGCCTAATCGCGTCTTGGCTCTGCTTTGTCCTCTGGGCATCCATTGCCTATATTGCAATACGCCAAGCGAGGCAGAGTCGCCGAGTACGCGTCTAAATCGTAACATTCCGAAAGTGTGTGCCTTTCACCATGTACCGCCGAATTTCCATGATCACAATAATAAACCACTTTTCCATCCACGAAAACACACTGTTTAATCTTCCCACTTTATTTTGTGTGACTTTTGTACAGAAAAATTACAAACTTGTCCTATTAAAATGTCGTTTTTTCAGATTCGCGCTTTCCGCGAAAATAAACCATTATTATATAGGATGAAAGGAGTCCATGTGAAGTAGGAGAAAAATAATGAATATAAACTCAATGTAGAATTTCAATGGGTCATGCCATAACCAGTAGCAAAAAAACGTTATGATGCAATTATTAAGAACACGAGAAGTAAAAAACCAACAACTTGGATGAAAACCTAACTAATAGTGCGCGCTGCCGATTATTGCTGCTGCGCCTGCGGTAGAGGTGGCGCGAGACGAGAAACAAAACTGATGCCGGCGCGGAGGATCTTGCTGATAAAAGCCGGCACTGAGGGATTGTTGGCCACCATCTCGGCCGCCAGGCGACACTCGTAGAAGATATTCCGCGTGTACGGATTGCGACGCGATGAGTAGCGCAGCGTGAGGAACTGATAGTAAATGAGTGGCGTCATGAGACCACCTTTGCCTCTGTGAGATTTAAAGAAAAGAAAAATACATTAATTAGCATTAATTAGACTTCGAGTATTCTATCTCTGACTTGTGTTTGTTTGAGAAAATTATCTAATTGCCCAAAAATCTTTAAGAATCAACAACGCAAATGAATATTGAGTACATTCCTATTCTACAACTCTATCGCAATATTGACTCTTATCAAAATGATGAAAATTATCTTCGTGTTCCATTCCAATACTTACAAAAGAATGAGAACAATGGTGAATGGCATGAGGAATACTTCAGTGAAGGCGGCTAATCGGAGGATGTTGCGCGTCTGAAATTCAACTATTGAGATCAGCAATCTCGCGCCCCACCAGGAGTTCTGGCCGAGAGTATCGAGCAGCGTGAGAGAATAGCTGGCGGAATGTAATACTGCAAACAGGACGACAGGCAGCAGGATGATGAGAACTGGGCTGACGTACAAGAAGATGAGCGAGTAGAAGAGATAGTGGCACGAATCCTCCATCAGCAGCAGCGATACGAATTCACGCGTGAAGCTGACTCGCGGAAGCCTCTGATGCAGCCGGAGAGCCGAAGTGGCGGCATTTGCCATCAGCACTTTGTAGTACGCGCTCTGGGCATTTCTGCAAAAGACAGAAAGGGGAAGCTTATCAAATGTGGCTTACTAATCGGCAAATCTTATCTGTTGGCCTCAAGAGTGCCTCTTTATCGAATTCCCAACTAGTCGTCATGCTTCAGAATTTCAACATGACCCATTCATGTTACTCTGGCCGCTTTTTGAATTGCCCAATCATTGCGAACACGGAATGTTAGATACTCTCTTCAGGCGATGGCGCTTTCCAATATCGATTATGAGAGCATCCTTCAGACCTCAGTCAGAGAATTAATCAATCCAATACAATTCATTGATGAATGATAAACAATTAAGCACTAGCAATGTAGAATTTATATTCTAAAATATTCCTATTCTAACTTATGCCATTAGAGCAGAACAGCAATTAAGACGCCTATACACTTGAAACTCACATCTAAGACGCAATTAATTCGGCAAAAAATCACCGCAAAAAGGAAAGTTCATAAAAAAGTGAAAACTCATTTTGTGGTTTAATTAATATTTGCTTCACTTGTTCGCATGTCTTCAAATTAAACCGTGTGACTTACTTCTGATGCACTTGAACGTGCTCATGAATATTTTTGCATTATATTCTTGATAACACGGGTGACAAATGGACAAATAAGCGAGAATGGTGAAATGTATTGAGTAATTAATCGAATTGATCAATACACAAGAAATAGGCCACGAGGGTGGCATTTAGGCAATGAACTTTTTACACTCTTCGAGATGATTCTACACTCTTGGCGTCTTCTGACGAGGTCGAAGGCAATAAAAACACCTTTTCAAAATGGTCATGCTCATAAAGATCACTCAATTCTAACCGGAATTATGTAATGGTAAAAAACGTGGGTCACGAATTTCCTACAGTCCAGACTTTTGGAGGGATTGAAGTGTGTTTGATTGGGCAAATGAGACAATTTGTTTCTCCCCGGGACCGGAAATTAATCCTGCACTCTGCGTTGCCTCGTCAGCCCACAGCTGGGCCGCGGTGGCCCCTCGGGGGCGACTGAAAGTGAAATGGACGGCGAGTGGGGGGCGCGGATTATCATAGCAGCACGAATGCATCGGGGCGCGAAGGTGTGAAGGAAAGTGTAACTGAGGGAGTGCAATTACCCAAAAATGGGGAGCAGGTAGCAGAAGGCGAAGACAATGGTGAGCACCCTTGTTGCCCAGAGGGCCACGTCGATCTTGTGCTGGTTCACATGCGCCAGGAGGGCTTCCGTGCCGCGCTGGGGCGGCTGCTGCTGCTGCTGCTCCTGCTCCGCGTTCGCTGCTGGCATCTTTCTTCTGTCACCTGCAAACGGGTTGGGCGAAAATTGAAAAGTCATCTTCACGTGTCTCTTATTTAGGCGGGCAAGCTTCTGGTCTCGCGGGAGGGGAACTTCCGTCATCAGATCATACTCACAATCTCTGCACTTCCTGAGCGGGCTTAATGCCTGATATTTACGTCACTGCACTGCTCGCGGGATCACAACGGGGTTTATCACACTATTAGGCGACTCTTGTTGTCTAGGAAAGCATCAAAAACCTGAAACTTTCTCCTCTATTTTTTACTTTTCGCAATGGAAAAATCACCTCTGACTCGTACCAACTACACGCCGTGACTGACCAAGGCGGCCAACATTGCGCAGATGGAGAGTGAATTGCCACTAGAGGGCACTGACAGTCCACCGGGAGCACGCCAGGATGACCCAAACGCCCAGTGATGATGAGGAAATCTGCCTTCCCAGTGATACTCTGCAGATCCTCCAGGAGTTCTTAGCTGAGAAGGCAGCAGCGGAGGAGGATTTGGAGGAAAACTGGGTAAGTTTCTCTAGATGTTGTTGTAACCTCACTAACAGTTCCTCTTTCAGCAATTGAGCCAATTCTGGTACGATGAGGAGACTATCTCTATCCTCACCGGCGCCTGCAGAGAGATTTCTCCTGGTGAAAACTTCAAAATAGGTCTTTTTTCCTGTCCATCACTCTACAAATCAGTTTCAAGTGCTCTTCCCAATGGTTAGCGATAAGATTCTGTTTACACGGTTTTACAGAAAATTACTGATTCTCTTCCCATCTTTTAGTTCATCTCTTTGAGTACGATGAGAGATTCCTCCGGCAGGATCAAAACTGTGTCTTCTATGACTACACCAAAGGACGAAACAACAAAACTCTTGAAGAATTTCACCATTATTTTGATTTGGTGCTCGCCGATCCTCCCTTTTTATCCGAAGAGTGCATTTCCAAGACAGCTGAAGTCCTACACAGTGTCCTAAAGCCAGACGGGAAAATAATCCTGTGCTCTGGCGTCGTGGTCACTCCCTGGGCTGAGAAATACCTGCACTTGAGGCCTTGCAATTTTCAACCGCGACACAAGAGGAATCTGGGTAATGAATTCGCGTCGTTCGCCAATTTTAATCTCGATCACTTCATTCAGAGAAAATAAAGCTACTTGGCAGCACTGTCAGCATCGCGTTTTTTCTGCTGCACCAGCTCTCTGAGGCTGTCCTCCTGCTCCTTGAGATTTTTCATCAGATAACCTTTGTTGTTGTCACACTGGCTGATCATGGAGTCCACTTTTGTCTGCTTCCCCTTCAGCTCAGCACTCATTTCCGGCACTGAAGACAGGGCAAACATTCTCCCTATTGATGAGTAGACTCTGGAAAAGAAGCAGAATTACTTTCCCAGTCGCAACTTTCTCACGCGCCCACTCACTTTGTTTCCGGAGGTAGATTTGTCACTTCGTGCTCAGTGATGATAAGTCTCTGTTTTGACTTCTTCAGCGACTCTATCTGCATGTCCAGCACTCTCAGTTTTTTTGTAGACTCTATTTTGTTCATCTGCATCTCCGCGAATGCCTGGAGAGTGAGGAAATCCAAAGGAAAACTCAATGAAACTTCATGCTTCACGACACTGCACAACTTACCTTTCTCAGTTCGAGATCTGCTGGAGATGCTACTGCAGCCATTGCAAATTAGTATTTCCTCTATAAACACAAGAAAGAGAAGTGAAAATTGCAGTAAAAGCTGCTGTATTTCACACAAATCACGACAGAAAATTCACGTGAAAATGCGGCTGAGAATGCCGTGTTTTGACGATCGCACTGACATCTATTTTGGGACAATGAACTACAGTCTCTTAAGATCCTCTTAATTTTGCCGCCTTTCACTCTTTCTCTCTTAAAAGTATTATAACAGTTTGAAGGAGGCGCGAATATTTTACCCTGGCCCATAATTTTCCGAGTATACATACAATATACATAGTACATAGTACATAGTACATACAATATATATAATATACAATACAAATTTATTTGAGTTTTAGAAATCATACAGAAAATCGCTGAAACTGAACTGACATTATGTCAGTAGTCGATTTGTCTATTCCTTCACAGATTTCGGCATAATGTAAAAGGTACTTTGTAAGTTTTTGTTACGATATACCTACTCCAATCCAAGCACATTTCTGATTGACTGAAGTGAGGTTGATACGCAGTTTTGGACACTGTGTTAAGAAAACGTTGAACAAAAGACTCATGGACTTTGTTCTATTTTCTATATACACACACCAATGGCTATTAATAATAACCATTCTTTTACTCAACAAGCTTAAGAATTTAAATAATAAATTGAGATAATGATTTTTCCAAAGAAGAATTGAGTGTCTTCAAGAGATTTGCTCACTTTTTGGCGTCAAAAGCCGAAGTTCAGTAAAAAATTTAGTCAACAATACTCACACTTAAACTTCTCAATCGAAGCTCATAAGTCTGCGCCTCTCAGCGACTCCACTCCACAAGTGGCCGCAAGTGTTCAATTCAAAAGTGATTCCAAACTGTTGCCATCCTCGTGAGAGAAGCTCTGTCGAGACGTTGGCGCAGGCATTAAAATTACGAGCAGAGGAAATTAATGAGTCCTGTGGCCTCTGGTCGCTCTTTTTCAGATCTTCTCCTGCCAAAAGGCAAGCCCACGCAAAAAGTGTTGAAAAAGCTTCTGCGACACCCATTAAAAGTCCACCCGAAGTTTCCTCATAAAGCCAACTTGCGATGGCCTCACTCAATTATTCGCCATCCGGTGGGATGAATAAAAAAGTCTCGCGGTGTCACATTAAATCAAAATTTATTAAATTGTTTTTATCTACTTGGGGAAAGGAGGAGGGGCTTTACAATTAAAATCTGATCTTTATTCAATAAATGGTATTCACTGTGTCGCATTGTTTGCAACACAAAGACAACAGAAAAATCACTCAATCATTGCTCAATTTTATACCATTCCAAACCATCTTAAGCCTTTTACTACATGGGTTTCATGAATGTGATTCAGAGTGAAAAAGCGCCTAAAAATATTTATTCTATTTTTTATCATCCGAATATTGTACATTTATTGATCAATTCTGTTCATTTTTCTTGAGGGAGTGTTTTTATTCCGTAGCACAAAATGTCTTTTGATTTTTCCCAGTGAAAAATAAAACCACAAGTTTTATCAGATATGTCAATCTTCTTGAGAAATCCATGCAAAGCCAAATATTCCACTCTTCTTCGCCCTCTTTAATACTCAATTAAACTGTGACTATTTTAAGGCTTCTCATCCGACATGATTACATCTATAAATCTTCATTCCTAAACGTTTTTTTTTTTACTCTACGCAAGAAAAACCATTGATTGCGAGTCTCAACAAGATTGTGGGTCTTTTAACGCGATACAGAGACTTATAAAGAATATTATATCGAGGTATGAACTAAAATTATTTACACATACGACGAATAAACAGATAAAATGAACCACTTGAGCTGTGCAACAAGACATAAAACTTTCTCTTTCAGATTCTAAAAACTATTTACAACGTATATTGTATCCTCTTCATCCATCGCTACAATCAAAGGGAGGGGAAATTGTCGAGATTTCCTTTCTCTCTCTTCTGGCACTTTATCTTCTCACTCTCTCTCTCTCTAGTTCTCGGCCAGAAGCGAGGAAATTCGACCATGTCTTTCGTGGTGGAAAGTGTGAAATCGTATCTTTACATAAATTCTCTCTTTTGCTAGCACATTTTTTTCTCTTTTTACAATTTTTCATCACATTTTCAGCAGTTTGCCAGAGTTTACAAATTCATTTTGTTTGCCATTCTATTAGTGAAATCCATTGTTTTTTACTGTCCTGCGATTTCTCTTCGTGGTCTTAAATCTGGGATTATTATTGAAGCTCGTTGAATGCAAACCACAGTTGATCAAAATTCTCTACATTTATGACAATGCGCGCGCATCTCTTGATTTCTCGCTAATATTCTTCTCAATATCACTTGTTTTTGTATAGTCGAAAAGTGTTTTTTTTTCTCTCAAAACCGACTTGGTTTCAACCGAAACTGAAAGCATGGGCTCAAAGACGTTGTAATCGAGAAATGTTTCTCTTCTTTTGGGTTTCGTCAAGGCACAAAATGACTATTTTTCAGAGTGAATTTACGCAATTGTTTTCTTATCTTGGCTTCTCGCTTTTCTTTCAAACTCTCCCCGTGGGATCTTTTGTCTTTCTCGCTGCGACTTAACATTTTATTGTACAAATCCATCCTTCTGTCTCATATTTTTAACCTTATTGAATTTTATAGAAAAAAATTCCTTAAACTCTACCGCCATTCCGACTGTCGTGACAAAAAAGCGCCCTAATATAATTTGATTGAAAGATTCTTAACATCCTAAAATATATATTAGTCAAAGACTTCCTCATCATCTTTAAATATTTATGGGTTATTTTTCTTATGATTCTCTCGCGTGTCAACTAAATTTGTGTCTTTTTTTTTCTTTTCTCCGCACACACACAACACAAGTTATCAATTTTGATTCTCATCAACTTTTTTGGCGCTCAGCTCAATCATCATAAAATGCCATTATTGAATTCCCTCCTCGGCTGGAGAGGTGGAAAACCTCAAGGGAGTCGCGCGCGCCTTTCGGTCCTGGAGGACTTCCCAGGAGTGCCTTTTGATTGATTGAGGCTGAAACATCTTAACTTGTGCCCTTTTTTCTCCATCTGCCTTGTGATATGAAATGATTGATATTTGATTATTATGTGTGTTCACTCTGTCTTATGTACAAAAAAGTCCTTGTTTTTTCTCTTCTTTCTAAATATTACTTTCCGTCATTACAAGCTTTGGTCTCTAACATCTCATCGTCAATGCAATATCGCCTAATTGAAATAACAGGTGAAAATAAGACTTGGCTGCAGGTAAATTTACTCTGTAATCTTCCGTTGTAAATATCTCAAGATCTATCTTCTTTAAATTGTGTTGATTTTTTCTTCTTATTTTGTCTGCATCTGTGTGTAAATCATGGACCCTGCAATTAGGTAAACCACACTAAATTTGATATTCATTAATTATACCTGCCATTATTATTATCAATAATATCTCCTTCTTCAATACAATATAGTTATTTATGTCCACTAAGTAGTCTAAAATATGTATCTCCTAAACATGCTAGTTATATAATGCCTTTCATTCTCACAAAAAACTTATGGGGCATTTCTGCAATGAAGCTCTTCCGCAGAAACTTGAGAGATGCTGTCTAAAAGTGTCTCCTTATATCGTATCAAAAAATATTTACAAACTATTCAATATTGTCTTTTTTCATTTCTCTTTCATCCTCCAACTCTTCACTTCGTGTTTATGTGTGTATGTGAGAAAACGCATTACAAAATTATTCCCACAAAAAAAAGAAAAGGAATACAAACCATAAAATAGAGGCCAAAGGAAGATTTGATGAAAAAAATGTCTTTTTGCCATTAATATCAATCTAATAGGAGTTTTGCTTAGTGTGTAGCGATATTTAATTATAATTTAATTATGTTGCTGTGGTTTCCTCAATCGCCATATGGTCTATTCATCCTCCATCCACTGCGACGAGGCCCAGTCCGGAAGCTCAGTGGAATACTCCCAGCCGGGACCCTGCAAAGAGAGAGGGGAGAGTCAAGAGAACGATGATAAATACACCGCACAAATATAAACATTCTTAATATTCACAATTTATGTGTTGAAGGAGAGAGAAATTTTCATTCTAAATTGATATTAATTGCTCTCAATTTCTCTCTTTCTCCTTCATCATTCGCATCCACTTTAGCATTCATCTTGCCAAACAGTCGCCATCGCATTTGGATTAATGGTACATTTTATGTGATCCGAAGATTGCGAGGCAAAACTCTTCTCAAATTTCACATCATCGAACATGTGCAATTTCCTGTACAAATTCACTTGATTTCCCACTTTGACACACGAATAATCGCAGCTAATTGATTGGCGATTTATTGAGAGGAAGTGATTCACAGTCAATTCTTAAAGAACGAAGTATTATTTTGGGATTATTTTGTACCAATCTCTATTTTAAAAGCTGATTTAATGAACATCAATAGCAATATTGAATACTGAAAAGTCCTATTTCTATCAATATCTCTACATTGATATTGAAAAATGCCACCAAAAGCAAATCCTCACAGCTTTTCCTCGAAAAAATCGGTCATCGCATGTGACTGGGCAAGAGATCAAGTCGGGAAAGCAAGTGAGAAATGGATGAAATTGTCTCGTGTGGAATCTGAGTCACTATTCGACTGTGTGGCTCACGATAAAAGCTCATGTCGAAGGCAAAGTTGAATGAGAAAAACCACAGCTTTGCCAGCAATACACTGAGAGGGAGAGAGAGAAAATTTCCATAAATATTTAATGTCACTGAAAATTGACATGAAACAGTTGATGAAGTGGAAGAGATGGAGATTCCATGTGAGACTCCATCATCGCATTTAACAGTCCAATGAGTGCCTTTTTGAAGGAAATTCCCTTCGATTTCGCCCGTTCTCTCCTCAGGGTTGATTTCTCAATTTTCTCACCGCCCTAGATTATCCACAGGCTCTGTAAGGACCTCAAAGTGGGGTTGAACGTAAATGTGAGGGAAATTGGAAAGTTTTCCTACAATATCTCAACTGTTTGTGCACAATTATTTTATCCAGCCTCCGAGAGAGCTTCAGGGTGACTTTGCATGGTAAATCACAAGCAATATTTTGCTATACAATTGAATTTTCTACACTATATGGTCTCAATTGAGGTCAAAATCACCTAAAAAAATACTAAAGTTATTTTGCTTGTCAGCAATTATATTCACAGACGAAGAGGAAAATTGTCAACGCATGGCTATGAATTTTTTAATCAATTCCATGTGCGTTTGATTTAGCAGAAATAGAGAGAATTTCATGCTCAATAGAACTCAACGACGAATGAGGATGAATGGAAAATATCATAATCCTCCTGGAAAAGATGTGATTTCCTCCTTTTTCTCCGGTTCCTCTCGTCCTTCCGTCTTCAACAATAGTAAGAGACGCCAAAGGCCACATAATTCAATGGTACACACATAAGCATATGCAGAATAATTTCATTAGACAGATTTGATTGTGTACCCTGAAAGTACGAAAGGAAATTCAATGAAAATTGCATGCATATTGAAGTTTGTTCGACTTTCTTCACATCCTCAACATCGCGCTTATCATCATATTCAATCCCACTCACGTCATATAATGGTAAAGAGCGCCATCGCGAACTTGTGAACTGTGCTTTTTCCGCGACGCGGAAAAATGAGAAAAATCACTCATCCTCTTGACATGGAAGGAAAATAGGACTCTTCTCAGTAACTTTTTTCTTGTCCCCACGAAGAAGAACTTTCAATTGAAACTCAATAAGTTTTTCGCTCTACGGAAATTCCGACAGAGAATTAAATGGGCTGAGTGAGGGTGAAAATGTCTACAATGAACTTGAAGAACATGAGTGAAAGAAAGTGAATAATGATAGTGAATTAACAAATGACTGAAATTTGTAAATTATCCACTTTCTTGGCTCTTCAGCTACTGAACAAATTCATCATTACTTCGGATGAAAATTAAATGAATTATTTTTAGCAAACTGCCCACAATAGTCAAAATGGTATTCTTTACACATTTGTGCCTGCTTTCACGAGATTTGTGTAAATTTAGCAAGGGCAACATCTGGAAGAGATATTGACGGAAAACCGGGTCATAGCAATCTGCTTTGTGCCTTTTGGGATAGCAAGAGAAATTCATTTGGACAGTTTATGCTGATCTTTAGTTGACCATTAAGTTTATGATGACTTACAAACAGCTGAAGAGCTAAAAGTGTCTTCTATGAAGAAGAAGTAAGCTGTTAAACAAAAAGCAAAATACTTCACATCTATTTAACCAATTGATCATAAGATTATATATGCTAATGATGTGACTTAAAACTTCTTGAAGACTCAAAATCAGATAAACCCTTTTGACCACTTTGAACATTGTAAGAAAAAAATCTTAAAACACGCGAGATTTCAAATATTCATGTGAAGATTTTAAAATTTAAATTAATTTCCGAATTACTCGAAGAACAATCATTCTTCAGCCAGTGTGCATGGCATATTTAAAGAGTCTCACAAACTTTCCCAGAAATACGGCAGACTAACACTCGACCTAAGACAAATCGGGCCATCTTTCATCCATAATATCCCAAAAGACTTGCAGAAAATAACAACATTAAGCAGTCTGTCGATAATTTGATTTGAAGAGGAAACTTTTGCTCAAGTCTTCAGCTTGAATTTAATCATCTCTTTCTCTCTCTCAAGTATTCGAATGAAATTTTCATTGGAAAAGTTGCACACTTGCAAATGAGACTCAGCATTGGATCTATCTTTCATGCCACTCGTGAAAACTCTCCACCTTGAACAATAGTCAATTTATTCAGCTGCTTAATTAAAAATTTTCCCCAACAACTCTCCTTCTCGGGCATATTATCATGGCAATCTCTCTTCCTTTTTTCAAGCTCTCCTCAAGAAAATCCTTTGCCGCGATGCCCACTTCCACTCAACCTTACTCGGTCGTCCGGCAATTGCACAAAATGTAAAATGCAATGGAAAAATTCCACTGTGGAATTGTGGGAGAAACTTATTTTAATTACTTTCTTAGAATTAAAATATTGCATGAAGATTGTTTTGCACTGTAGACTTTATTTCGTGCACACGGCAAATTTGCCATCATTTTTCCATCAAGGCAGCGCTGCTTTTTGCGAATACACCATCAGGCATGTGTGACAAAAGGGGGTTGAAATGCTTTCATCTCTCATTTCACTCCCTCTTTCAACAATATTTTTCAACTTTGGTGTGTGCGCGCCTCCCTTTGTGAAAACTCTGAGTGGAGGGAAAACATTTAATTTTCAGCTTTGTCATGCTTTTTTGGTCGGTAACTTGGAAAATGTGACATTTTTTCAGGTGTGTCGCTTTAATCCTTTTACTAAACAACATTTTCTCTCTTTCGGCGGAAGTTTTCAACGTAAAGTCGTCTTGCTTTGCTTTGAATATTATTCTCAGTTACATGAAATTTTGTTGCCCGAAAAGAACTCTACCTTCTTCTAATTATTCAATGTCACTTCTCGAGAAAAAACTATAATTTTCTAAAACATGGTCACTTTAATGTCAAGTCTTCCCTTTCATCTTGGGTCAGAGGAAAAGGATTTCTCATATCTAAAATTACAAGGGATTTGAAATATTTGTGACATTTTGCAAAATGCTGCAAGGAGAATTCCTCCATCATTTGCTAGATGGAAAAGTCAACAACAAAGCCGCACTTCTTTCAACACAAAGTCCCAAGAGGGCAAATGAGCCCCTATGGAGATTAAAGCCTGACATTCAAGTGCCACTGCATAATATATGTATGCTAAATCGCCTTTGTGGTGCGCCTGAGAAAGAGTTTAATGCACGCAAATCATGGGGAGGTGGGAAAACTCCTCTCTCACTCTCTTTAGGGCTGTTCGTGTGAAAACTCACCTTGTACTTCCATGCATGCAAATACATTACGAGATCCTGCGGCTTTGGGTCCCTGTAGCGAACTTTGCACTCGTAGCAGTGTTTATCGACTGTCATCTTATCAGGGTTGAACGTGAGGTCCGGTGATTCATGACCAGTCTGGGTGGCCACTGTTACCTGCAATTTCACACCACCAGAGAAGAATGCAATGGATAAGTGAATGGGAAGAGCTGCACCACCCCTTTTGAAAGATATGTTGTGGGAATTTCCATGGGAAACGCAACATATTTTCAGCAATTTCACGTTCAATGACTCCTCATGCGTGGCTGGAAGCGCTTCACTGAGCATTGTTTAGCTATTTGGATGATTTCCAAAATTTCGCACGAGAGGTATTAATATGGCTCAAAATCTCATACAATAATTCCTCACTATGACAGTTGGTATTTAAATTTAAAATGACTGGAGCTTTTCACAAAAGTTCCCCGATGGGAGATTTCAGTTGTTTTGTGCACTTTTGGGTTGGGAAGAAATATTAAAAAGCTCTTTGTGGAAACAGTGAAGAGATACACACTATTCATGAAATATAATAAATTGTAAAGCTCAAATTGCACTTGAAGAGAAAACTTCTGAGCAACAAACTTAATGACATTCTGTAGCATTCAAAATAGCATGGAATAAATCATTAACCGCTATATTATTCTCATATTATGCTTAATTTCTGCTAATATTAGATTTTATATTTGATAACTTCTCAGTTTTGCGTTATGATAAAATTAAGAATACCATACACTTTTACGTTCCATTTTCAATATTTTCACTATCGCCACACTTGAAAATTTCATATTTTTCAAAGTTTAAATGATCTAATGATGAGAGCACATTGCATCTGAAGTTAACATAGGAAACTGTACTTGAAACTTTTCTGCAAAAAGTTCTTTCGTCCTCAGAAAATATTAAATTTTTCTCAACATAAGATAACGCTATGAAACGAGGTAAAAACTTTGAATTCAACTATTTATCTTGTTTAGTTCATTCTTCCTGCATATTTTGCTGCATTCACTAACATGAATGCAAAAAGTGCTGTCCAGCATTTACTGAGCAATTTAGTCAATTGCCATCCATTGGAAAAAAAATCCGCTTCAGAGTATTTCAGCTCCTCGGGAGCAATTTTTGCTATACACACGCCTCCCAAAATGCCCAAAAGCTCCCGAGTAATTAAGTCCTGTGTGTTACCTTTGCTTGAGCCCTCTTCAGACCGGTTGGCGGTGAATTTTGCTGCGGCGACACCTGGCAGACGCTCTCGTGGGGACTCTCACTTCCGTGCGATAATGGTCTAGGACTTTCTGAACATGGTGACGCCTCTCTTGACACAGTTTCGCAATCGTCGTCACTCAGGATGTTTCCTGTTGGGGCGGCAACGAATGAGAGGAAGTAATTCATAACATTGCATTTGCAATTGCACATTTCGAAGGGAGGCTAAAATTTTGCAATTTCACATAGTGTCCAAATCAATAGGAAAATTTATTGGGAAACTGGAGATTGTGTCTCAAGTGCAGGTAGAGAGAATTGTTGTTCACTCAGTGGAGAAAAATATCAACGTATTTACATTGAGACACTTTGTATGTGTATGTGGAATCCCTTGTGGCGCCCAGGGTGACTCATAAAATGCCAAATAGTCACATTTATTGGATGGGATTGTGTAAATTTCCTTCGGACATTGCGAGAAAACACCCTCATTTTCCACCACTGACTGCCACTTCCCCATCGATTGCTTGAGAACAGGAGTTTTTTTTTCCCAGAGTGAGAAAAGTGATCCCATGTGAGGGGTGGAAAAGCACCCATTTCGCCCCTCTTAAGGCGTTCCACCACCTGAGATGACAAAATTAAGTCACACTGTGTCTCAATCAGAGGTGAAATTAATTTAGATGAGAGATAAGTTGTGAGGAAATTCAATTGTTTCCTACGGTCTCGTGATTTTCACCCTGTTAATTATGAGTCTCACTGATTACTATCGTGTTCTACGTGTGGTCCTGCTGCGGAAAAACACCTTGCCTTTCAACTCTGTTGCCTCACCTTTACCACAGCCCAAAACACCGCCGTCCTCAGCATCTGGCTTCATCGATTTGAACAGTGACATTTCCGAGTCACCGTCGATACCCAGCCAATTCTCTGCATTGTGGATGTTTATCAAGTCCTTCACCAGTTGTTCGTCCGACTTCCCGCCGATGTCACCTCCTCGCCCCTTGGCCGGTCCGAACACCTCGTGATTGTACAGCGGATCATTAATTACCGGATAGCCTGCAATTGAGGTCGGCGAAGGGGAACACACTTTACTGCTCTGTCCAAATTGTAAGTCACTCGGATTCATCCCAACACTGCCAACCACAATTTTACACTCACGTTTTGCATCTTGTCTCAAATGAAATTGACTCCTTGAGTGCCTTCAATTGCCTCAAGTGTTTCCATTTTCTCAACTCTGTTTGTCCCTCTCATCAGAAGAAACACAGAAACGTGAGGAAAGTTAGAAAGAGAGTCTTAGAAAAAATCTCAAGGAGTTACAAAGGACTCTAAAAGGGTTTGAAAGCTTCCTTTTTGAGGTAAAACAGGAGATTAAATTAAATTCATTTTCTCAAATTCAAGATAGAATAAGTTATCAATTTTTGTTAAATTTGGTATTCAATTTGAGAATTAAATAACTGCTTCTGTATAAGATGAGATTATAATAGATCTGTGAAAGTCAACCAATAGTAGTAGAAACATAATATAAATAATAATACCGAAATGTTTGGAATATGAATTTAAACGGGATGTTAGTGTTTAACCGGAAAACGATCAAATTGACTCTTAACGATTCTTCCGAGTGATGTTGATGAAAAACACAGTACGGAAATGGAAAATTGAGTCAATTTGCCGCAATGGAAACTTTGCAAGTCATACTCCAGTGTCTCTTCTGTGGCGTCATTTGCAGAGCCATCGTGAGTGGTAAATATGGTGGTGGTTTGTCAGTGGGAGGATTGGGTGGGCAATAATACCTAAATACTGCAAGTGCACCCGGATCTGGTGCATGCGGCCAGTCTGTGGCTTGCAGAGGACCACACTGGATTTGCCGTTGAAGCCCAACTTCTCGAATTTCGTCGTGCACTCCTTCCCCTTGGGTGACACCTTGCACACGCCAATCTTGTAGCTCACCACCTCGATGGGCTCTTTGCACTCAATCACACCACTGAAAAGGGGAGGCATTGAAAGCCTCTCATTTCGGAGAGGCACATTGTTTGGGGAAAAGCTTGTCGTACTCACTCTGGGAATTCACCTTCGACACGGCACACGTACTGCTTCTGAACCTGCCGATTGCGGATTTGGTGCTCCATTTGGCGAGCCTTCTTGGGACTACGACCGAATAGGAGCAGACCCGACGTGAGCCTGTCCAGGCGATGGATTGTCCTCAAATTCTTCAGGTTGTACTCCTTTGCCAATATGAAGACCACCGTGTTATGACGATACCGACCGCATGGGTGAACCTACAGAACGATGATTTAGACCAACTATTACAAAATTGCTAATACAAAAATATTATACACATTGAAGAATTTTGGTGGCAAACAGCGCGCAAAATTAATATATATCTTCAGTGTCGAATTTTGTGTGGTCATGAGAGAAAGAAGACGCAAATTTCTTTTTTTTCGCAAAATGTCTCCCCTAGGCATTAACCTTTTCCCACACATACACATTTCCCTGTAATATTTTCCAAAACTCCCCATCGAGGAGTTTTATTTCCTCACGACGGACAAACGGTGTGACAAGAAAAGTTTTCTCTCCCTATGGGTAATTTGGAACCCCTTCAATTTTCACGCGCTCGCCTCCCTTTGGGGGAGGGAAACATCTGGACGGAGAAAAAATTGAATTAAATTCCCATCTATCGATTTCCACTTGAGATTCCAGCGATGGGCGGATAGCAGGAAAAACACCTCTCAACGGAATGAATCATGTATGATCTAGGAAAATCCCCTATGTTCCTCCTGACAAGTGAGGGCGAAGTGAGAGATTTTTCGGACATGGTGGAGAACTCTGGAGTTTGTGATTATTTTGTCTGCACACAGTACGATACGAATTCACTGTGAATTTGGTACAGAATGGGGCAGCCAAGAAGTCCGAAATTTGAATTTGAACGAAGGAAATTCAGCCCACTACTTCTTTTGAATTAAAACACATTAGCAAAAAACTTGTCTTGCGTTAACGCGACATATACGAAACTCAAATTCGCTTCCATAGTTTCAAGCTCTTTGATTATGGTGTTTAAATTGATTCTAAAATTATGCAATTCGTATTAAGTAACACCGCGTCCTTACCAGCCTGTAGAAACTTTCTCTTGTCTCTTAAAAGTATGACAAATCCCTTTCGCCGGAGCAATGATGAATGTTTCAGTATGAGAATTATACCTAATTGTAGCGAATTAAATGCATATCGTTTCATATGCAAGAAACTTCAACATCTCTCTTTTATTATGTTGCAAAACAGTGAAGCGAGGCACTATCATGGGGTGTTAGAGGACAAATTTCCCAACAATCACCCTTCGCTAAAAGTAAAAAAAAAAAACATGGCGCCGCAATGCTGGAGGGAAGTACAGAAGAGATAAAATAATGATACAGGTGAGCGGAACTCACCAGAGTGATGATGAAAAGTTAGACTTTTCTCTCATCTTTCCTCCTCAATTCTTCAACTATGCTCAGTGGGACATTTTTTCCCGGGACCATCAGCATTATTCGGTGCATTGCGCAACAAAATATCTGTATTTAATTGAAGACACACAGCATCGCAATGTCAGACTGTTTTAGCTTCAACTCTTCCGCCCTTTGTGTCTGCGGTTCCTCGTTTTTTGCTATGTGTCTCTTCGCGGGAAAAGCCACAGGGAAAATTTGAAGAGCTCCACATTTAATTATGAATGGAAAATTTCACCCCCCGACAAACTGAATAAATCTTCAATTCTCACTGAATTGTGTTGAATTATGTACGAATGAAGGGGAAAAAACAGAGTAAATTTTGCAAATAAACCACTCTCAGTGCTTTCCTTTCTACACAGCAAAATGTGGGTATGAGAAATGATAGAAAAAGTCCAAATATGAATTATTCCTTCGAGATATGAATATTGAGAAATACATATCCTCAACAATGCTAATATCTTCCCCAGAAAAAAACACACATTCTCTACATGCTTCTGCAGATAGAGAAAACTTTAGAGAACGATTGGGGAAAAGTTTGACTTCCTCGAATCGTCATGTGTACAGTGGTGGAAAGGAAGATAAACTCCATTGAATAAATAGTGATAAAATTGTAGATTCCACATATTGCAACTCACGTTTGCTCTGCACCCACTGTAAATCTCCAACAATTCAGAAAGAATTTTCGAGAGAAGAATGACTTGTGGCGGAAATCATTGAAAACTATCTCAAGAGCAGATTTTTATAGATACTCAATAAAAATGTTCTTCACGGAACACCTCAAAATCTCTTTTATATCTTTCATATTTTTATAACCACAATATTCATCAAAATTCGTCTATCTTCCTGCAACTTTTCCTGAGAGTCTTATCAAAGACATAATCTTAAGTGTAGCTGGAGTAACTTTTAGTTCTTGGTTGAAAATTTTACACGAAGATTGACCATTTTCTCTATTCCTCTGTAAAGATTTACAAGGTTGAACTTGTCTGTAATCTACTTTGTGGTCTTTCACCAACCACTTAGTATTAACTTCCCATACTCCTTTCGGGGCTGGTTTATAGCGGAAATTGATATTTTCTCGAGAGAATCCAGCGCGAAATATTTCGACTGACACTTTCAATTGTCTCTCAGGATAGAAATTCTCACCTTATAGCGATAGTTGAGAATTTTATGAAGGATTTTTCCTGACAAAATTCCTGTCTGACATATTTTCTGGATAGTATGTCTCTGTTTTGCAATATATTTGTCATCCCGAGACAATTTTCTCTCCACCCACTCACATTTTTCCCCATTTCTGCTGACGAATGAATGTCTTTTTGCTTCATCCCTGAATTACATCATGGATTTGTATTACATTGCAATTCCCGCCCTTCAGAATATCTCTCTTCACTCTTGATCAATTTTCCCGGGACGCATGGAAATCACTTTGAGGAAAAACAAGCTTTTCTCACTTCCCGACTCACATGGCCTGCGAGTTGGAGATTTAAGATTGCGCTCTGACTGGTTCGAGAGATGGAGTATTTGTTTATACGAGCGTGTGTGACAATAAATTCAAAATCATCACATTGTTCACCTTTTATTCTCCTTTTTTCTATCTCACTGGAGAGATTTTGTCGAGGGGTGTAAAACTCTGCATTAACAAGAGATCAAAATGCAAATGAATGGCTAAAGTTTTTTGAGAGCTCCAGTGTATCAGAAAGTCATTGAAAATAGGTCGTAAAAATCTGAGAATGGTAGTGTAATGGAAATTCACAGCCCCTTCACAAAGCTATAAAAACAACCTGTAAATTTTTATGGGATTATGTTTCAGAACCTCATTGAAAACAGGTAAGTTTGTGCATCAAAGAGTCCTCAAAAACATTTCCCAAAAAAAACTCCCCTGATTGAAAACCGAAATATTTGTGCGGTTATCAGAAAACAAAGATCTGAAGCCCTTCAGTGCGGATTTTCTCAACGTACATTTCTCAACCCCGCATTGTCAGCCCACCTTTCGCCCCGGAAGAGAATCCCTCAATCACCACCTGAATGTGAATGGAGAAGGAGGCGGAATCCCCTCTGGCACTGGCCTGGGGGAAAATCACCACCCTCAGGGCCCCATTTGAGTGGCGAAGAAAGCCGTTGAGGACTTGCCAAAGGTTGTTTACAAGAGGAAAAAGGGCGGAAAGATGGAAATAAATACGCAACACATCTTTCGCGGAAGGAAATAGAAAATAATGTATTCATGAAATGTGTTTCTCGAATCACTCCTTCACCCACATCTTGAGCACCCAGAAGAAGAAAAAAATATGTCGAGTGTGTCGCAATAAATTTCTCTTCTTTCCCCAGAAACCACGTGTAGGTCCCAACCATTATACCGAGCTGCCATTGTGGAGTTGGGCGGAGTACGCGCCCCTTGTGAAAATACAATTCATTGAGACGGGAAATCGTCGCTGGAGTTCAAAGTGAATTATCACTGAATCATGAATATGTGGATTGAACTTCAAAATGATAACTTCAGGGCAATGAAATTTCTTCCACTCTGGCGTTCTTTTGTGTCGCAACAAAAAAGCACTTTTCACTGGGACACCCTTTTCTCATTCCATCGCGAAATTGAAGAAGATACACATCCAATATCTTGCCGTGACTGGGAAAGAGTCGCGGGTGGTTTTAACAACTTTTTTGCATTCTCTTCATATCCCCTTGTTTTCTTCCTAGCTCAGCACACAACAGTCAAAGGTAGTTAAGTGGAAAAATCGTGCTGACAAAGGAATTTCAGGGCAAATATTATGTAAAGGAATATTAAATTTTAATTTTATTGAAATTTTCAAATAAATTTATATTGGTATTAAAGATTACGTAAAATAATTTTAATTGATCAATTTATCTCTGAAATCTTTTACAGTCTAGTATAGAAATAATAGCTGAAATATTCAATCCTCTGACTATAATTTAAAATATTAGCTCAACTAGCTTCTGTCTAGTTATATGTTTGTCAATTCAACAATATTGATAAAGATTATTTCCTTATTTGTCACAAATTTGACATTTGATGGACTAATAACATATTAAATACAAGATGAAAAACCAATTGATTTTTTGTACTCCTTCTTCAGTCAGCTTTTCCCTACTTTTTTCATGTTTTCCCTCTTTTCGCCCACATTTTCATAGAAACAAAGAGCACAGAAGTAAAATTTATAAGACTTCAGAGTACCAAGATTCTTATTTAAAATCTTTTTATCAACTTTTAGAGGACAAAAGGGAGTCGTAATTCACTCCTTAAGAATGTCTCTTCGAGAACTTCCGTTCCACAAACGCATAAAACGTACACGGTGACTCTAGAGAATAATTTCTCACTACTAATATACAACTATATACAAATCCCTTGAATCCAGACGAGAGACTCGGATCCCAATTAAACTCCACTTCTTGAGCATGCGGAATGCCGTCAAAAATGCAACAAGGAGCAATCTTCTCTTTGGGGAAATGCTCATCTTCTCATCCATTGAAAGTGATCATGTGAATTGCCCCATTGAATTTCACACAATGCTTCCCAATGCAGTTGGTGTAATTCATTTGTCGAATGAGAAGTACTCAATTATTATTGGTACCATACAATCATTTGCACACACCTCTCTATTCCAGTTCGCCCTGAGGAGACAATTCCTCGCCCGGATTAAGTGAAAATTGTCGTCCACTCGGAAAATTGCACGGCGAGAGTGAATTGTTTGTGCGGCAAATGGAAAAACTTGTCGCATAGAATGGGGTGGAGGTGTTGTGGGGTAGAATTGGCCCCACAATGGCGTGCACGAGAGAGGAAGTTACTG